AAGGCGTCTAGCGTTTTCAAAACAAATTGGGCCCGGCCGTCGTGAGCTCCTTCATCAAGATCGGCATCACACCCTGCATTCGATAGAAACCACATGCAGAGCCGGCGACTTCCTCCCTGCGTGTCATTCTGCTTCGGCAGTTTTTGCAGCACTTTGGGCGGAATGGGGCCGTGTGCTTTCCTTTTTCCTCGCTGTCTCGCCGAGGCGGAACGGCCCAGGATGGCGTGCGTTGCTTCGACCGTGCCAAAGGGTGCTCTACTCGTTGATCTCTTCTGTTCTAATTGCTGAATTTGCCGTTCTTGGACTTCTTGCAATATTTCACGCAGAAGGGGTCATCCAGCGTGCATCGAAGTCGAATAGCACCCGGATCTTTATCCGAAGACGCGACTGCATTTCGGTAGCTTTCGAGAACGTCGTTCACCCAGTAAACAATGGCCGGTACGTCCTCCGGTTCCCAGCGCAGAGCCATAATCTTGGCCTCAATAAATCCAATGATGGCATCCGCCAGCTCAATCGCGCTAGTGACGCAGTATTCGCGCGCGAACACCTGGAAAACGCGCACCGCACCAACAACGTCGTTGATGCTGGTGGCTGCTGGAGCTGGTTCAAAGTCCGCTGTCGCCGAAACGTTCGAGAAATTGGCACTGCCCGAGTCTATCCACTCCATACGTTTCTTTCTGTCCATGAAGCTGAAGTGCATTATCGAGAGACCTTCAATGCCAAACTGGTAGTCGTACGCGCGAGTCAACACGCCTGGGAGAGACTTGCAAAGCAGGGCACCGGATCGGATCTGACTATGCACATAAGTATCAGGGTCCTTACCTCTGTGGCGCTCCGATGTTAGCTTGTCGTGAACTTCCTGGCGCTCTCGCTGTGGCGAAAACGCATACTTGGACTTCTTGGTCGTACTCTTGGCCTTGAACGGCGACGCCAATGGTGGTAGCGGTTGTTTTTCTTCATCATCTGCTGATGCACCGGACGCTTGAGTCCTGGACTGCTCACGGAAGTTCAGGAAACGGTCGAGTAGTTCGGGGTCGTGACTTAGCCTCGCTACAATCAGGGCATCCTTGTGGAGAGAATCAGTGGCCTCTGTGGTTCGGCGTCTTTGGTATGGAGGCTCAGCAACTTCCTCACTGGTACCATGGAAGGATTGGCTGCGTTTTGATCCTGCTGCTTGCACAGTGACCGGAACCGGTCTGGAAATCGGGTCCGATGCATCTGGAAAACCGTCGTCATCATCGTTGAAGGGGTCGAAAAGTTCACATGACTCTGTATTGCCAGATTGGCGTTGTACCTCTTGTGTACCGGTGGACACCACATATTCGTCGTGTGCGCGTCAAAACGATTCGCCAAGTGCCGCCGGCGCGCCAACGGCTTCACCGTCGATGTAGAAGGCGTAGTCGACCACGTGTTGGAGAGGAAATTGTGTCTCTGATCCCGACTGAGGATCCACCCACTTGCAGATCGCAAACGACTCGGGGTGATTCTGGTCGTCGATCAGTCCACTAAGTATACAGCTGATAGACCGGCTTCCCTCGTTATTCCCTTCTCCCAATACCCTCGATAGTATGGCCGTCTGCATGTTGTTGACGTCCGCAGAACTCCACTCGCTCGTGTCGAGCGCGACACGCTGCAGAAGTAGAGACACCACAGGCGCCACCACCTTGATCGCGTCGACTTAAGCAACGGTATTTGGTACCGTCGGACTCGACTGTCACCTCGTGGAAAGTCTTGGGCTCCGGATCTCCTGTGGTGACGGCCACTGGCCGGCGAAGCAACGACACCCTCCCCATCTTGTTCACGACCGCTAACGTGACTGTTCGGCGAGCGGCGACGGACCGCGAAAGCGCTCCTTTTTCCCCGTCAAAGCTTCGGAACTTGACCTTCTCCCCCTCTATACCGACGACTCGGGCGTAGAATGGCAGAGGGAAGGCGCCTGCCGCTACGTCCTCAGGCAGGAGATGCAGTGGCGATCACGACGTTAGACGCGGCATGTTGCCGAGGCGAATGCAGAGAGCCGAAGGGTCGCTTTTCTTAAGCTGTGAGCGCTGTAAAGGAAGTCTGAAACTAACGCTGCTCTACGTCTTCATCTGCGTTGGTTTCAACTTCCTGCCTTCCTTCTAAAAAGCTATTTTCACTGCTCCACTCGTGAAAATCTTCATTTACTGAGGAAATAACGATAAGGTGGTTCTTCACGACCTACTTGTTTATGCAGCAACCAATACCTTGTCATTAATCTAACAAAAAATATTTCTGGGATAGCAATAAAGCTGCTTGTATCTGATTATTTGAAGCCGCAACAGAAACCCCCTCTCCCCGTTGAAGTGATGATATCATTAGGATGAGGCATCGCTTACGACTCGGAACTGTAGATCTATTAAGTTGAACAGATTGAATCTTAATACTGGGATAGGAAGCAACGTTAGTGCTGCTATCGCAGACCAAATAGGATTATATCCGTGGTACGTCAAGTCAAAAGGTGACCCTCTTGACACCTAACTGGTACATTGTCCTGAAACCGGTGTGACCCCGGTGCCGCACTGGGCCCTCCAAAAGGTTACATGGGGAGCACTTATCCCACGTGGTCGGATATCCATTACCACCAGATAGTCAAAAAGTGTTGTTGTTAATGCGTCGCACGGATGATCGCGCCGGTGCGCTCGAAGTTTGCTGGTAATGCCTTAGATACAGAGGCGGAGCCAGCCTTAAAAAATGGGGGGGCATAGATCTTTTTAAAGTAAAATCCACAACCTACATTTCGATTCTTCTTTTTGTCATCCCTTTAAACTTTTCGAGGACCGAGTCTTTGTCGATGCTGTTTGTAAGATCACGCTCGTTAGCCAAAACCATCAGGTTTGACATCCAAAGATCTCCCATTGTTGTTCTAAGCCGCGTCTTAATTCTTTTCATGACTGAGAAAGACCTCTCCGTAGTAGCAGTTGTTTCAGGCAGCACACACACCAAGTTAATAATTCGGTGCAAGGTCGGGAACTCGTTGTTATCGGTCCCGACGAGTTGGATGCATAGTTGTTGCGTTGTCTTCAATTTTTGGAACCTTTTGTCGATCTTTGCCAAATTGCGAAACCGAGTGGCCTCTTCTCGAAGGTCGTCCAGCTCATCGGTGAAATCATCGGGATAAAATGTTTTAGCCAGCTCAACTATTTTAGTAGCGCTCCAATTCTTGAAATTATCACGTGGACTGAGCGATCCGCACAATTCCATGAGACTAAGGACTTCTCCACTAAATCGTGAATCCATTTCATAAATCAGGTCACGAAGGATACAGTTATATACTTCGTCACGATAGTGAGCTTCTTGTGAAGGCTGGACATCATCCCTGGATGAGTCCGCTCCTGGAATTCCAGCCCTGCCCCCCCCTGATTTCTCATTACGCGTCGTTTCCACACGTCATTTTTGTCAGGAATGAGAGGGGTGTCGTCAACTTGTATTGATTTGCAAAAGTTGACCGATGAGTTCCAAATCGATTCAAAACTTGGCGAGTTCCCAGTCATAGAACTATCATCGAGCATTTCTTTTATTTCTTTGGATACCTGCTTCGTCATATTCACAGCTGACACGATATTGACGTCATCTTTCTGCAAAAATTGGGACAGCCGATTTGTGTTTTTTTCAAAACTGCAGTGAGAATCTCCATATGAAATACGAAGTCGAAAGTCCACATCTTCTCTAAAATTCCTGACGCCTCAGCGCGTTTGTGGGGGTTCACACCATCGCCCACTACACGCTCTAACCCACTAGTAATTGGGGCCCAAAGCATCTTGACTTTTCTTAACGCGCGAATGTGGCAATTCCACCTTGTTTTGCTAAAACCCTCGGTAGAAGTTGGTTGATTTAAGCCTCTACCAGATTCTAGATGCCCTTGATCAAGCATTTTTTCCAATTCCACAGCGAGTTGATCTTTCCTTTTACACGAAGCACTTACAGTAGTGTGAATCCCTTGCACGGTGTCGAAGCATTGCACCACCGAGACCGTGTTCATAGTCACTGCAACAAGGACGGGATTAAGTCGATGCGCGAAACAGTGAACATAGTAGGCGTAAGGACACTGGGAGTGTAGACGTCGCTGAAGACCAGTAAAATCACCCGACATGTTGGACGCACCATCATATCTCTGGCCTCTACAGTTCGCCAAAAGCAATCCCCACATCTCTAACTGCGTTATCAAACCATCGTACAGTATCTCCGCATTCGTATCGCGAACATGGACAATTCCAAAAAATCTTTATCTAATAGTCCCCGTTGCAGCGCACACAAAAAGAATTACGAAAGCCATGTGCTCTTTCTTCGCCATGCAGCTTGCTTCATCCACCAGAACAGAAAAATATCCATCTGCAATCTCGACCTCCATAATATGCTTTCGAACAACATCAGCCGCACATTTGATCAGTTCACGTTGAATTTGTGGCGATGTGTACACAGCGTTTTCCCCAGCTAAGGACATTGCGCGAGAAAACGATGGCGTGTGCTGTGCCATGACTGAACAATCTCAAGAAAATTGCCATTATTTTGTGACGTATCCTGTGCATAGTAAAACAAAACGTTAGTCCAGTGTTGTCATTTCTTACATAAAAATTAAACCGCTCGTATACCTTATCGTCGCTGCCCCAAAATGCAATTTCCTGTTTTGCTAGGAGAAGGCAGATCTCCAGAATAAGTTAGACGCTCCCGGTTTTGTTGTCGTTCACTAATCTTTTGAGAATTCAGAGCCACACCAACGTCATTCTGACAGGATCTCCGATTGTCGAAATCGATCAGAGCTGAGTGGTGCTTCGAGCTGGATTTTGTCCCAACATGTTTTGCAAATCCGTTTTTTGTAGTGGTCTTTTTCCAGTTCCTATAGCCCGTTGTAGGTTGTGCATACACTGTGAGCTCGCTTTGCTGCGTTATTACTTCTCGGCTGAGGTAGCAGCATAAGCAATACACCGCGTCCGTCGAAGGAGATTATTCGAGCCATGATTTTTTTCAAACCACTGGGCCCGAAAAGCAAGCACGCATGCATCCACCGATGTCACGGGCCGGATATTGCTTGAGTTGCGGTTGGTAAGGACCGAGGCGGACGTAGGATTGTATAACGTCACGCAGTAGCTGAGGATCGGCAATCAGTTGCTTAACGAAAAATAAATTTGGTGGTCTGTGAGCAGGATCCCGCCTAACAAAGTCTCCAGCGAAACATTCTTCGGCTCTATCAGGAATTTTGTTGAGCGAGCACCATTCCAACGCTGCTTGCTCTTGTTTTTCGCGCAGCATTACAGGTTGGGGTCGTGGCCCAGGATCTGATTCAATACTGCGGGCCTTGTCAAAGTCTTCGGGCTCTTGACGGGGCTTCTTCACAAAGAAGGTCGTGATTGCCGGCTGCTTCCTCTTTCGTTCCATGTTATTATCAACTAAGCGGAGGAACAGTGTGAACTTCATGCATGTGCCGTCTAATTAAAAAAAATCGAAACCCCTTCGCCGAAAAATGGGGGGGGGGCCGCATGCCCCCCCATTTTGGCCCTGGCTCCGCCCCTGCTTCGATAGATAAAAATACTAGATTGCAGCAGAAAAATCCTCCCTCGGGAGCCCAGGAAGGAGCAAGATGACGACAATGGCATCTTCAAGGTGGCCAGGGTCGACGAAGGGTGTCGACCTCCTGGCACAACAGGCTGATCAAGACGGTAGGCGAAACAGAAACGAAAAACAGGGTGTATTGGTGACGACGAAGCGCAAGACAGCGGAAAGAGTGCAGACTGCTGGTCACGCTACCTTGTGAGGCAATCGTGGCGTCGGGATCGAATTCCGACGAGCGCGGCGCAGAGGTGACCGCTCTATTGACGAAAGAACGAGAGGGAAGAGAAGGACAAGAAGGAACAAGGGTGAACAACGTGTTGGGGACGCGTCGAGGTGGTGGACTCCGAACCGACGAAGCGCGAAAATGAGCATATCTCTTTTCATATCGTAGGGGTATATCTCGGTCGAATGCCCTAGTGGCATTTGGTTGGTTTATACCCGTGTGTTTGGGCTACTACCGCGGGCACGTGCCCTGGAGGCCCGTGATCCGTAGGCGAAGCTGCAGTAGTGCGCGGCATCGGATGTAGTTAGCCGTTTAAACCGCAACAAATTCGAATTCAAATAGATTGCAGCAGAAGATCGATGGTAATGCAGGCGCCTGTGTCAGTGGGGGCTACAGATACCAAGCGAAGGCAGACCTGGTGTTGCCACTTTCGTTACGCGACAACTTTATGCTAAAAATCTATTCAGGGGTAGAGAGGTCTGCCTTCAAACCCCTGCGTTGTGCTTCTTGATGCTTGATGCTCGCGCTGACGCGCTCGTCGATCAATGTTACGCTTAGAGTTGATGCCGCCTTCCAGGTTTACCTGGTTGATTTGTGGGTTTGTTTCCTCTCTAATAGAATCTACGCTAGCAGCAGTTGTTTATTTGTGTTTAGATTGCTTTCTCAGGTTTGGATACACTTCTCTGAATTATCAATGTTCTAGAAGTGAGTGAATCGCCCCCCTTTCGTCCACATACCCTCAAATTGGTTAACTACTTGACGTAGTATTGCGTTTTGAGCGCATCGGCGCGATCATCAGTGTATCTCGCCCGAGACGATTCCTGATCGTACTGTCCTTGAATTCCAAGTTGAAAAGGTCGCAACTATGCCAGACTTTCCCATTAGTGTGATCGCTACTACCTGTGAACGCGGACCAATACAGAGTTGTGACTACAATTCATAAATGCCATAGTTATTGAAGCAGTTAGGAAGAACACTCGAAGCCTCTGGAGCTGCAATCTTCGATGTACGACAAAGATAAGATCGAGATGTGGTTTACCTTGTCGGTCGAGCCGACATACAGAAGACTGCAGTAATTCCTGTACATGTAGGCATAGATGCCTTGATCAAGCTAACTACGTATCTCCTACACAACTACCATCAGCTTTTAGAAGTTCTGCTTCGAATACACACCGGTTTTAGCGCAACCAAACAATGAGGAGGATTCCTAAGAGAAGCTTACGTCAGTGCATGAAGTAGTGATGCCACTCTAGTGGCTTCCTTCTTACTGGTAGAATGCTTTGACCCACTGGGGTGGCTCCGATGCGCGTGGTTGTTACGCGTTCCCGAACAGAAGCTAGGGAACGTATGTAGCACCAAACTGTTGTAGTCGACGAAGCGTTCACGCCACAGACGAATGTACTTTTGCTCTCCTTATCTATCTCGAACTCAACCTCATAGGCTAACCCCACCACCTACGAAGCTCGGATCAACATCGATCGATGGGCGTGCTCAAGTATCGGTCGCGTTTTGACTATCCGGTAATCAGGATATCCCGACCACGTGGTCGGGATAAGTGCTCCCGATGATGATGAGGTATATTGGATTACTTAAAAGAATCCTATCAACCGAATGGGATAAGTGCTCCCGCCAACATGTAGCATGAATGAAAACGATACCAGCCCTTGTCCATAAAATGGTGACCCTCTTACCGAGTTGTGGTAACTCGGTTTCCTTCCATCTTATAGGATCGCGGAGTGCTGTATACAGCCATGCTGGCACCTTGTAGTGGTAATGATGCAGCGTTTATGGGGGATGCACACGGTACGGTACAGCTAACACAAAAAGAGACCAACACGATCAGAACAATCAAAACTGCTTAGTGTGACGTGGTCTCGATCCTTGGCAGCTGGGACTCCCACTAAACCAACGTGTACTTATCAGCTTAGATGCAAAATGCAATGCGAACTACCTTAGCTAGTTTGTGAGCGCTCTCTCCTGCCGTTACGGAAGCCTAGGGGGAGCTGTAGGTGCAGGTGCTGGATACAGATTACTTTAGCAACCCAGCATTAATTCTTTCGTGTCTTGCCTGTCTTCCCGAACATGATGCCCGCTCGGATCTGCCCCAATATGGTTGCTCAGCGAGCACACCACTAGTCCTGCTGCGGGTTGGATATGCTTGTTGCGGATGCGATTGGCAAGCTATGCATGTCATCATCACACTTAGCTAGGTTTGACTCATCTCTTGAGGCCTACATGATCAGTAGCTTGGCGCACTTAAAATGGTGGCTCTCTCAGTTACCATGTACATGTATGTGCGCGCAAGCTACTTGAGTAGAAGAGCCGGTTGCGCTTACACGTGGACAGTTTTCACTTCCTGCGTTTTAATGCCCACTTGTGGCGTGTTTGTGATACATTACCACATGTTATAAAGTTATCTCCCAAATGCACGTTGAATACCGCAGCTTTCGTGGCGATTTTTCATGTTCTCAGCGAGGCAAAGATACAGAAGCAGAAACGGATTCACATTCCTGGAGACAATGCCCTGCTGATAAGGGCGCTGGCTGCCAGAACGCCCCCGAAGTCCACAAGGCTACGAATATGGTTTAACAAGTACCGGCAGCTAGCAGACAAAGTCAGGGCGGCGTCATGGACCTTGCTGCCCAGAACCGCCAACGCAAGCTCCCGCAGCTTAGCACAGTTGGCGACCGAAACAGAACAAACGAGCATCTTACACAGTGAGGCTTTCAGTGCAAACTTCCATCGAATAGCGCAACTGGCACGACGGTGTTGCGATTGTACACTTCGCAGTCTAATTGTGTGTCTCCGTATCGAGGCACGTGCTTGCTGTGAAGTTGTTGCTGATGGTTGGCAATTGTGGTACACGTGGTGGAATACTGGGATCTGATTGGCGGAGCCCCAAGATTTGACACTTCTGATTGGCAAGTTGAAGTTGCCTTTCTGGATACGATCTGCAACATTTACTTTTGATCCCCGGCCTCTAATACTTGGAAGTAGGAGGTGTGCGTTGGTACGATTCATGTTTAAGCATAGGAGGCTAGGATATGATCGTTAGTTTGGCCTAACTCATTCTAATTCACTTTCAGATTTCCTTCCTAACCAACACTCGACTACCAAGCCTCGCCCGCATAATCTCAAGTGGTTATGAGCCAAAGCTACGCAGACACCGTGAAGCTCGTGGAAGCCAACTACTTCCACGAGGAGTTCAACATACGGATGATGCTGTCGCGCAAGAGACTGCTGGCCCACATCGTCAAGACAGAGTTCGACCAGCTGAGTGACCGCTCCACGTTACAATGGAAGACCGACGATCTGAAGGTCCTTGGTGTGATTCACATACCAAGTCTACTTCCGTGGAGCGACAACCGCTGCAGAATCGTGGCGCCTGCTTGAGGAGCAGTTCAACCGGAACACTCTCAAGAATCGGCTCGTCGTGACCAAGAAGTTGCACAACTTCAAGATGGACCCCGGGACGCGGTTCGCGGCACATATGGACCGGTTCGAGGAGCTAGTGCTGCAAATGGAGACAATTGGTGAAGCTCTGGACGAGACTCGCCAACTCGTGCTGCTGCTGGGCAGTTTAACGGACGAGTACCGGATGGTCAGCACCGTACTCGAGAACACGCCGAACATGACGTTGGCGTACGCGATCCAAGCTCTGTCTGGTGTTGAAGTCTCGGAGGATTCGACATCGGCTCGGGAGAAGGCATTCGCAACGAAGAAGGAGTCCGCAAGCGCGGGTTCTCCGGGAAGTGCTTCTACTGCAAGAAGCTCGGGCACAAACAACAAGAGTGCCGCAAGAAGAAGGCCGATGAGGGACGTAGACAAGTCGCGCAGGAAGCGTCAGACTTCGCGTTTACGGCTACGGGTGCAATGGCGAAGTCGGAGTGACTTGTGGACTCTGGTGCCAGCTCGCACATGACCAGCGTCCGGGACAAGTTCGTGTCCATGAAGGAGCTGAGGATGCCGGCCCGCATCACGATCGCGGACGGCACGAAAATCGAAGCAGTTGCAAAGGGCACCGTCTGATTGAAGCTAATGAACGGGACGTCCGTCAAATTGTCGGATGTTTTGTACATCCCGGAAGTTGATGGGAGCCTCATCTCGGTGTCGAAGCTGGCCGAGAAGGACATCGGCGCACAATTCAGCAAGGACAAATGTGTCTTTCGCTTTGGCAGCCTGACGGTGATGGAGGCAAAGCGCTGTGGAAATTTCTACAAGCTGAAGACAGTGGGGGACGAGTTGTGTCGTGCGGCGACGACATCTCGTAAGGAGCCATGGGCCGTCGTGCACGCCCGTCTCGGCCACATCCTGTACAAGCGCTACGAACAGCTGTTGAGGATGGCTGATGGGGTACCGCACATTGCAGGCGACGTGTCGACGGATAACGTGTGCGCTGGATGTTGCATGGGGAAGATGCGCGCTGACGACTTCCCACGTCACCCTGACAACTTGGTCAAGAGCGCAGGTGTACTCGACTTGGTACACACGGACGTCATGGGTCCAATGCAGACCAAGAGACCTGGAGGCTGCACATACGCAGTGACCTTCATCGATGATTACTCGACACACGTGACGGTGTACTTCATGAAAGCGAAATCGGAGGTGCTGTCAAAGTTCAAGATCTTCAAGGCAGCAATGGAGAACGCAACGGGCAAGCCGATCAAGCGCCTGCGTTCGGACAATGGCGGCAAGTGCACAGGCAAGGAGTTCAAGGCCTACCTCGGCCGCAGCGGCATCAAGCATGAGAAGACGGTGCCGCACACGCCTCAGCAGAATGGATTGGCTGAGCGCATGAACAGAAGTTTGGTGAAGATGGCGCGCTGCATGCTCTACCATGAAGGAATCGACAAGAAGTGGTGGGCGGAATCCGTCAACACGGCTGCGTGGATCATGAATCGGATCCCGAATTCGGTGACCGTGAAGACACCCCACGATATCGTGCACCGAGCCAAGCCCCAACTCAAGAACATGAAGGTGTTTGGTACACTCGGGTACGCTCCCATCGCCGACGAGAAGCGTTGGAAGCTGGATGCAAAGGCGTTCAAGTATCGATTCCTGGGGTACGAAGATGGTGTGAACTTCGCACCATCTAACAGCTCGCGTTCCTTCGCGTCAACCGCACCATGTGGGATGTTACGACGGTTGCTAGCGTTAGAGCTGAGGAAACCCTTTAGATCGTAATCCAGTTAACGAAAGTGCGATCTTTACCTTGCCATTATTTTAGTGATACTTTTTAATATTCATTGCGAAAATTGGAAGAAACTTAAGATCTAAAACGAATCATACATGTATATGCCAAATATTCGCTGCTACGATGCAGATTTCCCCGGAGTCAACATGCAAATATTGACGAAGAAGATGCGATTTATCTAGAGTTGGTATGCCTCGTTGCATGTATATGCGCTTATTTATCTCTTTAAATAGATAGATATACCGCATGATCAATTTTAAGGTAATGTGCGGTCACTTATTGTTAGAACCAATTCTATATTAATTATAGTCATCGCACTTTTGCTGGCTACAATTTATAGCGGCAATGCACTTCAACATTAAATTTATAGTCTATGCGCTTGTTTCCCTTGGGCCATCACTATCCCTCTTGAACCGTGATGCCCAAGAAAAACAAGCGCCTCGCACATATTGGCAAGCTGGCCGACTCAAAGCGTTCAAGTACCAGTCGTACTCGTCAGCCAGCCCGCCGGCCAACATTGGCGAAAATAGTAGGGGCTAGCGTCGGTGCGCCAAGTGCCCCTACGAATGCTGTTGTAAGCGACTCAACTTCGCCAGAGAGTGTCAGCTCCGACATTGAAGGGCCAAATGTATACACCCTTGAGTTTATTTATGAAAAAAGACTGATCTGGATGGCAACGACTACTACTTTGTGAGCTGGGTTGGATACCCCCGTCCTACTTGGCAGCCAGCGTCAGATTTACCACAAGATGCCATTGCGCGTTTTGAAGAGGAGGAGCTCGGCGTGTTTTGGCCTGTGGATCGCAGAGATTTTATCGAGATAGGCGTGCCTAGGGGAAGTAGTGGTAGAAGAGCGAGAGTTAGAAGAACACGAAGAAATAACTAACAATATAATATATATTACGGCAATATTTACTATTGCTTGCCGCTATATTGAAATCTTTATTATGGAGTCATGCTGCTGGCAATACAATTTTATGGTATTGGCGGACCTCTGGTGTGAAGGGATACCGCGTTCTCAACGTGGCGACGGGAAGGTGCAAATCGTGCGCACTGTGAAGTTCATGGAGACACCTAAACGCGACCACCTGATGACACGTCTGGAGATCGACGACGATGAAGAACCGATTGCCACGGACCGAAGCTTGGAACGAGTACCTGCACTGGTGCCTGTTCGCGACGTTTCGACTGAAGCTGAAGTTGGCGGCCCGACTATGTCACCGAATGACGTGACGACAGGTGGAGCAATCGTTCCGTACACTACCCATCCGATGATTACTCGGTCGCGTGCTCGTCACATTGAAGAAACCAACGATCCTGAGGAGCCCGGAGCTCGCAAGAAACAAGTCGTTGCGCTGTCCGAGATCAGGACGAAGCATCAGAAGGTGGACCAAGGTCGCGCCAAGTCGGATGACAACCAGCTTGCCATCCACGGAGGAATGCTGATGGCTGCAACCGAGGTGGTGCCAAGGTCGTATCAAGAGGCGATTACGAGTGAGGGTCGTGCCCAATGGAAGGCAGCGATTGCAAGTGAGCTCAAGTCGCTGATGACCAACAAGACATGGAACTTGGTGCCCAAGCCCAAATACCAGCGCGCGATTGGCTGTCGCTGGGTGTTCGCGTTGAAGTGCGATGAGACGGGGAGAGTCGTTCGGTACAAGGCTCGTCTCGTTGCCAAGGGATACTCGCAGCGACATGGGATCGACTACGAGGAGACCTACTCACCGGTGGTGTACCTGAACTCTATCCGTGCAAACTCGCGGAGTGCTGCGCTGACGGAATGGAGATTGACCAGCGTGACATCGACACTGCGTTTTTGTATGGAAAGCTCGCAGAGGAGATCTGCATGGTGTTGCCTGAAGGACTTCGAGAACTGCTGGATTTGGCTGAAGCTCAAGGTGAAGATGACGTCGTCTGTCTGCTACTGCAGAGTTTGTATGGACTCAAGCAAGCGTCTCGCGTATGGAACGGGACGATCGACGCGCTTCTCAAGAGCATGGGATTTCGGGCTGCCGATGCCGACCCGTGTGTCTACACGAGAGGTGCTGGCGACGACGAGTGCGTGGTGTGTCTCTACGTCGATGACATGCTGATTGCATCTCGCCAGCGGACCATCATTGACTCGGTGAAGGCAGGCATCGCGGACAAGTTTCGCATCAAGGACCTCGGACCATCGACATCCGCTTCCACTTCACCCGCGAGAAGATCACGAGTGGTGTTGTGGAGCTCGACTACGTTGAGTCCAAGAACCAGCTCGCTGATTTCAAGACCAAGGGGCACTCGACAAAGACTCGAAGCTATCTACTCGAGCGCAGTAACATCACTGAGATGCTCAGGTAGACCGCTAATTGAGTGGGGGTGTTGCGATTGTACACTTCGCAGTCTAATTGTGTGTCTCCGTATCGAGGCACGTGCTTGCTGTGAAGTTGTTGCTGATGGTTGGCAATTGTGGTACACGTGGTGGAATACTGGGATCTGATTGGCGGAGCCCCAAGATTTGACACTTCTGATTGGCAAGTTGAAGTTGCCTTTCTGGATACGATCTGCAACATTTACTTTTGATCCCCGGCCTCTAATACTTGGAAGTAGGAGGTGTGCGTTGGTACGATTCATGTTTAAGCATAGGAGGCTAGGATATGATCGTTAGTTTGGCCTAACTCATTCTAATTCACTTTCAGATTTCCTTCCTAACCAACACTCGACTACCAAGCCTCGCCCGCATAATCTCAAGTGACGGGACTACGCGGAGTGGGCTATGGAAGTAAACAGCACCGAAGCGTAAGCTGCCGACTAGAGAGAGGAGCGGCTGAAGGTAAAATATCGGCTATAGGGTTGTTAGGATTCAAATTAATGTCAGTTATCCAATATACCTCATCATCATCATCATATGTTATACAGGAAAATGTAATACATTTACCTAACATATGTGCCACAAGCACGTCACAAATGCTTGCAGCAACGGCGCAGACAATTGTTTACCTCAGAATTAGTCATTAAAATCAATGCATTGGTTCAATAATTTAATTTTGGCAGCCCTGTCGGCGACAACCAAGACATCATCGTGGTGACTTCCGGCAACACGACTACGAACATGACGGTGGCGTACTGCATCGAAAGCATCTACGGCTTCCGGCCGGAGCGCAAGTCCAACTTCATGGTGGGGCTTGGGATGATGATGAGGTATTTTGAATTACTTAACATTAAAATAATCCTAACAACGTAGGCGGTCAAAAGACCAACGAGGGTTTGTCGTAATTTGGCTTGTCGTGCAGACAGATATCTACCTCACGTTCAAGTATGTGAGCCACTCGCAAGCTAATTACGGGGGCCAGAGGAGTCGAAAAGAAATTCGATTTGTTAGGTGTTTGCGTCCACAACTAGCTCACTTAACCCCTTACTTCCCGGAAAAAATGTAGGGGTATATTTTTACCCTTATGATCTACGGTATAGCATAAGATAATATAGGAATTTGTATAGACTGGATTTTTTGCACGACTATGCTGCCTGGATAGTTCAAACTTGTATCAGATTAAGAACGTGGCATATCCAACATTACAGGCCTAACGTTGACTCAATACCTTAGTGGTGGTGCGCTTATGATGGAGAAGGCAACATATGCACTGTACTGTTTATCTGGATAGCCCTATCTCTGAGCATTGCACACGTGCTGCTGCACGGATGTATCACAAAAGAGAACGAAGGATATTGTGCGTCAACTGATTGCTTTTTCAATAAATGCAAAGTCAGAACATGCAATTGCTACAGCCTACACTTCCACGATCGCCAACCCGTCGTCGGATCGACCATGCTAGCCCACACTTCAGTGTCGGCCACGCTGTCGTCGGAGCCGGCGTTGCCTTCGCCGGTCTCAGCGCCAGACGTGCGCCGGCGCTTCTTGCCAGGGCGTGCTGCAGGTGGACGGTCCCGGAGCTTGTGCCCCCGTAGCAGGCTGCGCGGAATGTCGTTGCCATTGTTCCAGTCATTGTGCCAGATAGTGAAACAGGTTTTCTCCCTGCCCCGCCCAACGTTGCAGAAGTACCTCCTGTAAAAAGCAGTGTTAGTATAAAGTGGTTGACAGGAGGTCTCGAGTGCACGTACCTGCGGTTCCCTGTCGAGCACTCCGGACAGAAGTACTTGGTGTACTTCCTCGGTTTCATCTTGAACAACGCACACACCTTGCACAAGCGCTGGCGCTTCTTGTGACCTTGCTCGTTATCCACCGTGTCTCGGTTTCCTTCGAGGCGGGGGCCGCTGTTGTCGGCAGCCGGCTCAGTTGCTGTGGGAGTTTGCGGAATACCCTCTCGCACTGGAGAAGCCGCTGCCCGTTCACGCGCTGTTGTCGCGTTCTGTTAGAATGCGTCAACATAATATACATAAGGTTAGACCCCAAGACCGCGTATGTTGATACCTCCATCATAACGTACCGCGATAGCATCGAATGCCTCCTTGCTGTTCACCGCGAGCAATTGGGCCATCAGCGCCTCGAAGAATGCGTAGTGCTTCACTGGTCGGTACCCTCTTGTGGTGGCGAAACACTATAAACGCGTTCACCAGGGCCATATCGAACAGCCTCAAGAACAAGGTCTTGTAGTACTTCCTAGTCTTGTAGATGAGCTGCACATTGTACCGCTGCAACCGGAGCTGGTCGTGGACATCGACGCCCCCCATCGATCGATGATAATCGTGGATCAACTCCGGAACAGGCACCGATTGCATAAAGCCACGGATGCACCGCACTAGAATACAGATAACAGATTAGATCAGTACGGATAACATGATCAATACAACGGCATCACTTACAGACTGTGGTCGTCCGGCGACTTCCGCCACTGGATAGCATGTGAACTGGGGTGCGATCGATCCACATTGCCGCAGTAATCTGCGGGAAACGCTTGTTTTGAGCAAGCTTGATCGTTCCTTGCGGAGGCAAAACAATCTTCTGCTTCTTCACTTGCTTCACCTCCTTCTTAGTCGCAACGCCATTTGCATAGCCCGATCGATCCGTCTGGATGGTGCCGGTCAAGTACAGGCGTCGGTGCAGCAGCTCTAGCGCTAGCTTGACCGACGTGTAGAAGCGATCCGTGACTACTATACGCCACGGTGACGTCGTCGAGGGCGGGCAAAGCGCATTCATTCTCAGAACCGCAGCTTCACCGGTGTTGTTGTCTTTGGGCGCTGGCATCTGTAGATGGGTCTTCGCTCCGCAGTAGATTTCGATTCTGTAGTACAGCAAGATTATGTCAGCTTATGGTGAACCAAAGCGATGAATCAAAGGTACTTATGTTGACTTGGGGCCAACATAAGCACTTCAGCCAAAAAAAAGCTGAAGAAGGCTAACCTTCCTCAGCTTCAGTCACATACCTCAGACAATACGACGTTTTAGCACACGCCGCGACGAACACCATCGTGCCCCACTTGTGGGGCTTGTCCTTGTTGAATTGACGCGTCGGATTGTAGCGAGAGCGAGAAGGTAGTGTGGCTTCATCGAAGCTGATCACTGGGGGCACGCGATACCCACGAGCAAAGGTTCGCTGCAGCACGTCCACCACCGGCCGAATCTTCCACGCGCAATCGATGCTTGCCCTTGGCGACTTGTTGTTCGAGAAGTGGAGGTAACCCATCACGTGAAAGAACCGATTCTTGGGCATGAATAGGTAGAACCGGTTGGAAGGGAGCGCCCCAACTGGCTTCGTCGACCAGTGCGCCGCAATACCTTTCCGAATGGGCATCAGCATGCGTGCGATAAGCAGCCCCATCACGGTGAGAACCTTCCATGACTGGATCTCCGGCACCCGCGCAAGCCGACGCCGAAGCTCGCCCAAATCTTCCACTTGCACGCCGGCGCGTCGCTGCTGCGAACGAATTGCCCTCGGTCTCTGTGAAATCGACTGCGTGTGGTACATGTCGCTTTCGTTGGCCATCTGCGTCCACAACTTCGGCGGCATAAAGTAGAACAGTAGCGCTAACGGATCGTCCCCCACGTCCATCACACGGTCACTCCGTCCGTACGGCCCATCGTACAAGTCCTTGTAAGTGGGGTCTGGGCCGAACTTGGCTGGGTCTAAAACGAACAATACAGAAGTTAGTTATGTTCACCTTTATGTTGGATACACCGAACACGTCCATGCAATTATATTGGATATGAACAACATAACTTACCATACTCCCACCCGTGCGTCCGCATCATGGCGATCGCCTTCTTGCTCTGAGCGACTGAGTTGCAGATAGACTCAGACAGCTCCCCCCTCCGTCTTCTTCCTCCTCGTCCGTGAGGTCGCTGATGTCCCAATCGCCCTCCCACTCCTCCTCCTCGTCATCACTCCACTCGTCTTCGTCTTCGGGCTCCTCCTCGAGGTCCATGTCCTCGTCGGAGTTCAAGCACGTACATACATCGGCCCCGCGGACATCATGTTCGCATCACCGTCGACAACACACGACAGAGGCACAAGCGGGATGTCCACCGATGCGCTACCGCCAGCCGAAGCCCTCTCGACATCTGATGCGCCGTCGTCGTCCGAAGCGCTATCGCCGTCCGAAGCGCCGTCGTCACCCGAAGCGCCATCCTCGTCTGCGCTCTCTTCTTGCAGAAGCGCTCGGCGTAGCTTGCGCGAGTTCCCAACGGGAGGTGGGTCCGTTCGGCAGCAGCGACGCCTGCATCAGCAACAGCAGCCAGTATGTCTGACAGCACCTCCTCCACGACAGGCTCCGCCGTCGCCTCCTCGCTGCCTGCCGTCTCCTTGGTCTCGTCCGCGACACGCGCGGGTTCATCGTTCTGCGCCGTCTCCTTCGCTTCGGCGGCAGCCATCGACACGCCCACCGCTGCCGCCATAGCGCCGGGTGTTTCCTTGGACAGTGCCGTCTCCATCGCCGCCGTCGTGTGCTTGGCAGCCCTCTTCCTCGTTGCCTTATTCGCCCGCTTCGTCTTGCCGCCTCCTTCCGCGTCCTTCTCCTCCGCGCGGCGGACACGGCGCGCGTGCCGTTCACTCAGCAGCCCTTCCAGGCAGAGCTGCCGCTCCCGCGCTGTAAGCTCGTAGCGTGGTGTCTTGCCTGACTCGCCGACCATCTTGCTCTCGGCGCGGTGTTTTCTGAAATGAGTGGTGAGTGGACGGCGGCCACTGGGGTCGAGGTGGATGACAAGTCCAATCTATATCATCTTCAACCGAATCTCTCTGAGCGACACCTAGACCTGTGCAAATGACCATTTTTCACAACCTATTATCTTGATTTCATTATGGGTATGCAGTGACAGTACGTACATACAAATTTCAAGATTAAAATTTTCTTATGTTGTACCCTCCAACATAACAGAGACGCTGCGAAAAAACTGACAGGAGCTATACACCCCTTATGATCTACGGTACAACCGTTGGGAAGGAAGGGGTTAAGGCTTAAGTGTGCTAGGCTACACGGCTTACTCCCTTCAAATTGCCGCCACGTCCATTTACTTCAAGCTCTTCTCGCAACGATGAGATCTTCAGAGATTTCAGTGGAGAATCGGTGTGCTAATACAAATGCAACGCAGCGCCACGTTCTTCTCGAGGTCTTTGGCGAGCACACTATCGACCGTCACGAAGATGATTTCGTTGTGGATGTACGGCAGGGATGCCAGCCTAGTAATAAAAGCTACAACTTGGTCTACGATTGAAGTAGTATTTCACACGGCGAACAGCTTGCCGCAGAAGATGGTCTTCCTTGTGACAAACCAATCCGCGCATGACCCAACAATCTATGCGGGTAGAGTTTCTAAAGCAGGCCACTTGCGGTCTGTACTCGACTGAATCGTGTAGCGCACAAGCAAACATAATGACAAACGTAAACACGCCATTACCTGTATTCTCGAATTGCAACGACGCACGCACCCGAAAGCAGCTCGAGTTCTGAGCAGTTGGATTTCAAATGTGGAGGATTGATGTGTATTGATCCCAACGTTGGAGTGCGAGCGTGGGTCGTTTATCCTGTGAAGGCACAGAGTGCTGGAGGTTTTCCCACGTGGTGGGGCTGTCCTATGAAAGAGGTTGACCACCACATCCGGCAGTTAGGAAAGAAGGACTACAGAGAGCAGAAAAGAACTAACGGGAGCTTTGAGCTCATTCCACAAAACACCGACTGCCTCACAGGTAGTCTTTGCTGCCTGCTCGTAACTACTCGTTTCTTGAGCCTTCTACTCTGCGAGCAACACAAGGCCGCTTCTTCAAATTGGTACACAATAAGCCTCAACCGTGACCCAGAAGGCAACACCCATGGCGGCGAACAGCAGGGCAACCATAGTCACGGACAGCAACCAGCGGACAGGAGCTCACGTCACGGAAGAATTCGGAAGTGGGAAAGAGCATACATAGGCTGATCAGCCAACGTTTCGCGCAGATATACTCCAACAACCCAGCTCAGAGTGGGTATCATGCACAGTGCACGATAATCGGCTGCTGTACTTTTTGGTTTCCCTTCCATCGGCTGTAGCTGCGTCGGAACTGCCGCACTGTGCGTGCAGGTGGGGAATATCTTAGGCAACTGCGTATCGATCATTCAAGCATCATACTAGTCAATGAAGGATTTCATAATTGAACTAATTCATTTTTACTGAAAACTTTCACGAGGCTCCAAGTTGTGAGCCTACTTAGCCGGAAAAGAGGGCGTATTCCACTGTGAGGCTCACTCAGCGCATTTACCGACCGCCATCCTGGCGATAAGACAGTTGGGCGTGTGTCTGTAGTGCCTTTCAAGCCGAGCACGCCGACGAAAGCTCCAAGCGAGAGGCCCCATTAAAGGGTTAGTTTAACTTTCCTATCCCCTTTGTCAACTTCAATAAGGGAACTAGTCAAGAGTCGGCAAAAAGTTACCCGCAGCTAGTTAAACCTCACCGGCATTCCCTATCTCTTATAGCAGTTTCCGTGTTCTCTGAAATTTATTTCAGAGTTAAGGAGCGATTGGAATCCCTGGTCTGATTAATCCCTCATCCCATACCTGACCAACTTGATTCATCGACATCTAGCAGTATCTGGAAGATTTCATACAAACAATAAGTTAAGGAAGAGTACAGTGGGAAAACAGAAGTCGCATACCCCGATTAAGATCATATTTTAAATATTAATAAATGTTACCTGTGGCGTCAGGTTGCGTGGAGCACCTCAAAAAGATGCATTCGAGCGACCTGAGCCGAGAATTTACGTTAACCGATCAGAATCTATCGATAGAGAAATAAATTACCGGGGTGGGTGCATGGTCTTAGCGCTAAACATCAATCGGTTTGATAGAAAGAGTATGACTTCACCGTTTGCTATGATGTCTTCGTTGTTCGCTCACTTTCCATTTCACGCTCGATCACTTACCCAGAAGTTTCTCTCACGCCTGCATTTTGACAACTACCACTACAGGACCACATACCGAGAACTCATCACAAAAATAAATCACTACCCGTCTTAAGTGGTTGGCTACAACGCCGAATTGGAACAGTAGGTGACGCTGCCCCGGTCTCTCTACGGTTTTTTCAAGGCAGCAGATCTGCGCCGACAATGCTGTGAACTCGATGACCAATATTTGCAAGATGAAGGAACTGCCAGCACGGACGAGCGACTCCTGATACTCCAAGTCCTGCTGGCACAGACGCCAGACGTTCTGTCCGCGCGTGGGACGCGGTAGGAAAATCCCGATTGTGCAGATGTGCCAATTCGGGGACTGGTGGTCCGGGGTTCGCAGCTATCAGGGGTGAAAATATACCGATAGGCGATCCGACTGTATCTGATTGGTAGAAAGGTAAGCGAATAGGAGGTCAGTATAGGTACGACTCACCGTAGGTATAGTGAAACCAAGTTAAAATAGATATGCAGATGTAGGGCGGCTGTGGAGGCTTCGCGAAGCTTCCATCCGCCTGAACTGCGGGGGCGGCACTCTTAGTTCCGCACGCCCTCCCCCAAGACAGCACTTCTTCCTGTTAAACTGGTAGCACTTGTTGGTCCCAGCAACCTGACTACAAGAAGCCCATGCCGACGAACGCCCAGCTACGAGCCGAGATCGACCGGCTGAATCAAGCGATGGCAGAGCGCACGCGAGTGCCCGCCAATCTGCCCAAGTTCACCGGCAAGCGGGGGGAAGACGTTCGCGAATGGCAGTTCCAGATCGAGAACGCCTGTCGCATCAACGGAATCCAAATCGAAGACGCGAGCGCGGGTATCGCCGGGTCGGCGATGGAAAAGCCGGCCTCAGGATGGTCCCTGCACTGGTCATCGACGACGAGAAGTGAGGAGCACACGTGGGGGATTTTCCGTGAGCATGTGCTCCAACACTTCGAAGCTTCGAACTACCAGGCCGTCTTGCGAGAGAAGCTGCAGCGACTCAAGCAAACGGCGGACATCGAGACCTACAACGGCGAGTACTCTGCTCTTATCTTCCGAGTTGAGGGCATGAGTGCACTTGACCAGGTGCTAAGCTACGCAAACGGTCTCAAGCCTCGTACCCGTAGCTACGTCAAGCTCGAGAACCCAGAGACGCTGAGCGCAGCTATGGACCTGGCGATCAAGTACGAAGTTACGCACTTTGTGGACGACGTGCGCGACCGCCAGTCCCGCCAAGACAAGAGGAAGATCTTCGCTGATCAAGCTCCCAAGCAAGACAAGCCGTTCAAAGGGAAACCTTTCCGCGGCAAGGGACGGTTCAAGCCGAGGTCTGACTCCAAGCGTACTGAAGGCCGCATCTGCTATCACTGCAAGAAGCCTGGCCACATCAAGGCCAACTGCTTCCTATGGAAGAAGGAGCAAGAGAAGCAGGGAAACGAGCAACCACGTCAGTGAATGAGGGTCCTGGCGTGGGCGAGAGCGTAACCGGGACACCAAAGATTGAGAATATCAACTTGAACGTTCTGTGCGAAAACCCTCTGGTCTACAAGGCACGTCCACTGTTCTCCGTAACAGGTGAAATCAGTGTTGGTGACAAGTGTCTCGCGACACGAAGCATGTTGTTGGACTGTGGAGCCACCACGATCTACGTATCCAAGCGTTGGGTCGAGAAGCACCGGCTTCAGACAACCAAGTTCAGCGACAAGAACATTCGTGTCAAACTGGGAGACAACCAAATTGTCGAGGCGGAGCTTGAAATTCTGCTGATAGAGATTCTGGTCTCGAGGCTGGACGACGCCTACAAGTGTGTGGCAGTCGTCTACCCGATTCCAGACGAATTCGATTGCATTCTTGGAATACCATTCTTCGAAGACATGCAACCACGTATTGACTGGAGAGGTCGACGAATCGAAGGAACGAGAACGAGGACTCTGCACTGGAAGCGAACAGGGAAGACCTGTGAGCCGATCGAGGAAGGCGGACCGGTGATTACCTCCGGGCTTCGGAGATCTGTCGAGGCGAAAGACCTGTCGGCGAAAAGACCCGATTCCTGTCGAGGTGCCGCGCTGGAAACGGATGTGAAGCTCACGATTGAAGCTGTTGGTGACGTAGTGCAGAAGAAATCCCCAAGTGTTGTCCGCGGACGACATGATGACGCGCAAGCTGGCAAGAGTTTAGCTGGAGACGACGACGTTGCGACGTCTGAGCGCGAGAGTACTGCAGTCGAGGCTGATGGAAGCAGCAGTATCAGGGGTGGAGACAACGCCGTGGAGATGTTCACGATGGGAGTTGTCGACGAGAGTGGTGTACAGACCAAATACATCACGCGCAAGAAGTTGCGGAAGTTCCTGAGAATCAAGACCAAGACGAGCGACGAGCCTGACTTCATGTTGGTGCTGTCGAACGAGACGATCAAGCAAGTTGCACGTTCACTGCAACGCCGAGATCAGCCCGACAACGTTGGGAGTGCGAAAGCACAACGCTATCTGGAGACAGACTGGGACACCTTCCGAGAGAATCCAGCTTTCAATCTTCTCATGGAGTATAAGGACAACGTGTTTCGTCCAGAACTACCCGAAGGTTTACCAGAGAAGCGTGACATCGAACACCGGATCGATGTGAAGGATCCAAATATGGCGATGTGCCGGCAGCAGTGGCGACAGTCGCCGGAGCAGCAGCGTGAAATCGTGCGCTGGGTCGAAGACATGGTGAAAAACAAGCTCATTCGACCAAGCATCAGTCCCCACGCAGCCCCAACATTCTGTGTCCGGAAACCAGTTGGCTGGAGAATTGTTCACGACTACCGGTACTTGAATTCGAACACCGTGCGTCAAAGTATCCCGATGACGAGGAAGGGAGACATCCTTGACGCCATGTCCGGTGCGTACTGGTTCTCCACGATGGACCTGATGTCCGCGTACTACCAAGTGCGCATGCGGGAAGAAGACATCAAGTTTACCGCATTCCAAGCGCCGAACGGTCTCTGGGAGTATCTCGTTCTTCCAATGCGAGTTTGCAACGCGCCAGCAACGATGCACAGATTGACATCGAAGCTCTATCGAGACTTGAAGAACACGAAGTCGTTCTACGATGAATCTATGTTTTCACCAAGTCACCGAAGATCGAGGACCATCTGAACGCACTGCGGAAAACACTTGACATCTTGCGTGATAACAAGTTGTACGTCAAGCTGTCCAAGTGTGTCTTCTGCTCCGACGAGATCCCGTGTCTCGGAGATTTCGTAGGGCGAAATGGAGTTCGGATGGATCCAGACAAGGTGCAGACCATCAAGGACTGGCCTGTACCACGGACGCAAGAAGAGCTTCACAGCTTCCTTGGCTTGACAGGTTACGTCCAGCGATTCTGTCCAGAGTACGCATCTCTGACAGCCTCCATGTTTGCGCTCTTGAAGAAGAAGAACAAGCGGAACGCCAAGATTCATCTCAGCGACGAGCAGCTGAAGAACTTCAAGGAGTTGATGCGGCGACTGTGCAACCCGCCAGTATTGCACTTGCCGGATTTCAGCAGCCCCATGCATCTGCGTACCGAGGCAAGCAAGTTTGCTGTCGGTGGAGTCCTTTTTCAAGTGGTGGACAGAGTTGAGCGCCCGATAGCGTACACAAGCCGGAAGATGAAGTCGGCAGAGCTCAACTATCTGGCTCAGCAGCAGGAGCTACTAGCGATCGTTCATGCGCTGGCAGCGTTTCGGATCTACTGCCTGGACAAACCACCCATCGTCGAGACAGATCACAAAAGTCTCGAAGGACTGTTCACCCAGAAGATGGCCAACCGTCGACTCGCTCGCTGGTACGACATCCTTGCGGAATACCAGCCGACGTTCCCGTACCTTCCCGGTGCGAAGAATGGCATCGCAGACGCGTTAAGTCGAAGGTCAGACTTACAACCGGAGACGAAGTTCTTCCACGACTTACGGGTGACCAGCTTCGACGACACATCCTTCAGCCTCGCGATCAGCGAAGTAACGGGTGACTCGGAGCTGATTACGCGCATCAAGAAAGCGTACAAGAAAGATCGTGATGTCCAAGCAATCTTGACAGCAATCAAGCGACGCAAATCCGACTCAAAACCAAAGCGCGAACACCAGCAGCACAAGAAATACCGCTGCTACTCCGAAGCGAACGGGTTACTGTGGTATCAAACGCCTGCAGATGACGCTCCACGGATTGTCGTGCCCAACGATGTGAAGTTGCGACAGACAATTATCAGCGAGTGTCACGACACCAACTACGGAGGCCATCCCGGTGCGGAACGTACGTACTTGACACTGGCGCGCCATTGGTACTGGCCAAAGATGTTGAAGTCCATCCAGAAGTTTGTCGCCGACTGCGAGCCTTGTCGGAGGAACAAGCCGCGGTTGACGAAACCTCCTGGGTTGCTCGAGCCACTCAGTATTCCAGACGAGCGTTGGAGATCCATCTCCATGGACTTCATCACTGATCTGCCGCGAACGGAGCGGGGCATCGACTCTATCTGGGTCGTCGTCGATCGGTTGACCAAGCGGTGTCATTTCGTGCCAATCACCAAGAAGGTGAACGCCGAAGGTGTTGCTCGACTCTTCATCGACAACATCTGGAAGTTACACGGCATGCCGACGAATATCGTCTCCGACCGCGACAGGAAGTTCGTGTCCGCCTTCTGGCAGCATGTCTTCAAGTCCATCGGGACGAAGCTAAGCATGACCGTTGCACATCGCGCTCAAGGTGACGGACAAACGGAGCGCATGAACCGAACCTTGGAAGAGTATCTTCGGTGCTTCGTCGGTCCACTTCAAGATGATTGGGACGTCCATCTCGCCAACGCTGAGTTCGCTGTCAACTCAACTGTCAACTCCAGCACGAACCTTGCGCCGTTCGAAGCCGATCTGGGCTACATTCCGCTGAATCCACTTCAACTTGCATCCGAGCAACTTGAGAGTGTCCCCAAGAGTCGCCGCGGAGCAGAGTTTCACGAGCGACAGGCGGCGATTCTCTTACGCTGTCGCGAAGCGTTAGCTCAGGCCCGAGAACGGATTCGCGACGTCTACGACCGAAACCGTGTTGAGCAGATCTTCGAAGTTGGTGACAGGGTATACTTGAGCACGCAGAATCTGAACCCGAAGCACTCCGGCTTGCCCAACTCCACCAAGTTCGGACCCAAGTGGATTGGACCGTACACCGTGGTGCGGAAGATTCATAACCACGCATACGAGCTCAACATACAGGCTGGCAACAAACTGCATCCCGTCTTCAACACTGCGTCATTGAAGCCGTACAAGGAGCTGACTCGCTTGTCGAGGCCAAGCGACGTAATCTTAGCGGACGGCAGCATTGGCCAGATCGTCAAGGCATTACGTGGAAAGCGAACGCGAAAACGGCGGATCCAATATCTTGTGGAGTGGGTGGGCGAGGAGAAACAAACCTGGGAACCAGTGGAGAACTTGTCGCAAGTCCCAGATCTCATCGCAGAATTTGAATCTGCACGGCGAAAGAAGCGTCGAAAACGGTGAAGCAGGATCAACTGAAGGGGGGCTCAAAGGCCTACATGTATTCCCGTATTACATCCCCTCTTGTTGCAGAACCTGCTGCTTCATGCGCTTCTCCCGCTTTTTCTGCGTCTTCGACTTGCGCTTGCCGTGGCGACACTTGTATCCTGGTTGCAGCTCCACTTGCGCCATCCATTTCACGTGCTGAATCCACTGCTAGTAACTCAGAGGATGAACGTCCACCGGCGGGTTCTTGCGGGCATTGAAATTGTCAAGAGCCAGAAGTTGCTTCTCCGGACCACGGCTAACCACGACAAAGCAGTGCCCGACATCATGGCGGCCAGCGCTGACGACGTAAACACCGGGTGCTTGTTTGCGGCAAACCCCTTGGAGCGTCGTGATGTTGGCACTTGACTCTGGAAGAGCGTTTCGGTGAAGGACGTCGTAGTTCAGTGGCACACTCTTGCGCTGCAGAACTTTGAAGAACTCCGTCACGTCGTCGCGAGACACACCGTACTGGATGGCTTCAGGTCGCGTGTCTTCATACGCATCCCACATCTCCATTGTGACTAGATCCGGCTGTCCGAGATAGTACAAGGCCGAGCGGAAAGCATCCATGAAACAAGTACCAGCCTCCGACGCGGAATCACGCTCCGAGTACCAATAACAGAAGGTGCGCTTGTCTCCCGATTCCTTCCGAGCGTCCACCATCCTCATCATGTAGCGCGTCGACGGTTTGTCGAGCTGCTCCATCCAGACCCAGCTTAGCTGTAGCGGATTGCCTTCCCATTCCACCAAGTAGCCACGGTGCGGAGCCTTGCCCCTGACATCCAAGGCACGGACGATGTTAACCTCAGTGTTGTAATCCCAAGGCTTCTTCGGGTCGTAGTGGTTCTTGCGGTTGTTCGACGGATGGTGTTTTGGGCGCCGGAGGAAGCGGCATCGGATGCCACGTCGAAGTCTCGTCACCGCGACGCAAGCGCAAGCGGTCAACCTGAGGCAGGCCTTCATCGTCGTCACTATCATCGAAAAGCCCGGATTCATCTTGAGGCGAGGCCTCAAAGGTCGCCCCAAGCGCAGGCTCAGCAGCTATCGCCTCCTCGACAGACAACCCTTCCACATCGAGCATGAAGACCAACTCCTGGAGGCGCGTAGGTGGAGAAAAACCACCAGCCGAAGCAACAACCTCACGCGGCGCTGGCAGCGCCGGGGACGCCGAGCCCGAATCTGGAGAGCCAAGACCGGGAGAGCGACTGGTGAGCTCTAATTCTTCCCACACACGCACCATCTCTTCGTCAAGACCGGAGTCAGCATCGCTGTCTTCACCAGCAGCGGCCACAACATCGACAATCTGCGCGAGCGCGGCGGCGCATTCAGAGTCTGCCGGCGCGGCCGGCGTGGCGGCGCCAGGCGGAAGCATGGACGGACCATCGAGATTTGCGGTCGCCAAAGGCGACGCAGACGGCGGAGCCTCAACATCATGATCAGCCGTCGCTGGAGGCAAGGCAGAACGCGCGAAAGCAGGAGACTGCATTCCGGTAGCAGTAGAAACCGCTAGCGACACAACCATCAGCCCAAGGAACCAATCCAAGCCTCCAACAACCAGGCCGAGGCGAAGGAGAAGCGAGGTCGGACTAATTCCTCAGGCGACAGTCGGAAGCGTCGCAGTTCTCTGTCTTTTTCGGGAATGACAAGTCGGAAGGGCGCCCAGCCAGAGAAGGGGTGAGTGTATCTGATTGGTAGAAAGGTAAGCGAATAGGAGGTCAGTGTAGGTACGACTCACCGTAGGTATAGTGAAACCAAGTTAAAATAGATATGCAGATGTAGGGCGGCTGTGGAGGCTTCGCGAAGCTTCCATCCGCCTGGACTGTGGGGGCGGCACTCTTAGTTCCGCACGCCCTCCCCCAAGACAGCACTTCTTCCTGTTAAACCGACAACACGGACACACCCGCCCAGCCATTCTACACTAACAGCACTACCACTCAACGAAGGCTGAGATAGGAGGACTTCGAAGAATTCTCTTTACGATCTATCGGCATCTCCTGCGGCTGCTTCGTAGCCGCAGCATTGCCCCGTGTGCACTTCAAAGCATATAGAACATTGAAAATTACTCAAGACCTCGCTGGCACGGCATTGAAATGTATGTCGCTCGAAAGTCGTGAGAATGTCGTTCGATGACACGCCGCCTAGCGACAGTTCTTCGGATCTTCGAGCTGCGAATACTATTTTAATAGTATTAAAATAGCGTCCTTGATCAGACTGGCAAATCACGAACAAACACAGAAGGACCACGGCTCCAGGTACAGGGCATATCGCTAATACATGACGGAATAGAGAATTCCACACATAGCTATTCAACAGAGGCTGCATTTACACCATGAGCATATATTTCTTCATTTTGGATAAGGTCGCACAATTCTAGTAAACACAATGAGACCGAGCATATAGAAAATCTCAGATTAGCTTCTTCGGGCCGCCGTCACGCCCACGAAAAGATAAAATTTTCATTGGCCAAAAATACATTAAGTACGAACTTGAGGGGCCCGCGATCGGACCGGGGAGCTCGCTGCACTGCTCGCAGCGAGCTCCGCGAGCGGAACGCCCTACCATTGTCGAAACCCCTAATAACCCTGGTGAAGCGCCGGCGCAGCGGCGCGCTGAGCCCTAGTTAGCTATTAACAGTACTGTACTGACTGTACTTGAGCATGCCCGTTTTGTCATCGCTTATCTTAGGATTTGCCATTAGCTGACTACCTATACTCAGCTAAGGTGGTTTACCGATTCATGACCTCTGACCAGTTCATGGACTAAAGCGACTATTATCCAATCTTCTTATTTGGGCTAATATTGCTCTGATTGGCTTTTTTAACCAGATCTTGGCCCTCACTTTTCCTTGCGCTGATCCCATCAGATATCGAGTCGAGCGTAAGATGAAGGCGGCCTTCACAGACAAGCAGCTAGAAGAAGCTATCGACCGCGTCCTCGCAGGAGAGAAGAGAGAAGCTCGCAGCCGTGGCCGACCCGTCACCAGTGTCGTTGTCAACACTAAAGCGCAAAGTCGCCGCGCGCATCGAAGGTCGATCTATTGAGCGCCAACGGCCCGGACCTGCCCCCCTGCTGCCTCCCTAGTGTGAAGCCGATGTAGTGACATGGATCGCTGCAATGCAGCGTCGTCTGGTCCGATAAGCAATGGTGCAGGAGCTGCACTCCAAGCGCGTGACAACAATGGCGCCGAAGTGCCTGCAGTGGAGCCGCTGTTCATCATCGAGAGCGCAACGGTTTGAGTTTGGTATGAGACTTTGTATGGGATCGCAGTGCGTCATAAAAAAATAAGTTTCCGCTTTGTTTGCTTCGCTGTTGCTTGCTCATATTTGCTCATAAATTGGTGCGAGGACCCTCAAAATTAAGCGCTTGTATAAATGCTAGCGTTGTAGCATCGCTGCTCTAATATTGGTGTCGTCATCGACGATTTCGCATGAGGTGCTGCTGGCGGGTCATGAATTGGTAAACCACGTTATGACACAGCATATGCTTGCCGTCAAACCACGCGAAAAGCGAATTCATCATTTCTGTCTTAGAAAACGTGACTGAGGTGGTCGTTGTTCGATGGACATGAGTCATGTCACGAGACTACATGCAATGTGACTGGGCGTGAGATCTCCCTTTCGAAAGGTCTTGAAGGCTGAGTGGAAGGTCCTGCCATTTGGGAGATGGCACGCACCAACAGAAATTAATAAATACAGCAATAGAGCCTTGTTTGCTCAATAAGTGGACAGATTTCATAGGTTAACCAGCAGTACAACAGAACACTGAGCCTTCTAATCATGCGCTACGTATAAATATTTCTTAGCGGTGGAGGCGCTCTATTCCTTACTACAGTAGAACGCCTAGGCGTCTACTGTAGTTCGAGGGAGACGATATCCTGGATAGCGTGAAAACTGACACACATGGGTGTGATCACAATGTACGCACGGCGGAAGATCGCAGTTACTGGGGATGGAGGTCAGTCAGATGTCGCCTCGTAACCAAGTCTCGATGTTGCTGCCGAAGACGAGAGCGCAGCTAATAATGAGGTAGGTACTTGCTCGAACAACCTGTACAGTATAGCCATATCGCCCGTTACATTACTTCTTAAGTCTCGAGTACATGACGTCGGTGCGTAACAAGTACTTGGCTCCTCTCGTCACGAGCGCTCCTTCATGCAGCAGACAGCGGTCTCCATGTCCATGCACCAATGCCGCCCCCGTTTCGGGCGCCACACTAAGCACAACATCCTCCTCCTTGGCTCCAGCCTCGTTGCCGTAGAAGATGGTGTTGCCGCCCAGCAAGTTCGAGTCCTTCGAGTCGTTGAGGTACACCAGCACCGTGAATCGGCTGTGGTAGCCCGTAACCCGATCCACGTCGCTCTGGTCCACGTGACAGCCGAACCTCTGCCCCTCCACGTAGCGGTAGAAGCGGATGGCCGGGTTGAGCCCCACGGCGTGCATGCCCTCGTACTCGGCGGGCACGTGCGGCTGCAGGCGCTGCCACAGCAGCTCCGCGAACGCCGGCAGTCGCAGCAGCAGCCGGTCGTTGTCCCGGAACGCGAAGTCCTTCGTCGCGCGCTGCGTGACGCGCTCGAATCCCTCCTGGTCGGCGAAGGAGCGCACGCGCTGGCACTCGGCGCGCGACAGGAAGGACGGCACGGCGTAGATGAGCTGGTCGTGCAGGTGCCGCACGCGCAGCGACTGGCGCTGAAGCTCGAAGCGCAGCGCCGGCGGCACCACGTCGGCCTCCCAGGCGGCGATCTCCCGGCGCGCGTACGAATTGCCGGTCGGCTTGCCCTTGCCCTTGGCGGGCTTGCGCGCAGAGGAGGAGGAGGCAGCGGAGACCTTCTTCTTGCCCATTTTTGAGTGGTGCTTGCTGACGTATTATGATTGGTCGGGGGTAATAATGTACCGTTTGAGAGGTACATGGGCTCACAAGGCCGACGGAGGTTTGAGGAACAATAGATAAGGACCTACACGTTAGAATATTTAGCCGACCAATCCTGTCTGTCCAGCGCGCCCGACGTGGCGTAGCCATTCCATTTCGTCCATTTCAGAGGTACAGTAGGCATCCCGGTGATGGTAGGGCGCAATTTCCAGGCTGCTCCTGCTCGTGATTGATACAGGCGATGCAGGCTCGATCATGGCGCTTCGATTGCGACTGCAGCAGCAAAATAGCAGCAATTAGCGAGCTAAGGTTAGCTGACTCAGCGCCTCAGATTTACCGAAGAAACCCCTCGGTGTTCCTTTTTTGCCACACGCGCTTCAGCCTGTATACTGTAATACTCACGATTTCCACTCGCTTCAGCACCAGAACCACTTCCCCGAGAGTTCTTCTATTGTTCACAGCCACATTTCCAACTCCATATATGGTATACCTGCTTATAGCTTTAGCCAAGACTTCATTCATTTAAGCGGGTTACTCATCTACCACAGGGTTTTGCCCGAAAAAAGGAACTGAACCAGACGAGGCGAGGCACCGCAAATAAAGGAGGAGAGGAAGAGCTCAACTGGAAGGAAGGAAGCCTCTCGCCCACCTGCCCGCCCACCGGCCATCGGATGCCTCGCTCGCCGCCGCTGGGCTCAGATCTCGATCTTCTCTAGCCCGCGCACCGCCCGCGCACCGTAGCGCCATGATGGACGACGTGGCCGGCTTCGAGCAGGCCGCCAAGAAGTCCTGGCAGTCCTTCAGCACCATGCGGCGCTTCGTGGACGAGGCCACGCGCCTGGAGAACGCCAGCTGGCGCCTCTGGTTCATGCAGCGCAGTCGCGCGCCCCACGGCGCCGACGAGCCCGACGCTGAGGACGCCGCTACCGGCGGTGTCGCCGCCGAGGGCCCGCGCGCGCTCTGCGTCTACTGCGAGCTGCACAGCGCCAGCCTCAGCTGTAACGGCTGCTGCCACGACAACTACTGCGTCAGCTGCTTCAAGCTCATCCACAAGAAGGGCAACCTGGCCCTGCACACGGCCGTCAAGATCCACGTCGTGAGTGCAGTAGCGGCAACCATGGCAATTATCCAATCTAACACGTCGTTCGATGTTGCAGCACCATCACAGACACTCGGAGAGGGAGGTGGCTAGCAGCAGTGGGGCGTCCACGACCTGTGAGGACGCGGATCTGTCCACGACGTCCAAGTCGTCGTTCAAGAAGAGCTCGGACAACGAGGCCTCGAGCGGAGGCCCCAGCTCTCCGCAGCAGAAGCCTGGAGAATCCATCTTCAACAAGCCCTGGGAGCTGCAGATGGACATGCTGCTCCAGCGGCTCATGATGAACAGCATCCACAGCGAGCTTGACATCAGGTAAGTGCGCAAACGTGGTTGAATTTGTGGCTGGAGGGATGGGCTCCGCATCATTTACCGCCACTGTAACTGTCGGTCGATTGCGCAAAATGGCTCACTTGGTGCTGGTTGCAGTGTGCACAACATCGATGGGCGCGACTCGCTGGACGCCTCGGACTCGATTGCGACGTACCTCTCGGACGGTGAAGACGTCGTACCGCCGCTTTCCTTGGGCGACACGACCGATTCGGACGAAGAATCGCGAGAGAAATCCAACCAGGCCGTTGTGGCCGCTGCGGTGGCTGCTGCAGGTCGACACCGCGCGCACTCCTTGTCGTTTGAGGAGAACGCAAAGCTGCGGTCGCCGGTGATATCTCCAGTTGTGATCCACCCGTCTCCTCCTGGTATGGCCGGAAGCATGGAAGATACGAAGCTGCCGGCAAACCTGTTCCCTGCAGGACTGCCACGGACTAACAGCCGTCGGAGGAACTCGCAGAATTGCGCAAACTGCAATGGAAACCACATTACAATCGCCTGTCCGCTGCTGGAGAGCGCGCTGATGCCACCGGCGGTGTCGCCTACGCCAGGCGGATCGGGCGTGGATACGGTGCTGCGCAAATGCTTCACGACGATTCACAACAACAACATGGCCAACAGCACGCACGCGTTCCTTGGCGACGAAGTCAGCGTGCGAGGAGGCAGCAACTTCGCCAACATGAAGCAGTGGCCGTCCAGTAGTGCATTGCAGCAGATGGACCGACCGTCGCCGTTTGGCATGAACGTTATTGCGGAGGACAACCTGATGGCCAACGAAGATCTGGCGCCGATGCTGGGAGAGCTTGCCGTGCCGAACGCAGGAGGCAATCTTCATTCTTGGAATGCGGACTCGTGGTTGCTGTCATGTCTGGCGACGGAGCTCCCTTCCGATGTGTTTGAGGAACTGCGTGGCTTGGAGCGGGGCGATAAAAATTGGTCCTTCTCTACAGGTCCCGATTCGTCCGGCATGGCACTGACAGGTTGGGTCCACGTGAAGGTACCGGGACGGAAGTGGTGCAGGCGCTTTTTGTCCTTGTATCGCAATAACTTGTGGGAGTATCTGGATACGAATGAATCAAGCCGTCCTGTCGGCCACGCTAATTTGTTCGAGGGATCTGTCCACCCGCAGCAACGGAGTACGGTGGAGTTTGTACTCAAGTACAATAGCCTGTCATCGGCCAGCTCTGCGCGCAATGAGCTGTGGCTGCAGTTCGACTCTGAAAAGGATGCGATGCAGTGGCGGGAGACGATGACACGCGCTGTGAAGCTGCAGATTGACGATTTGTTTGATCTTACTCCGGATTCGCCGACTGGGACGTCTCCGAAGAACTTCGAGCTGGGCAAAGGACGCTTCTCAATTGTTCGTCGTGCGCGCCGGAAAGATGGTTTGGACGACCCATCCAGCACTCGAGATTGTGCTCTGAAGATCATTGAGAAGAATATTTTCTGGGACTTGGTCGCACGTGAAACAGAGCGAGAAGACACAGTGGTGCGCGAGATTTTGACGCAGAGTCTGCTGACGGTACGCTCGGGCTCCTCATACTGTCCAGTGATTCGGCTCCAGTCGCTATTCGAAACACGCAACCACTTGGTCATGGAGCTGGAACTGATGCGAGATGGAGACCTCCACGAAGAGATCGCCACGAAGAGTGCTGTGGACGAATCGCGCGCATCATTTTTGGTTGCCAGCCTAATCCGCGCCATTGATTATTGCCAACGCAATGGCGTCGCTCACCGAGATGTGAAACTATCAAATCTGGCACTGGACTATGAGCGGAGCGCAAATGGCAAAGAGTACGAAGCAGCGTTATTGTTTTCGAGCAAACGCCCTCATATTCTAACGTTCGTTTTTTTTCATTGATGAACAGGTATGCGGTCATCAAGGTTGCTGACTTTGGTATGGCAGCATTCATCCAGAAGGATGGAATGCTGAAGGGCAGGTATGTTTGTTTAGGTTGCCTGGATATCACGTTACAACACACTAACTAATCTTTCGATTCGCTTTCGTAGATGTGGAACTCCTGGGTTCGTCGCTCCGGAAATTCTATCAGCTGGTAAGGGTGAAGCATACCCCATGGGAGTGGATATGTTCTCTGCGGGTGTTGTGGCATATACAATGCTTTGCGGCTATGAACCATTCTTCGGTGTGAACGACGAAGAGCTTATTCAAATGAACAAGCGGGTTGATTATGAGTTCGAAGAACCGGAGTGGGCGAGTATCTCTGATGAGGCCAAGGATATGGTACGTGCGGATAGTTTTATCGACGATGGCGCGATTTCGTGAAGGCTAACTTGGTGATTATCCGATGTTTGTTTGTACAGATTTCTCTCATGATGGAGAAGGATACATACAGGCGAGTAACACCAAAGGAGGCACTGGAACACCCATTCCTACGGGAAGCCAACGCTGTATTGGAGGACCTCTTCCGAGAACAACAGCCTATTAACCCCACGCGATTGCTATGACGGAGCTGCATTATCAATGCTCTTGATAATGCACGGGCGAGTAAGAAAGCTTGGGGACGCCTTCTGTTTTCTTTTTGTGGACTTCTTTCTGCATGCATACGGCGTTTGGGCAACAGAAGACGGGAGCTTACGTATAATATACTTTGAATTTACCAGCGTTATGTGGCCCTGTTGAGGTACGCGTCCAAAGGGAACGACAGGTAGCGTGCTGTCTCCTGGACGAAGCGCGCGTCAGCAAGGCACCGGAACTTGATGTTGTCCAGCACATGCGGCGGAGTTGTACGCTGAAAGAGCTGCATCCGCACGAGTGTCGCGAGCTGTAAACAATAGATAACGAATGATAAGTACTGCAGTAAGGCAAGCTTAGCAGACCACAGCGAACTCACATGAGCGAAGACATCCTCGCGTGTTTCGGACGAGCACGATTCGTCGTCAGCTTCAGCTTCGACCCGGAGGTTGAGGTAGATGGCTAGAAGCCGCTGCAGTGTAAAAATCCGAGGCCCGATGAGCAGTTGGCTGATCTGCTGCTTCTTGTTGCCGCTTGTGGTTGTACTTGAGGGTGTACTCGACTCGCCAGCAGTGTCTTTCTTGACGCGCTTCTTGCGCCGCTGTCCACCAGAGGACGAGAGGAAGCGCACATCCGTTTCTTGAGGATTGAACGAAGCCAGATAACCTGCAAGCACGAGCAGCAAGCAGTTCCGGCTCAAATTGCTGCAGGAGATCAGCTCGGACGGATCGCCGACGCTGCTCCCGAGCTTGTGGTAGCCGAACAGGTGCCTCCGTCGAGTCTGTAAGAACGCCTGGACCAGAGACTTCGTATCCCGCTCGATCTTACTCTTCGTCCTGGAGGCTTGAGCACCTTCCACAGGCTGCAGGAAAATGTCCCGGAACTCGGGCAGCAGATGCACGACCGCCGCGCGAAACTCGAGCCAATCCCCATCCGGCGCAGGTGGCAACAGCCCGTGCAGGTGAATGAGCCACGTGCGGAACAGTTCGTTCGCCTCCTTCATGCCCAACTGCTCCACCAGAATATCCGCCAGTTGTCCTGCAGCAACACCATCCCATCTGCAATAAGCACCACATAACGAGCTCAACAGCAGCAAAAGCAGCTACTTACCCGGCTTGTACGGCGGGAAGTGCACGTAGGCAGGAATGAAGGGCATCACTAGTCGATCAAAGTCCAGCGACATTCCCCTCGTAGCCAACAGCACACAGGCTTCCCACGGCGGAGAATCCTCGAACATCTACAGCAGCAGCGTTACTCAACCAATCCACCCGTACCCGATACAAATATGCTCCAGACACTTACATTCAAGTAGGCGATCTGGTCGTTGATGGTGCACACACACGTCAGCAACGCTCCCAGGCCTCGATCCAGCAGTTTGTCTACGTGGTCCAATGCCAGGTACAGCACGCGCCTCGTCCTGTCATCGCCCATTGCGATGTGGTGCACCATGAAGTTGTCCAGCGCCTTGAAGAAGCTCAAGAAGTTGAGCGAGCTGAACTTGTCCTCGTCTTCAGCGGCCATTGCGCGTTTGTTGCCCTCATTTGCAGACTCGACGGAAATCGTCACGCCGTCTGCGGTGTCTTCGGCCTCGCTGCTGACGACTCCATCGCGCAGCTGGGCCAGCGCCTCGCGGTAGAATTCCTTGGCCGAGTAGAGCGCCGTGCAGTCCACGAGCGCGTGCGGCGCCGGGTGCGCGCGCAACGCCTGCGACACGCCCACGCTCTTGCCGGTGGACGCACCGCCATACACGATCACCAGCGGCGCTGGAGACTCAAAGGCGGCCGCATGCAGCCCAGCCGCCCGCGCCAGCTCCGCCAGCGGAACCTCTCGGCCGATCATGGACGCTCTGAATAAGGCAAATGGATACAAATTCCATCTAAGTACGAATCCGTTTCGCTGTTTGAAGGTGAAGGCCACCTTGGGGCAAGGGATGTTGAAGTGTGTTGATACAGGGAGCGATGAAGGTGGACTTGAAGACTGCTGCTTGGGCATTGCTGGTCGCTTCGAATTGCGCGCGTGAGGCGCTGGCCGTGGTCGCTGAACAAGTTCAACAACAACAACAGCATCCCATGAGCCTTTATATTCCGATGCCTGTAACAATGAAAAATAACAACGTAATTGTTGCAACTAAGTAAACAGGAAACCAGGAATAGTAGTAGAAAACGTAAGCTCTCACTTCACTCTTTAGAAAAGTATAGAGACCAAATATCGTAATATCCGGTTATGCAGATCTGTCAACCGTCACGCCGGACTCCAACTTCACTTCGCAATCCGCCTCCACTTGCCGCCAAGCTTAACCACCACATCGCCATGGCCCCACGCGCCGCCGAGCTGTTCTCCATGATGAGCGGAGCCGTGGACGAGGTGGGTCCGTCGCTCGTGAGCAAGGTGAAGGGCGTCATCAAGTTCGACATCTCGGGCGCCGGCGCGTGGCTCGTGGACCTCAAGAACGGCAAGGGCAGCGTCAAGGCCGCCACGGCCGCGGACAAGGCCGACCTGACCATCACTCTGTCGGAGGAGAACTTCCTCAAGATGATGGACAACAAGCTCAACCCGCAGCAGGTCTCTCTCTCCACTGCTAATAACTCACCTTTAAAGCTCAGTATCACTAATTAACTACTACTTGGCAGGCGTTCATGAAGGGGCTCGTGAAGATCAAGGGCAACATGGGGCTCGCCATGAAGCTCAACGTGGTGCTGGCGGCCACGCGCAACTACATGAAGAAGCAGGGCGCTGGAGCCAAGCCCGCAGCTGCTGCTGCCAAGCCTGCTGCAGCCGCTCCGGCCGCTGCTGGGGGCCTCAACTCGAAGGAGATCTTCCGTCTGCTCGGAGAGGTCGTGGCCAAGGACGGCGCCTCGATGGCCAAGAAGGTCAAGGGCGTCATCCAGTTCGACATCACTGGGGCTGGCAAGTGGAACTTGGACCTCAAGAGCGCCACGCCCGCGCTCACGGAGGGGACCAAGAAGGCTGACGTGACCATCACGGTCGCTGACGCCGACTTCGTCGCCATTGCCATGGGCAAGCTCAACGCACAGCAGGCTTTCATGAAGGGCAAGCTCAAGCTCAAGGGCAACATGACCCTCGCCATGAAGCTGCCGGTCGTCTTCAACGCGCTCAAGCCGCAGTCCAAGCTGTAGAGATGCTAATCTACACCAAGCCAGCGGCAGATGAATGCTCGCTCAGCTTTCGCTCTCCAGTCTCTTGGTAACGATTGATCCAGTAATGAACTCCTTGCAACCTTACCTTCCCGACCACCTTCACGTTGACAATACTGCAGCACTCGATCAATACTTGGTAATCTCGTATATTTTTTGTTGTCAAGGCGTGGAGATGGCGACCAAAAGTGTCAGCTCAGCTCAGCAATTGCGATCGCGGCGACATATCGTCGCCGCACTCCCCACGCCTTGTTCTTACTATACCATACTCGCTCGTTAGCGTACGAGAAACAAAGGAGCAGGCCAGCTCGCGCCGGCGCTCCATCTCTCCCCTCTCCGAGGACGGAGAACAGAGAGAAAAAAGTCACCTATCCGTATGCCGGCGCCGTTCGAGACCGCGTCGTCATGTCGTGTGTTGTTGGAGCGTCTACTGCTGCTTGGGCTTGGTGGTCTTCTTCTTGTTGACGACCGTCTCCCAGCCCTCCTCGGCGTCCTTCTTGGCGGCAGCGGCGGCCGCCTTCTTCTTCTCCTTCTCCTTGTCCGTGTCCACCGCGGGCTTGCCCGAGGAGCTGGCGCTGGCGGCCGCGCGCTGCTTGGCCTTGGCGTTCTTCTTCTTCTGCTTGAGCTTGAGCTTGCGCTTCTCGGCGCGGATGGCCTCCTCCTCCTCCGAGTCCGGACCGTCCTGCAATAAATAATAATACAGTACAACACAGCAAAAGATCAGCAACTGAGGTCCTCCCACGTCGTATCAAAAGGGGGAGTTGTAGCCCACGTACGTCCACGAACTCCTCGAGGTTGATCTCGGGGGACGAGTTCTCCTTGTCGGCGGGGGCGGCGCTGGGCGTCTTCTTCTTGGCCTTGCTCTTGCTCTTCTTCTTCTTGGGGGCGGCCGCGGCCTCGGGCGCCGCCTTGCTGCCGCCACTCAGCGCCTTGGCCGCGGTGAGGCCCACGGCGGCGGCCACCAGCGCGCCGCCGACGGCGATGCCCGTGGTCGGGTTCTGCTCCAGCAGCGTCATGATCGAGTCGGCCATTGTGTGGAAGTGTCTCTGTAGTCGATAGCGGAGCTCTTGGGTCGGTGCCGAATGCAAAGTGGGCGACGGCGTCGTTGGATCGGCGGGTCGAGTGAGCCGAGCGAACACGTGGCTGTCCGTTAAGAACCGGCTACGAACCAGGTCAGTTCCAAACGCACATAAACAGTCTATACAACGCTACTAATGTTCCTAACGGTATTCCATATCCGCTATAATAGCGGATACGAACCTATTGTCATTGTTCAAGGTGCATCATGAGCGCCGGCCTGCGCGTGGATCGCGAGCTGCTGTGGCGCAAGCTCTTCGCCTTCGACCACCAGCCAGACGACGGCGCGCTGTCCACCAGCTCTCAAGACGCCTCCGAACGTCTGTGCGAAGTGATACAGAGCGCCGTGGCGCGCGGCCGCCAGGAGCCGCTGCGCCAGATGCTGCTGCAGCGGCTCGGCTACTGGCTGCGCTCGGACGTCGTGCCGCCCTTCTGGAGCTTCTTCGACGCGCTGAGCTCGGGTGCTGTTGGCTCCAGGTGCGGGCGCCGACAGCTGGTGCTGCTGTGTGCGCAGGAACTGACGCTGGCGCTGCAGTTCGCGGAGGACGCGTTCGCCCACTGCGTGCAGATCGCCAGTCTCTTCGACGACCACGCGCAACTCAAGAGGAAGCAGGAGGAGACGACAATGTTGCAGGAGCTGCGCACCAGCTTCCGCTGCCTCGTGTTCGAGGACGCGCGCGCCGTCGAGCGCTTCGAGGAGCTGCTGGTCATCTTCTTCTCCATGAGCTTCCACAAGTTCCGGGGTAAGGAGAAGTCGCAGGCCTTTGACTCGAGGCCCATCCGCCAGACGCTGCTGCAGTTGCAGTGGCTGCATGTGGCCGAGCCCGCGCTGCTGAGGGTACTTCATTCTCAAGTGAAGAAGGTGGTGAAGGCCACGTGTGGAGAGGTGTATGATGAACTGTACCTGGCTGAGCTAGAGGAGTGGGCGTGCTCGGAGCTGCTACCCTGGCTGGAGGAGATCATGCAGACGAAGGATGAGAACTTGGCCAGAAAGTGGAGAGAGACGCTGTCGAGGCATGTGCTGCAGGAGTTTGGCAGTCTTCGTATCAAGCAGCTCTTCGAGATCATTAAAGAGTTCCCGGACAGGTAACGAAAGTATTATGTGTGAGATTAGCATCGCGGTTGCAATTGGACTGACTCAGGTTGTGTGCAGTATCCCAGCGCTGGAAGACTTGAGACTATGCCTTGAGCGCACTCAACAGCATGGAAAGCTTCTACGAGAGTTTCGAGGTGCGTTGCAGTCGCGGCTACTTCAGCCGGGAGCGAATACGTCCGCGATTCTTGATATTTATGTGTCTACGATCAAGGTACAACGGAGAGCTGTAGCGGGGGGGGGGGGGGGCAGAGTCAACGAGCCTAACCGAACTGCTCCTTTTGTACATGACCACTGTAGGCATTCCGGTTATTAGATCCGAAAGGTGTTTTGCTGGAAGCGTTAAGCGGTCCAGTGAAAGAAGTAAGTGAACTCTTCCCGCGAAATCGAAAGTGTGGGTGTGGCACAGTTCTAACCTCCCGGTTCGCGATTGTTCGACAGTATTTAAGAAAACGGAAAGACACTGTGCGCTGTATCGTCCAGAGTCTCACCGACGAGCAAAACGGTGACTTATTCGAAGAGCTTCGACGCGACAATATGCGCATTATCCAGCACGACGACGACAGTGACGATGATGAGGTATGTCTCGGCAAGCTTATTCACTCTACGGAATGAATAGTGACCTGACGATATGTTGCGGACGTGGCAGGACATTTCACCCGACACATGGGAGCCAGACCCCATTGAAGCTGACCCAACGAAGACTTCGCGCAGTCGCAGCAGTGACGATATTCTAAGGATTCTCGTGAGTTGCATGCAAATTGCTGAGCTGGAGTCTCCATTCCCCAACTAACGGCGTCTTCCGTAGGTCAACATCTATGGAAGCCGTGAACTATTCGTGAACGAATATCGGATGATGCTAGCCGATAAATTGCTGCAGAACCTCGAGTTCGACACAGATCGCGACGTGCAAACGCTAGAGCTGCTTAAGTTGCGCTTCGGTGAAGACAGCTTGCAGCAGTGTGAGATCATGGTGCGCGACATCGAGGATTCAAAACGACTGAATCAAAATGTCCGCTCTAGCTTGGCGAATCCCGCTGCACAAGCCGCCGCCGCCGCTGAAGCAAGGGCGGGAAGAGGAGTAGAAAATCAGCCTGGCCTTGGTGGAGCCCAGTCCACATGCGTGGATGCCACGATTGTTTCTCAGCAGTTTTGGCCGCCACTGCAAGGTGAAGATTTCACGTTGCACCCGAAAGTGTCGAAGGATGTTGATGCGTTCAAGGACGCATACCACGTGCTGCGAAACCCGCGTTCTCTGGAGTGGAACTCTTCTCTAGGCTCCGTACAGGTGAGAGAACCTTGCTCACATTGGTAGGATACTCTCAACTCATAATGGTGGTCGTATTTGTTATATTTGCAGTTGTCAATCGACTTGGAAGGCGAAGAGCGCGAGTTTACTGTTTCGCCATTCCAAGCCACGATTATCCTCTACTTTGAAGAAAAAGGTGGGCAGGCTCTCGCAACATTAAACTCATTGTGGAGGTGATCCTCTCACGACTTTGACTTTGTTGTGCAGATCGATGGGGTGTGGAAGATCTTGCAGCGAAGTTGGAGGTGTCCGACGACGTGCTTCTGAAGCATGTGTCTCTGTGGGTGAATCATGGATTGATATCGTTTGCGTCGGGGAGAAAAGAGTTGGTCGCTAGCTCATCCTTCCAAGACACGCGCTGCAATGACGACTCGATGGTGGAAGAGCTCGAGACTGCAGTCTCATCAGATGCACAAGCAGAAGAAGATCTTAAGGTGTTGGAGAACTACATTGTCGGTATGCTCTCCAACTTTGGCTCGCTGACGATCCAGCGAATTCACAATATGCTCTCGACATTCGCGCGAAGTGGAGCTCAGCCATGTATGCGATCATCGACATCCCTCACTAAAACTCTCCTGTACTAACTATCCCTGGTTATTTATTCGTTGGTATTATGCAGATACGAAAACGATCTCTGGGCTCTCGGTGGTTCTTGGCAAACTGGTCGATAAAGGCAAATTGGAGCTCGTCGGAGGTCAATATCAGCTGGCTAAGTAGCTTCATAGCTTCAAAACCCATCGGGGCAGCACTTGTAAGTGTGCCCAACGGTTGCGCACGTCAAGCAGATCGGCTGCGGAGCCGCTTCACCTTTCACCGCTTTCTTCAGGGACAACTGCCCCATGGAGTACGCCCGCGCAAGGCGCTTCCCGTACGTCAACCCGCTATACGCCCCAAACTTCGCAGGAAACAGCAAAATGAGTTACAAAAAATAATACAATAGCGCTCAGGACCACTAAAAAAATGATCTATACCTTGGCATTCCGCTCGAAATCCTTCGGAACGTCGTAGTATTGCTGCAAAATAATAAATCAAGCAACAAACGTCAAAAATGATCATCGAAAATACCGCACGTCAACCCCCTCCTACCTTGATGTACAGGATAACGTCGTTGAGCTCCGGGGACACCTCGTGCTTCTGGTGTTTGTGTTTGTACTTGACCGTCTACAGCAGACCATAAATAAAAAATCACAACACACATAATTTTAGCCTTAATTTTTATCTTCAGGGCAGCAATTATATGGGCCACCTCGTAGATGAAGGTGGGAATGTGCACCCCCGTCTCGTCCTCGCTGAGCTCCTCCTCTTTCTCCTTCTTAACCACGACGACGTTCTTCAACGCGTGCTCCTTCTTGACCAGAGGCGACGCGTCCACCTTCTTCCCATGCGCCTTGGGCTGCTTGGTAACTCGCATAAAACTCGTGATCTTCGCCATCTTCTCTCTTTGGGGGTTTGACTGACTTTTTGAAACCAAAATACGCCCCACGTTGAAGTTTTCCCAGCAACTTCAACCTTCGTGCAACGTTAGCGCAACTGTCAAGCAACGTAACAACTTCAAATTGACACGCTTGACTTTGGTGCACGCATACACATATATTTACTTACGAAGACCGAAGGCAGACATTAGACGACTTGTATCGCCGCAATTGAGGCGAGATCGATTGCTTGAGAGGGATACGAACGTGAACGGCCTTGAAGTTTACCCCGTAGCGTGGGTTTATGCTGCTAGCGCTGTCGTACGCGGTCCTGCACCCGTCATCAGTCGTCACGCCGGCCCTCACTCCTGGTTTCGTAGGGTCAAGAGCGCGTGGGGGAATGGTGGAGCTTTCACCTGCCGACAGAGAGTACTGTCGAGACATCACGCTGAACGTGCTCGACCGCACACTGCACGACTACGCGGACACGGCGTCATGGGCCTCGGGTGGCAGCATCAGTCGCTCTGACGTGGAGCACGACGGATGGATGAGGCTTCGCTCTCAGGACAACGTGTCGATGTACGCAGAGAGAGCTGCTGACTTATCGTGGGTGTCGTCGATGAGGGGAGGTAGCTGGCACCACCCCGTTGCAGTTGTGGCGGTCGGACGGATGTGCTGCTCGCTTCAAGACGTCCTGTACGGCCTGGCGGTGTCTGATCCTGCGGAGTTCAAGCTTCGAGCTGTGCTGATGGACCAGAAAGTCGAAGACGACGTCGAAGTTGCAGCGTTAACGGTCCCTTCCGAGAGGGAACCGTTCCAATTCATGGGCGTAACCCGCTATACAATCAGCCACGGATGCTTGAATCGGCCTCAGGAGTACGTGCTCGTGACGGCTACTGGAGAGGTCTTCACGTCCTGTGGGGAGCACCTCGGGTACGAGATCACCCAGTCCGTGTCCATGTCTCGATGGCCAGTGAATGGCTCAGCGGTGAGGAAGCAGGTGCTCCAAGCCCGCGTGTTGAGGGAGCTCCCGGACGGCTCCGTCGGCGTCTACTGCAAAATTGTCGTGGATTCCAGGAATTTCATGCCGGATACCGTCGTCCAGGCTTCATTGTGGCATTCTATCCAGGACTTCTGGACGATGGCGCCGCGTTGCGCGGAAGCCAAGAAACTCTGCTATTGCGTCGAGCACAGCCGTGAGTTCAATCTCCCAGCACAACAATCGCCGTGCAATTCGGCAGATTCGTTCGCTTGCTGTGTATGCGGCTCCCCACTGCTGAAAAGCAGAAGACGAAGGCTGGAGGACATCGTCAACGCAGTTATACATCGCGTGTCAGGAGGGTCCACTTAAGCACAGGTTTATCGCTGCGCGCTGTGCTCGTCGTGGTTGTGCTCGAAAGCTCATTGTCGCGTGGTGCGTCAATTGGTCCGAATCGACCGGAGGACGCTCGATATCGACAGGCAGAGCGTCGTGCTCTGCAACACTTGTGCCAACATAGTGAAAGGCACAAGTGCCACCGAGATAGCAAGGCGAGGGCTACAAGAAGTTAACGCAACAACTACAGCACCATACGCGGGTTCCTGCAGAAAATCTCGAGCTCCATAGAAGAAAAAATATTCGGCTTCACCACTAATTTATTGACGTGAACTTCCCATTTTGTAGAGAATTATACAAACACAACTCGTTCTTGGGGGGGGGGGGGGTTAGAGATCATAGTCGGTGGACGAACACGTGGTCGGCGACGGAGAGTAGACGTCTCGCTCCCAGCTGGGCAGTCCGCCGCGCGATTTCCTCTCCGCCAACTCGAACCGAGCGATATCGATCGCTGGCACGCTCCGTACGAAGGTAATGCAGCGCGGACACAGCAGCAGCGTCTGCTCATACACTTTGGTCTCGCTGCAGCTGACCATCTTGAGCTGGCAGTTGGTCTTGCAGTACGACGTGCCACAGAGCCACGTCTCGCAGAACTCGCACTGGTTCTTGGCCTTCTTCTTGGCGTCAGCAGAGTCAAGCTTCACCGCTTGACTCTTTGGTTTGACGATCCCACACGCAGCGCAGCCAGCCACAGGCGTCGCGCGCTGCAGCATGGGGGTGATCACCTTCCGGTTCTTGAGACACCAGCGCAGCTTCTTGACCTCGAGCGTGCGCGGTACGAACTTCCAGATGCACATGGCCGCCCGACAATACATATTCTGCGTCACCGAGTCCGGGATGGGGGAGATCCCATCGGCAAACGTCTTGCCGTACATGCCCACAGTCCCGTCGGGCTGTTCCCAGAACACGCGCGCTCTGATCATCTGCGTCCGCGGCAGTGCAGGCGATCGAGGGAACGTTTGGTCCAGCGACACTGTCTGCATGACTTCGTAGCCGATGCGCTTGCCGTTCGAGGACATGACTTCGCCCGTTCCGAACGCCACGACCATCTCCCGCGGACCCGCGAGCAGCGTATGCGGCCAGTGCTGCGTGTTAACGTATCGACTAACGGCCAGGACCTGGAACGGAGCTTCGTGACTGGGCAGCACGATGGTTTGGTGCTTGCAGTTGTTCTCAGGACGTCGCCCTAATAGCACGCTCCTCAGCCTTTGGGTGGCGATGTCCGGAGTCACCAAAGACAGCAGCACGTCGTCCAGAGAGTACTTGAACTGGCCGATGGCGACCAACGACACGGGGTGCGCCCAGTCCTCGCGGTGCATGACCGGAAACCACGCACCGTTGGAGCTGCGGTCCGCGTACAGCGTCACGTCCGGGTGGGACTGGAGCTTTTTCCATCGTCTGCTGTCCAGCGGCGCGAGATTGGCGTGTGGCGCCGTGTCCAGGCCCAGCTCCTCGCACTCGTACAGCGTCCGGTCCAGCAGCTGCGTGGTAATGTCCTGACAGTACTCCTGCTCGTGCGGTGTTAACTGCAGCATCTTGAGACTTGGAGGTCCAAAACGAACGTCCACTCTTGAGGAGGTCGAGGTCCACTCGATGGTCCACGGAGGACGCACTCACTTACTCACTCGGACCGACGGTCACCCTCCCTCCCCCCTTGCGCAGCTCGTCGGGAAAGAAGAACTGGTCAAAGGTCCAAAACGCAGCAGCTCTCGCTCGATTCGACGGTCTCACATCCCCGAGATTTGCTCCTGAGTAGAGAAGAAGCTCTGGGGTTAAACGTCATGCCTCCCCGCCATACATGAGCGCGTCCAAGATCCCGAATGTTTCTGGAGTGGCGAGGAGTTTTGCAGAAGCGACAGCACTGGCGAAATTCAGCGCAAGGACTCGAGCTCCGACTCGGTGCAGGCAGCCAGCCCCGGCCAGTAGATAATTTTGACGTGGAAAGAGGAGGAGGAACAGCAAGTTGCATTGTCAACTTGAGATGGTCGACAGTGTTACCGGTCAGGGCGCTCCATTGGTTTGGTCTCAAACTTTGGTGATAAAGACGGTCGGGCCTCCTGGTGCCTGCTCGTTACGCCTGGAGTCATGGCAACTCCAAGGTTACATGTATTAATACTGCAATGGGGACTCGAAGCCTATTAGCACAAGTGTCATCTACGAGCGCATGAGAAGACTTCCTGGAGAACTGGTTTGACGTCGCGATGGCCAGAGCAAAGACTCTTGGAAGAGCAAGATGGCCGTGTTCATCTGACTGTTGAATTGAGGAACTTACCCATACCAATATGTTCTACAGTACCATTTCAAGCATGGAAATGCATTGCTCAGCTCTGACCTAAGGCTGCCTGGGTTTTGGTTGAAAGTCATGTGATATCCATGTCGACGGACCTACACTATCAATGGACAGGCTCGTAGTGTTGCCCGACTACAACACTGATCGTTTCCCACAAATAGTTTACCTGCTATAAAAGGGTCCAATAATATGTTTACCGATAGTTTCGCCCACACAATGTTGCAGTATCTCTCGTAGCAGAATATTTGGTTTACTAATGTTACAATAGTGGACACGGGTCACCGCGACAGCCGGCCAAGCTGCCCATGTCCATTGCCGCCACGTGCACTGTCAGCTTCCGCTGCTTGGCGACGCAAATGCTGCACTTGGACTGCGCGCTGTTCGACTCCGCGGCGCCGCGCGGCTAGCGCGTCATGGTCTCCGTGTCGTCCGTCCACGTGCAGCAGCAGGAGGGGGGGCATCACAACACCTTACATATTACATGTAGCACTGTAGGACATTAGTCTATTCCTCGTTGGCAGGACACTCGCCCGTTGGCTCTCGCCAGCAAACTTCGCGACGGGGGGGCCCGTCCCTCTCTCGCTACGGTCGGGGAGCGCCGCTGTGCGGCCTGCCCCACCCCCTTACGCGAAGTCCTCGGCTCGGCCAGGCGCGTTGTCTAGGAGAAAAATATCGAGTTGCAGCGCTCGCTACTCTCGATTGCGTAGACCCGACTCCGCCTGATCGGCGGGTGTTGGCGATCGGTGAATGCACCGAGCGAGGCTCGCGCTGGCGTTCGCTCGCCCTCACCCATTAACCTAACGTTAGCTTAGATGTTGTGCTGTTGGCTAAAGACGCATTATAACGGCTATCGACTGTTTAGAAAGTTGCACATACGCTTGTATTCAACACGCATCGCACACAAAGGGACTTAGGACCTAACGCAACGCACTGGGAAGGCGTTTGCTCCCTCCCGCATACGTAGTGCACTTATGTATATAGGCACCACAGAAGCTCATGCACACATTAGAATAGAGGTAAGCGGGCAGCAGACGGTCGTACGACACGACCGCAAAGCGTGCGGGCGGGCGCTTGCTTCCTACCCGGTAGATTCTGAAATGAGAGCTCATGCGAGCCAGTAGCTCCAAACATGAAATTCACGTCTGGAAAAATTACATTGCGTCAATGTTAGCGACCTTTTTTTGCTTGGTAAATTACGGTTGTAGTGGTGCTGGTGGACCTGGTTGTCAGTGTTGCTTTAATGACTTCCGTTGGACCTCGGCCGTCCAAAACAGCTCGGTGGACCAGAAACAGGTCTCACCCTCGGCACGTCACGAACCCCATCGCATTACAGATGGGTCTCTATTGCAGGGGCGAGCTCTCGCTCCACGGTGGACTCCACCGTGGAGTCCACCCACTTGAACACCCCAACGTGATCGCTGTGGTACAGTAGGCTGGTGGGTTCCTCAATAGGATGCCATTGAGTGAGAATCGCTAGCGGGCCCATACCGTGCCATCACTTATTTTTTAAACCAGGTTACAGTATACAGACTATTTACCATGAGTTTCGAGCGGGGCGAGCAAATGCCGGAGCATTCGGCATGAATACGGGCATTAGAAACTCGTCTTCGATACCATTTGCACGAGTCCCGGGATCGAGTCGACGTTGTTTGCTTGTACAAGCTGCATGGAATCACACTGATGATTGAACGCAAGACAAAGATATTAGCAAGAGCAAGAGAGCACCCCGCACGTCGTGGCGATCACAGAACTCAAACTTCAATGTGGGCAACCCGAACATCAACGAAGCGATACAGTAAGTAAAATAAAATTCATTCTTCGTTTATTTATTTCTCGATTCAATTCGACGCTTTAGCAGGAGAATAGGACGTTGAAGAGTACGAGTCTCCATCCCAATCTGCCGACGTCTTTGTAAAGGACGGCGCGCTGGCATAAGACGGCTGCTGCGCTTCCTGCAGATCAGCTAGAGCAATATCCGCAGCGTTCTGGTTGCCGACACACGCGATGCAACGGGGGCACAGCATCAGCTTCTGCTCGTACATGCCCGATTCGCTGCGAATAATCAGCTTTAGCTGGCAATTCGGGCGACAACTGGAGCTGCCACAGAGCCACCGCTCGCAGAACTCGCACTGATTCTCCACCGACTGCTTACTGGTATATGAACTCCGGAACTTGAGCGACGGCACTTCACAGCCAGCACAACTGGACGAATCCTCGGCGTCTTGAGGCTCGGACTGGAGCTCGCGGATCAAACTCTTCTTGTTCCTCACACACCACCGCAGCTTCTTCATCTCGATACAGCGCGGGACGAACTTCCAGAACGCCACCACGGCTCGGCACAGCGTCCCCTGCTTGACGGAGTCGGCCAGGCGGTTCTTCGAGTCCAGAATGAGTTTGTTGTACACTCCGACGGATCCATCGGGCTCTTCCCAGAAGAGTCGAGCCTGGAGGATTCGCCCTCTCAGCATCGACGCGCGCTGCGGGTCCTTGCACCGCACCGTGACCGACTGCACCATCTCGTAGCCGTAACATCTCCCCGAGTCCGAGACCGCTTTACCCGTGGCCACTGCGAGCACCATCTCCTGAGGCCCCACGAACATGGTGAAGGGCCAGTTGTGAGTGTTGACGAACCGCGACACCGCGAGGAACCGGAAGGGCGCGTCTTTCGTGGGCTTCTCGATCGGAGCGAACTGGCAGTTCCTCTCCGGCCGCCGGTCCATGATGAAGCTCCGCAGCCGCTGGGTCGCAATGTTCGGAGTCACCAACGCCAGCAGCACGTCATCGAGCGAACACTTCAACTGCCCCACTGCCGTCACAGCCACAGGGTGCTCCCAGTCCGCGCGCCGCATCATCGGGAGCCACGCCGAGTTGGCGTTGCGATCCGCATACATTGTCACGTCTGGATAGGACTGGAGCTTCCTCCAGCGCCTCCGGTCCAGCTTTGCATGGTCTCCGCCGTGTGGCAATTCCAGCTCCTCGCAGTCGTGCAGAGCCCTCTCCAGCAGCTTCGAGGTGAGGTCTTGACAGCGTCTGCGGTCGTCTCCGGACAGCTCCATTACCCTATGTGGTGTGTCCTTTTGGTTGGACGACCTCCTTCGACTCGAGTGCTGCTTGGCTCTTTGCTGGATGCGGTGGAAAACGTGAAGTGCGTTCTCGCGCGTTGGGGGGATCCGCCGCCGAGATTTGTTCTTTGCCAAGGATCGCTTGGTCGTGAACTTATCCTCCGTCCGCGCCAGTAAATTTGCGCCGCCGCGCAGGTGGCCACGAACTCGTCGCGCACTTTCTGCTTGGGAGGATGAAAGGCGCGAGATGAACAAGTCCATCCACACCCATGCCGTCCCGCTTCGTTTGCCGCTGCGTGTTGTAAGGCAAATCTTGGGAGTTGAGAGCCGCATCGTTGGGCGGCGGCGCCGAGTGTTCGGTTGCCAGCGCAGCGCTTGTGTGAGCTGCCTTACCACCGGCTTGGCGTTGGCTTTAGGGGTTTCGTCTCAGTCCAAAGCTCCATCGAGAAGGCTTGTGTTGTTGGCAACTTGTTGTTCGCTGGAGTGGCGGTGTCGAAGTTGCCGTGTTGACGATCCGATCTTGGCAGGAAAGTGGTAATCAGACCGACTGCAACTTGGAAAACTTCAACTCCCCGGCGGGAAAGTTATTGTTTGTCCACTTGAGGTTTCGAGACTTTCGAGTGCAAAATATTATACATGTATGCCCGTGTCAAACACAGCAAGATTCATCGTCTTACCAGTTCCTTACCATAGCACAGCATAAATTACCATCCTGCCTTATCCTATATCAACAACTCCGAGCGCGCTACATTCGCTGCACTCTGCTCTCGCACGAGGACCATACAGCGCGGACACACGGCAAGATCCTTCTGGCAGATGTTCGATTCGTTCCGAACCACCGCCGTGATCTGACAAGTCGATCGACAGGAAGACTTGGAGCACAGCCACGCTTCGCACAGTTCACACCGGTTCGCGTTCCTCTTCTTGTCTTGAAGCTTCAGTGTGCTGATGGCACACCCGCCGCACTTCACCGGCCCCGTGACCTGAGCCTGCCGCTGGATGTCGCGCACCAGCGCCTTCCTGCGCTTGAGACACCAGCGCAGCTTCTTGGTCTCCACCGAGCATGGGATGAACTTCCAGAAGCGCACCACGCCCCGACACAGCATCGCGAGCTTCACGGACTCGGGCAGTCGCGCTCGGATGTCGACGATGAGCTTGCTATACATCCCCACGGAGCCGTCGGGCTGCTCCCAGAACACGCGCGTCTCGACGACTTGAGTGCGCGTCATGAACGAGTTCTTGAACAGCGGGACGGACAAAATGATCTCGTAGCCGAAGCGTCTCCCGCTCGCGGTCACCACTTCACCCGTGGCGAGCGCCAGGACCATCTCTCGAGGGTCCACGAACATGGTCAGCGGCCAGTGCTGCGTGTTCACGAACTGCGCCACCCCAAGGAACTCGAACGGAGATGCCTGTGTGGGGGTCACGATAGACATCAGCTTGAGGTTCGTCTCGGGTTTTCGACCCATCAACACGCCTCGCAGCTTGATCGTGGCTAGGTTGGGGGATACCAAGGCGAGGAGCACGTCGTCCAGCGAGCTCTTGATCTCCCCGACTGTAGTCACTGCAACGGGCTGCTCCCAGTCGCCGCGGCTCATCACCGAGAGCCAGGCGGAGCCTGGGCTGCGGTCAGCGTACAGCGTCACATCAGGATGTGACTGGAGCTTCTTCCAGCGTCGGGAGTTGAGGTCGGAGTGGGCGACAGAGTCTAAGCCAAGCTCTTCATATTCGTACAGCGTTCGGTCGAGGAGTTGCGTGGTGAGGTCGCGACAATGCTCCTGGTCGTCAAGCGATAGCTCCATCAGCATTGCGTTGCGTGCGTTGCGTTGAGCTGGCGGAAGGCGAAGTGGCTCCTCCAAGTCCCTTTCAGGAAGACACAGTCCCGGTGCATGTACAGCTGGATAGCGTCCAAGGGATTGGGGGCGTGCAGAGAAGAGCTATGATTCGGAGCCTCCGAAGCCACGCGGTCGTCAACTTGACGGCCAAAAGTTTTCGTGTTGGCTGTGAACCGCCAAGTCAAGGGCGTGTCGAGCTCGTCTTTTCTGCTAAGACTTTAAGGAAAGTGAAGGCAACAGTGTTTGTAAATGAATATTGTCAACGCAGCATGCACAGCTTATCTTGCAGTGAACTTCGAGGAGACCTATCCATTGATCCAGCTTGGAACGGCATCGCGGGCAGTCGCGCAGGTGCGGTGCCGCATACCAGTTGGCGAAATGCGGATGCTACGACCGGATCTATGTTGATCGACGGCCTGACTCACCACTTTGGTTGCACTGTAGGTGTCGATGAGACTCGGGCTCCTCAAGCAGAAAACGAAGGCAAGCGCCTTCAGTCCATTGCCACACAGCGAGGGAAGGCTAGGATAAGAACCGCGGTACTTGAGAATGGGTATCTGCCCGCACACCTTGCATGGTCCTCCCTAACATTGAAAGTTCTTATCGTTGGCCGGACAATGACCAGCCACGCTTTGGAAAGGATAGCGGAGAGGCTAAGCTTTAGTATATTGTACTGTATGCGGTGCATGCGGGCGTAGTGGCCAGTCTGCACGATGTTTTGCAAACAAACCGTGTTGACTTCATGGAGGGCTTTTTCATTCAGGACTCTAGAATTTGAGGCTCGGGTTTGCCGCGAGAAGATAAGAAACACACTCGAGAACGACGTGCGTCTGGGGCTGGGAAACACTTGGCTAGTTCGTGATGGGGCTCTGGGAGACGGAGAAGGTGGGCCCACGATTGAGGATTTAATTCGGATTCTTGGTGATCCCGGTGAACGGGTCCATGATCATTCAGGCGGTCGTGGGCGAACAGTGACATGCTGAAGCTTTCATGTGTTGCCAAGGAACGAGTACACTGTATTGGTGGGCTCGTACGATCGTTCTGCTCTCTACAGTACATGTATGCTGGCGTTCACCGAAGCTTCGGGTATAATAGGCAACGTCTGCAGATGTATCACCTGCTGGACACGTCACTACGTCAAACGCAGACGATATATATTACAAAAAGCCTGGTCGTCTCATTGCTACAGCGTGCTTTTGCTTGCGTTACTGCTCGGATGTAGGTTTCAAGCACGACATGTATGCTTACCAGGAATGTTTGTGTGAGGGTTTACCCTTCGCTGGATGAGCCTTTCCAGTTTACTACCAGGTCAGGGCTGACCGATTGGGACCTCTCGTCCTTTAGACCATGTTAATTTTTCAGTCGCCGCACAGTGCCTTCCAATCTTCATCTTTCATATCGGAGGAATTGATCGCACTACTGGTTCCTTGCACCTGGCGTTCTTCGTGGGCATGGATGAGTGAAGCACATATTTCGTACAAAGTTCCGGTAAATGCTGCGTGCGATCAATTTGTGTAACATGAGAATAGTGTACTCCACTAACATGTTAGCTGATTCTACTGGACACTAACAGTTAGTTGAAAACTACACATGTTAGCTACACTGTATAGCGGAGGAAATGGGTACATGAGGAGATTACTTAGTAATCTGTACGAAAGTATTTACTAGCTGACCTGGGTGTCTATATTGCACCGCGGACTTTAACATAGGTAGGAGGCACCTAAGCCGTCTTCACTCTTAAAATCGGTCATCGTCTGCGCTGATAAGTGGTGTGCCAGCCCCCCATGTGAGCTCCACCCAGCAAATGTTTCCCTATGTTACCAGATTCTTCAAAGTCTTATAGATTGGATGGTAAATTCTTAGTTTTGAGGGTGCATTTGTGTTCAGTTTGATACATCGCCCTTCTCGGCTGCCTTCGGTGCAAACATATACTCTTCTCCATACTTTTGCTCTAACGCTACTAACATGTTAGCTCAAAATACTAGACACTAATTAACAGTTAGCTAACATGTATAGCAACTAACATGTCAGCGTTAGGGAGTACACTACATGAGAAGAAAACATGAGAAGAAAAAAATGTTACTACTGTATACTGCTAAGTAAATCGATACCTCTGAAGATATCGGCTGACCCGCTCAATACATTCCGTAAATATCTTACGAGCCCGTTCACTGCTGCTGACTCCACGAGAAACGCACTGGGTCATCAACCAGTACGCCAAGTGAGCAAGAATTTCACGCCGCCTACCCTAACCTAAATAAATGCACAAGTAGTATTGCTGTTTGCAGATATTTTGGCCAACGCATGCTTATTATCTCGTCAATAATCTCGATTTTAATCCAGCCAGCTCTTAATTAAGACCTAGGTCTGATTTATATATATCACCAGTACTGGTCTAACATGCAAGCTTGGGGCTCTGTTTTCCCGACCAAAACGCTTTTCTGCGGCTTGGAAACGCAGAAATGCCATTCTAGACGGGCCAAACCGAGTTTCTAGGCCTAAAAGCGGCCCCCACCAAAAGCATAAAGCTAAATCATCCCTCGCCTATCTCGTGTCCACTCATATTAAGAGACAGGCATGGTCTATTTTAGAGGGCAAAGTATTTGCAAGCGGTAATACATTTTAGTGACGCCGAACAATCTATAGTTTTCACCGCCTGTGCTTCGTGAGGAAGGTTGAAGGTCGACTCAAGTTTATGGCACCCGCATCCCAGAGATATGGCCAGGCTCAACTCGAGATCCGTGATTCCTTGTCAAGACGTGGAGCCGAACAGCAAAAAAACTTTGTATCCTAGGCTTAGTTTACATTTGCTGTTTAGCGCAACGATCCTGGCACAAATGAGACGACGGCGGCCTCCGAGGGCTCCGCATCTACGCAATATCTATGCTAAATGCAGGGGCATAGCAGATCGAGTACATGTCCGCAGGTGGAACCACCGCTTGAGGGCATTCAACAAGGCTGCGGACCGATTGGCGAATATCGCCATGGATGATTGCAGGAGCCGACAAGTTTTTCATTCAGACCGACCAAACCTGGTTTCCCCATGGGCGGATGCATCTCGTCTTTTAGATGCATATTTTCATGTAGGGGCGCAAGAGCCTGAGGCAGACGCTGAGTAAAGCGGACGCGATTGAGGCGATACGAAGTATAGGAGCCCCACTCTTCAGATGACGAGGTTGGCATCTGAGGGCCCGGTCTTTAGGCCCATTCTCAACCGGCCGCATGCGGTCGCACCGCATCGCACAGTTTTGTACCGTGCGGTCGCATCGGTTGAGAATGCCCGTGCGGCCCCATGTACACCCTACCCGCTTAGATTCCGGATGGCATCGGCCACTTCCAACTCAGCATTTTACCAAAAGCAGCAACGCGAAGTATGGAGAGTCTTGCGAAGACTCGTTTTTCTCTGCGCTAGCGCATACAACAACTCAAACCAATATATGAACAGTATTGCACGCATGTAGTGGATCGCTGCTAAATAGGCAGAGTAACACCACCATCAACACCACAAGCCAAACTTACAAAACAAATTGAAACGGAAAGTAATAAAACTTTTCTAAAGCGACCACCGATCGGAAAATATACCTGCTCTACATCAAAGGAACTATTTCCCTTTGCGCAGCAACAAACGAAGCACTTAAATTCTTCATTATAGGGGCGGGGATCAAGTAACCAATGTGGCATAATTTGGCGGTCCACTCATTGAGTAGCTCCACCACATCACTTCAAACGTCTTTTCCTTATACCTTCGGTACAGGCTGCACTATCATGCGTATATCTTCCGTATCACCCATCTCGCAGTTAGCTGTACCAGGTTTTTGCTGAGGTTGTACACAATATGTGGAAGCACTACAAGTTTTTCAACATACGCACATTGTATTTAAGATTTTATCTCAATGCTTGACCTCTGTGGACTTAGCAAATGCTCTACCGACCCCGCCTAGTCGTATCTTTCACTACAGCACGTCTTCGACGATCTCGGGCTGGCCGGAATGTACGCGTTAGCTCGCTTGAGCACCCAAATCATGGTTGGCCTTGGGAATCAAGTGGTGAGGCCTCAAATGCATAGCAACAGTCGTCTCGGCAGCTATTATAATGCGACCGAATGTTTTGCTCATCGGTAGCTCTGTATGAACGTGCTATTAACCGTCGTCGGTAGAAGTACTTGGAGCTAGCTAGTCTTAATCGCACGGTATACGCCTACATTACCAGTATATCTCACGCACACGGTTCTCCGTCAATCTAGTGTATGCTATGACTATGTTTTGCGCTGATAGCTTTCGTTATTAAGCCATGATACTCTAGTGCGGAATAGTCACCCTGTCACTATTCCGGGATGGCTACATCGGTCACTCCCCTGGATAGTGACCCAATTGGCCTCAGAGCCAACAGATACATTTTGTATGACACAAACTATAGGGAACTTAGGATTTGTATGCAGGCCAAATCTGTACCAACCTATAAATACATTCAGTCTTAGATCTACCGCTTTTCAAGTCAAGTCGTCCCCTTCAGACCAGGGACACGTGAACGGTTGTTCACTTGGAGTTTGTATACTCCTGCTTCCTCTGTTAAGAAGTGCTGTGTGCCCCGTCACACTTGGTAGCACTTGTAGTCAATCCTACGCCTACGCGGGTAGATTGGACTACCTGAATCCTCTGTGGTCTCATCAAGTGAGCCAAGATGGATCGTACGGAGTTTCCCCATCTGAACGACTCGCAGTACGAGTCCGTTCGTAAGATGGCAGGCATCTTTGGGACAGATGCCCTGCGTAGCTTAGCGGCGGCGACGCCGGCTGAGCAGGTTGAGCGTATCAACGCGTTCGACACCTACGAGCGAGGGCTCATCGCCCACGTTCAAGGGCTGCAGGACACTGCGGCCGCACCGAAGCCGGTGCAACCGAAACCCCTGCGGCTGAAGGTTCACCCCTTCGAAGGGAAGGAAGGAGAAAACCTTCACTTCTGGGTTCGAGAGGTTGAGCTCGCGATGGACGCGGCTCTCGTCTCGGACGAGCAACTCCGTGTCGCCTTTGCGCTTTCCAACCCTAGTGGTCGCGCTAAGAGTTGGGCGTATACGCGCGAAGCGACGACGCCTGGATGCTTCGCATCATGGTCCCAGCTGTGCGAGCAGCTGCGGGCCGCGTTTCTTCCGGCGAACTACGAGTACCGCCAGCGTTCGCGCTTCCTCGCCTGCAAACAAGGAAGGCGCGAGCTGCATGAGTACATCCAGGAGATGCGAGTGCTCAGTGCCTCTTTGGTGGGGAACCCCCTGCCTGGACACATCAAGGTGACCGTGTTCATGGACGGTCTGCGTGTCGGTCCTGCCCGCACGCAACTGTTCCGTGTGCAAGCAAACACTATGGAGGAGGCGATTCAGATCGCCCACCAGGAGGAGTACAGCCACAAGCAGGCTCGTACCCCCGCCACGGTATGGCAGAGCAACCCTGCCTCTGGCGGTGCGCCTAATGGTAACTCCGGCAATGGAGCGATCAACGGGCCGGTTCCCATGGATCTGGGCATGACCGAGCAGAGCGACATTCGCTGCTACGGCTGTGGCAAGCTTGGGCACATGAAACGTGCTTGTCCCGCGGGAGGACTGAAGAAGAAGTTCTCTTCGAAGCCCTTTGGCTCTAGGGGTCGCTGGCAGAAGCCGCGCCCCAGGAACCAGGGGAACGCCGGACACCAGTAGGGGCGGGGCGCCCTACTGGGGAAACACTAAGTCTTCATGAGGGGCGTGCGGGTGGCGCACGCCATGGGGACTTAGCCCCTGAGAGTCTCTGTACTCTCAGGGCAGCGGTGGGCTGCATGTGGTGCACGCGAGTGTACCGGGATACGATCATCCCTTGAGAATCTTGATCGACTCTGGGGCGTCCAAGAACTTTGCGCGCCGCCAGACTGTCGCACGCAATCGCGACAAGTACGCCGATGCGCTACGAGGCAGCAAAGGCAACGGGCTGGTCTCGGTAAGACTGGCCGACGGTACGGTGGTAGAAGTACCTCGGGTCCACATGGACCTCACTGTCAAGTTCGAGGACTTCGACAGCACGGAGCCGTTCTTGGTCCTAGACATGGACAAGTACGACCTGATCCTTGGCATGCCGTGGCTGGAGAAACACGAGCCTTGGATCGACTGGCGCGGCAAGGCCATCGGGGCAGCCGTCCCCCACGCTCTGACAGAGCTTTGGTGAGTCATGTTCCCACCTCTGGCAGCAGCTGGGGCGCCCGCGAGGGCCGCCAGGGCGCAGCAGCGTCTAATGAGTTCTTGGGGTCCGTCGAGACTGACGACGACTCCGACCGGGCCGGACAAGGCCTGAGAGTGGAGGTGCCGGACAGCACCTACCAGGTGCGTAACGTAGGTCCACACGCGGGTAACGAAGTACCGCAGGCAGCAAGGGCTGCTGGAGAAGGCGCCGCTGGCGTTGGCGTGGGTAACCAAGTTCCACGCGAGGTCACTCAGACCGTAACTGATGAGAAAGGCACTGCAGGCGCTTCCGATGTGGGTAACATAGTTCCACAGGAGGTCACTCAGACCATAACTGATGCGGGAGTCGCTGGAAGCGCTCCTGGTGTGGGTAACCAAGTTCCACACGTAACATAGTTCCACCCAGCAAGGCGGGTAACCAAGTTCCGCTCATGGACAAGGCGGGTAACGTCGTTCCGCACGAGATCGAGAAGATCGGTGGTGCCGTCGAGGCGGCGCCACGAGACGAAGACACCCGAGGGTCACGTCGTAAGCCGGGCCCAGTCGTGTGGCCGACGACGCCAGTCGCCAGCGACTCCGAGCTTCCAGCCAAGGCTCCAGCCGCCGAAGAGTGTTATCACATCTTCGACGGCGTGACCGGTCGTCGGGTCAAGACAGGAGCTGTCGAGCTTACAGCTCTGCCCGAGGTTGCAGAGTTGCTGACCCTTGAGGAGCTCGCCATGGAGGACTTCTTGGCCGAGCTAAAGGCCGGGGAGATCGCAGAGTTGGTTCTCCTCCGACCGGAGTCCACGTCGGCCGAGTTGAACTCGTCCTCGGTCATGGACCAGGCAGTCCTGGAGGAGTTCCAGAGACAGCGCGCGTCGCGCATGGGCTCTGAGATTCTTAAGAACCCCCGGGACCCGGTGTACCCCTTGGTGAAGGAGTTCGAGGACGTGGTGTCCAAGGATCCACCGTCCAATCTCCCTCCGGACAGGGGAATCAGGCACGAGATCGATCTCGTGCCGGGCACGAAGTACTGTGTCACGAGGCAATGGCCTCTTCCCCGGGAGCAGTGTGAAGTCATTGATGCCTTCTTTGCCGCCATGGCGAAGGCAGGCATGATGCGGGAGTCGAAGTCCCCGCACTCGACGCCTACCTTCTGTGTTCGCAAACCGAACGGAAAGTGACGTCTGGTTCATGCTTATTACAAGCTGAACAGCGCGACAGTGCCTGCGCAGACACCGATCCCGCGCAAGGACGTGTTGCTCAACAACATGGCCGGCTGCACGCTGTATAGCGCGCTGGACCTGGTGGACGGATACTACCAGATCCTGATGCGCCAGAGCGACATCCCACTCACGGCTGTGAGCACGCCGAGCGGTATGCTCTGGGAGTGGCTGGTCATGCCTCAGGGGCTTTCTAACGCCCCGGCGACGTTCAATCGCTTGGTCACACAACTGTTCCGACCTTTGCGTGCGTTCACACAGACGTACTTTGACGGCATCTTCGTCCACAGCCGTGCCGAGGCAGGCCAGACGGCCATGGAGGTGCATCTCCAGCACCTTCGACGTGTGTTCGAAGTCATGCGGGCGAACAAGCTGTACGCCAACATCGACAAGTGTGTGTTCGCAGCTGAGGAGATCAAGGTCCTGGGCTGCTTCATCAGCAGCGCCGGGGTCCGGGCGGACCCGGAGAAGGTGAAAACCATCGCGGCTTGGCCGCCACGTCGGTCGCAGAAGGACCTACGACAGTGGTTGGGCCTCGCCAACTACCTGCACAAGTATAGTGCAGGCTACGCCGAGCTGGCACGGCCCTTGTCGGATCTCCTGAAGAAGGATGTCGACTGGCGCTGGGAGCGTCGCCATCTGTATGATCGCATCAGGCTGGGGTACCGAGACGATGCCAGTCTCGGACCTCTTGTGCGGTTCTTGGCCGCTGGCTCGGAAGCCAAGGCCGAGTGGCTCACGCCCCGACAACGTGCAAGGCTGCACCGCTATGAGTGGGCTGACGGTTTGCTCCACTATAGGGTCGAGCCGGAGGATCCTCCCCGTACTGTCGCGCCCAACGACGAGGATCTTAAGTACGACATCCTGATGGAGGCGCACGACGCTCCATCCAGTGGCCATCTCGGCCGTGAGAAGACGTACGCGTCTGTCTCGCAGATGTTTTGGTGGCGTCACATGTACAAGTGGGTCGCCACCTACGTCCGTACGTGCGAGACGTGCCAGCGTGTGAAGCCTGCCGGTCACGCCTCGGCACCATTGCAGAGCCTGCCGGTCCCAGCGGACTGCTGGAAGTCGATGAGTCTCGACTTTGTCTTCGGACTTCCGGCCGATGACCGTGGCAACACTGGTGTTGTTGCCTTCGTGTGCCGTCTGAGCAAGATGGTCCACTTTGCTCCAGTTCGTGACACCGTCACTGGCGACGAGGTCGCTCGCCTGTTCATGGACTGTGTCTTCCGACACCACGGTCTGCCCGAGACCATTGTCTCTGATCGAGACCCGCGGTTCACCGCTACGTTCTGGCAGACGTTGTTTCAGCTTCTCGGCACACGACTGTCGATGTCAACGGCGGACCACCCGCAGACGGATGGCCAGACGGAGCGCGTCAATCGCGTGCTCGAAGACACGCTCCGCAGTATCTGCGCGGAGATGCCCCGCTCTTGGGCTGATCGCTTGCCCATGGTTGAGTTCGCACTCAACAGTGCGGTACATGCATCGACGGGCTTTACGCCCTTTTACCTGGACGCGTTGCGCCACCCTCAGGTGCCGCTCACATTACGAGGCAGTACCGGGGCTTCGGTCCTAAGTGGGGGAGAGGCTCGGAAAACCTTTTCCTCCCAAGTCTCGGACGTGAGTCCAGCCACCTTGCGGAAGCAACTGTCCTCGTTTGCCGAAGACAGGCTGAACATAATCAGCAGGGTGCGAGACATCATGGCGCAAGCCCAAGATAAACAGAAGGGTTTCTCTGACCGAAATGGAAGAGGAAACATGAACGTGTTTAAGGTTGGGGATTTAGTTCTCCTAGATACTAGAAACGTACCGCTAAACACTGTTAGCTCGGTCGAGAGCAACAAGCTGAAGCACCGCTTCATTGGACCCTTCACGGTCCTCAGCCGGCATGGCGCGGCGTACACCATAGACTTGCCCAAGTCGATGACGACTCACCCGACGTTTTACGTGGGTCGTCTTAAGAGGTACCATGACCCTCTGGCTCTGGCTGCCCCGCAGGAAGCGGTGGGTGGCCCGGTGGAGAAGAGCGCAGCTCCTCGAAGCGCGGCGTCGGGTGGCGGTAAGGCGCCTGATACGCGCGCTGGTCGTAAGACGGCGCGGCGTACATCGGAGCAGCATACGCAGGGGCGTCGTACGAGCCCTGGCCAAACTGGGCTTGATACGAGTGGAGCTGCTGCTGCTCCGGATACGGCGCGTGGCCATGAAGCTCGGCCCGAAGGCCAGCGAGCTGGTTACGCAGCGAGTCGTAAGACGACAGGTCGGCTCGACGATCCACACGGCCATGGAGACTGCGAGTTTCTTGATAGAGCGAGGCAACATCCTCACGGAGCCGCTCCACGGCACCAGACTGACCAGCACGAGCGGCAGCCTCGCCACCAAGGCCGACGCCAAGCGCGATCTCGAGGACGTACACACGGTCCCGGAGAAGACGAATCTCCTCTTGCTGCAGGGCCACCACCTGACTCGGGGCCCCAGTATACGGCTGCGTCGCCTCAGGCTCGTAGCCATGGCCGTGCGAGGCCACCGCCGGCCCTCCTTGATCGCAATTGGCAGATCTGTGGAGTAGCGCTCTCGCAGAAATCTCGCGAATGCGATCTCGCACAAACTCGGCGCGTCTGGATAGCGGTCGCGCCGAGCAAATTATTCCCGGTTGTTGGAGTAGCGTATCTTCGAAATACAGGCCCAAGTCTTCGCAGGCTTCGGAGTTGGGGGTTCTTGTGTTGACGCTTGTTCCTTGTCGTAGGGCGTCGAGCCTTGAGCGTGCGGCGTTATCGGGCCGGCATTTCCTGGGGCTTGTGTGGCGTTATCGGGCCTACACGGGGGTCTTGTGCACGGCGGTTATCAGGCCAGTGCGGTCCTTCGCCTAGGCAGCGCGTTATCGGGCGCCCACCTAAACGGTATACGTTCAACGTGCCTTTGTTCCAGCACGGGTCTGTGGGGGGTGAGCACCCGAACCAGCAAACGACGGGGGGCCGCGATATCTAGGCGGCTCTACTTGCCGGCGCTTGGTAGTTCCCCTGGAACCTCGGAGAAGACGGGAGGTCTTTGTGGTTCAGAGAAATTTCGGGACGGAGTCCTTACCCTATTCTATGTCCTTGCTACGGGCTACTCTGTACTACTGCTTGCTAAGCCTACCGCTCTGGGCCTATCCCTACTTCTGTCGTGCTTGCGCTGCCGTCCTTCAACCTGGTTTGCGTGGCGCAATCAAGATCTTACCTCGGCGCGTTTTGGTCGGCGGGGGTTAGGGTCGGCGCGTTTTGCAGAACCGGGTGCGCTGGTCGACCCGTCGGATGATTACGCGTCGCACTGGATTCTGGCACCGTGTCTCACGGCCCATCACCCACGCCGACTTTCCCGTCGAGCTCGGCCCTGCGTCGCGCCCATCAATCCGCGTCGCGTTCCATCAGCCGCGTCGAAGTCCATCACTCGCGTCCCGGCGCCTTCTTCCTCCGGCGCCCAGCGCGCCCACTTCTTCCGCGGGGTACTACACCACAGATCCACTACCACGTGGAACGAGTCGTCCGGGAGCGGCGGCTCCATGGCAAGCGCCAGCTGCTCGTGAAGTGGAGGGGTTACCCTGAGTCGGATAACTCGTGGGAGCCCGTTGAGCAGCTTCAGGCAGACTGCCCGAAGGCTGTTGCGATATGGGACGAGAAGCAGCGGCAGCTTCGTAAGTAGTCCTTGGCTTCTTGGCCGGTACCCGGGGCACGGTAGCAGACGTAGTCGCACCACGCCCACGCTCTTCACGAGCTTTGGCTCTCGCCTCTTGCTTCAAGTCGTCCATCTTCGAGTGGAGCTTGCGCTTGCTCACGAGTTGAGCGAACTCGATGCGGAGCTCGCGCACGTCCAGGATTGCGGACAGAGTGCGATCCTCACGGAGTTCTTTGAACTCTTGGTCGGAATACCCTTTGCGCTGGACGTAGCGCCAGCAGAGGTCTTCCACCTCGCTCCAGGTCATGTTGTCATTCGGCTTGACCCGGTGGAAACCCCACACAGGATGGAGTCCACCCTTGTCCTCCGGCTTCTTGCGAAGCGTGGTGAACTCCTTCAGTGTGAGCTTGTGTGGTGCTAGTAGCACACACCGGGCGACATCAACGTCGCCAAGAAAGAGTGGCTCTTTCTCAACAAGATCACGCTCATAGGAACCCCTCGAGGTGTACCCGCCGATAAGGCCACGAGGAGCCGAGAGCTTCTCCAACAGCGCTGGCGCACCAGTGCCAGGCTCGGGAGGGAAGTAGCCCTGCGGGTACGTGGCATCCCCGCCTGAAGAAGACTCGATGGCAGTCGTGGCAGTCGGCTGCCTGGCATACGCACCCGAGCTAGCAGCGTGGTATTGCTGCTGCTGCTCGTCGAGGTTGTTGGAGAGCTCCTTGGGCTCGTGGACGGCACCCTGCTCGTCCTCACGCTCCGGGTCGATGAACAGCTTGGAGCTGGAGCCGCAAGGCGACCTGGAAGCTGAACGCTTCTTCGCCTTGGCCTCGGCGGCCTTCGCAGCGGCAGCCGCTTTCGACGCTTGGGCACGCTCACGACCTTGTGCCAGCGTCAGATGCTTGGATGCCAGCACCGCCTTGGCTTGGACCCCGCGTCGCTCGGCCACTTCTCGGCCACGACCCCAGGGTCGGCCATGGCGACTTCGTCGTGCGACTGCTTGCTGTCGCCTGAGCCGGACTCGGCGTCCTCCGCCTCCTTCTCTGACGAGGCCTTTGCGTCGGCCGAGGCGTTGGTCATGTCGCCTGCCGCCAGCTCCGTGCCTTCGGCAGCGTGCGTGCTGCCCTCCGAGACGTTCTCGTCGTCGGGTGAACTCTCACCGGAGTACTGGACCATCGTGCAGTCAAAGACGACGGCTTCCCAGTCGCGAGCCGGGCTTTTATGGCCCCGAGGACTCTCCTCCTTGCCTTGCGCGGCGTCAGGAGACTTGCTCCGAGCCCCGGCCTGACGGCCACTCTCCGGCGTGCTGCTACGAGAGCGCACCACCTCCTCCGCTGCCTTCGTAGCCTCCATCAGCGCGGACGACTCGTCCTTGGCCTTGGCCGCCCTGGTCTTCGGCCCTATGGCCCGCGGTTTCGGAGGTGCTTTCGCACTGCGCGCACTGCGCTTTGGAGGCATGCTTCCAGTCGACGTGGAGACCCTGCGGCTTGCTCGGCGATGCGCCAGTTGCTCTGTGAGGCCCGGGAGCCGAGGCGCCAGAGCTCGCGCCGTTGTCAATGGATTTCGACTTTGCGAGTGAAATGTGAGTCGCCGGTGTAACCTCGCTCTGATTGGTCGATAAGATCGAATCTAAGTGGGGGAGGATGTAACGGAGTTACATGGAATAGTCACCCTGTCACTATTCCGGGATGGCTACATCGGTCACTCCCCTGGATAGTGACCCAATTGGCCTCAGAGCCAACAGATACATTTTGTATGACACAAACTATAGGGAACTTAGGATTTGTATGCAGGCCAAATCTGTACCAACCTATAAATACATTCAGTCTTAGATCTACCGCTTTTCAAGTCAAGTCGTCCCCTTCAGACCAGGGACACGTGAACGGCTGTTCACTTGGAGTTTGTATACTCCTGCTTCCTCTGTTAAGAAGTGCTGTGTGCCCCGTCACATCTACGCTCTCTGAGGAACAGGCAGACAAAGCGAACGCTGACCAGGACATAGGAGGCCAACACCAAAGATAGTTTACAGCTTTTTACACTAAGCATTTTCACCGGAAGATGTATAATAGTTCAAAGTACATGTACACGTTCTGCGGCAGAATGTCTGCATTTGTCTGATGCACTGCACGGACCCATACACATGTAGTTCGGATAGTGTAGCAGGCCCCTTTATTGCTAGCGCCAGCGGCTCGATCACGTCGCGTAGATGCTATATTACTCCATCAGAATGGCTAGTTTGACATCGTAATGTACAACTTCATTGTCCAAAACTGTTATGCGATGCCAGCTGGCGAGTCACTGGGAGCGCTCTGATTGGTGGTGCGGCGTGCGACCCCAACTCATCCTCATGCGGCGAAATCGCCGCATGCGGTTGTCCCGAGTAGGAACGGTCACCACCGTTCCTACTACACGGACGACCGTTCGACCAGCGATCGACTTCTGGAGGATCAGCTGTTGGACGATGCGGTGAGCGGGCAGTCATCCATTTCGAAGGGGCGCTGACTGGCGACGCGTCGGTTAGGTGGCGCGCTCGGCTGCGATGGAAGCAGTGACGCGAGCGATGGGTGAGCAGTGACGCGAAGGGCAGGACGGAGGTCACGAGCACCGCGTGGCTCAGGACGTGAGCTGTGAGGTGAGCCAAGGACGAAGGGGTGAGACGAGAGCCAGGTGAGCCGGTGACGTGTTGAAGTCGGCACGTGAGCCGACAGAGAGCCGAAGAAGAAGGAAGTACGAGCTGTCAGGCTCCGTGCGCGGTAAGGAAGTAGGGTCAGTCGTGAATCTGCACTGGAGAGAACAAGTTGATTGCTTTTGCATATTAGCTCTGTTTCTCGCTCTTTGTGCCGCTGCCTAACCGTTCTAGCTTCCATACAACGCTTGACCGCCCCATCCAGGGCACTCGCGACACGTGGTGGAGAAGCAGGGTACGGTCTTCGTTGTGAAGTCTGAACGACGGCAGTTCGGGTCAAGTCCTCGCGTCGGTGGAGCTTCGTCTGGTCTTCAGGAGTCTGCCTGGAGTCCCAGTCTTCGCCTCGGACGCATGAACGGTCTGGATCTGGAATTGTGTCGTGTGATCGGTGCGCTCGGCGCCGCTGTGGGATTGGAGAACGGTACGCGTAGTACCGCACTGGTCAAGGTCAACAAGGTCAAGAAGGAAACGGTCGGCTCGCTCGGAGCCCTTAACGGTCAAGGTCAAGGTCAAGTCAACGGTGAACGGAACGCTCGGTTCCGCCGGTAATTCTGGTCGGCTCGCTCGGAGCCTGAAGTAGTTAGAAGTCTGGAAGTTTGAAGTTTGAAGTTTGGAGATTGGAGTTTGTTTCGCGCGTTCGAGTGAAGAAGATCGCGTGCTGAAGGTCGAGTGAAGAAGACTTTCTGAAGAAGATGACGGTTGTTGGAGAGCAAGTAGAGAATGGGGATCAGCTGTCCGTACAAGATGAAGTGGCACGGTTGGCAGCGGGACGGTTGCGACGGCTGCAACACGGTGGGACCACGTCGGCTCTACTGGGGCAGCGACGCCCGCGATCGTCCAGAGATGCGAGCGGAGAGGACGCGACGGCGCAGGTAGCTACTGCTGCCGGTCGTGACTCGCTTCGCCAGGAAACGAGGGAGGCTCTTTGGGCCGATGAAGACGATGATGAACAGAAGACCGCAGATGAACACGGTGATGCGGTCGCTCAAGCAGAACAAAAGCTCGAGATGAAAATGGCTCCGTCGCCGGGTCCCGAGGCTGTGCAAACGGTCGAGGAAGACGGTGAGGATGCCGAATTTGATGACACGGAACAGTACTGGTCGGCGGAAGGCTATGGCTACAGTGAACTCGCTGAGTACGAACCGTCCTACTACACGGACTACGTGAAGGAAGAACCTGAAGAAGTGCAGCAGCAGAGGACCCCGAGTGGCTTCATCCCGATGTACACTGGAACCGAGAAGCGTCTGCCTGGAGGTCCTGTATTTGGCTGGAGCGTCGGTGCCCAGCAAGGAGGCTACGGCGGCTGGGGAACGGTGCCGAAGCCCACGGTGAAGATGGGACGGAAGGTGAAAGTGGAGCCTACAGCGAAGTCCCAACCTACGAGACCGGTGAAGACCCACTCGACGGGACCGGTGAAGACAGTCGTGCACTACAAAGCACCTGTCAGAACTGCGGTGAGTGCCTCAACGAACGGACGGCCGATGCCTACCCAAGCTCGGAACGGTGGCTACCGTGCCCCCTTCAACAACCCGACCGTTCGGAACGACCGTGATTTGTCGTCTATGGTCTCCAATGCGATCAAGGTCCTACCTGCTTTCTACTCGGACACGGCCAGCATGGACAACGCGCGTGACTTCTGGGAGCTGTTCAAAGCTCACACCAGCCACCTCCCGGATCAGTCTCGGCTGTTAGTGTTCCGACAACGGATCAAGGGCTCTGAAGCTGAACGGTGGTGGAACATCTCGACTATCAAGCCGTTCGCGACTCTGTAGGTCCGATTCCACAACCTGTTCCTCAGCCGAACGGCTGACCAGCTCTGGGAACGGTTGCAGTCCGCTCACCGTGAGCGTGGCGAATCCGTTGAGGAGTGGGGTGACCGTGTGACGGACCTCTGTGACTCGTTAGACTATCCGAACAGGAAGATGAGATATCAGCTGTCCCGTCGCGGACTCCGAAACAAGCGCATATTGGCATGTCTCGACTCGGGACCGGCGCGCGACATTCCGGAGGCCTGCGAATGGCTATTGGCCAAGGAGATGTCACGTCCCATTGAAGAAGACGACGAGCTCTCGGACGAGACGAAGAAGTCGAGCGGGAGCGATGCCTCACCCGCGAACGATCCGATGGCGGCTGTGGGCGTGCTTGCGGAGAAGATGACGACGTTCATGACACAGCAACAGCAGTGGCAGCAGCAGATGATGCAGAACCGCTGGCAGCCTCCGCGCTCGCCGCGGAACCGCATGCCCAACGTTTCGGCTACGACTTCGAATCCTGGCGTTGGAATGAACGGTCAAGGTCCTCGTGGGAACGGTCGACCGGTCCGAGGAATCCGTATGGGAGCTGACAGTCGGACGCAAGAGGGAGCGCCTGTGTGTGGCCGGTGTGGCTACGTGGGTCACTCGCGAGAGACCCGCCGCCACCAGTCCATGACGTGCCACAACTGCGGCGTTCACGGTCATATCGCTGTGGAGTGTGAAGCGGGACCCAACAACTACCAACGCGGCCCGGGAACGGTCGGCCGGAACGGTGGTCGTGGTGTTACCAAGTGCGCGTTCTGCGAGGAAGAAGGTCACCTTATTGGTGCGTGTCCAGGCATTGTGGCACTCCGTGTTGCGGCCCAGGATCTGAGGACCAGGTCTGCACAAACCGCTTCGAACCAATGACGGGGGCGGGAGGAAGGGGAGGAGAGAGTCACTCCTTCCTCTTGTCTAGTAAATGGCTCGAGTGGTGGTGATCGCGACCGTGAAGCTGAAGGCGGGACGGTGACCACCGTTGATGTTTGTGTGAATGCATCGAGGAAGCAGACCGAACCGGTGTCTACCCTGCGTGGAGCTTCATGTGCTGAAAAGAAAAACAAGAAAAAGAAAGTCGGGTTCAAGATCGTGGGGACGGATGAAGAAGGAGAAGGATTGGTTGCGGACGTCGAAGCCAAGGAAGTCGAAGTGGTCTACGAAGATCTGGTCGCTGCGAGTCCAGAACGGTGTGATGAGGTTGGGAACGGTGGGGAGACAACGGTCACGGGGCTGTCTGAGGATTGCACCGTGTCGGAACCTCCTACGGTGACACGTGAAGAACGAAATGCCGTTGTTGAAGTGACGCCACCAGAAGAGGTGGTGGCATGGAAAGATGAAGAATACGATGTGTCGGACTGCTTGTTCGCGGCTTGGACGGATGAAGAGACCGTTCTTGCTGAGAGCAAGGGAGTGAACGGTACGGTCGAGGCCAGGACGGTCGAAACCAAAACGGTTGAGGCCAAGGAATCCTCGAAGTACGACCGTTGGTTTACGGATGAAGAACTGGATCCTATGGATGACTGTGAGCCCGGGCTGGAGACGTCTGTTCTCGCTGGAACAGATGTCGCCGCCGAGCCAGAAGAGTACGACAAGGAGCTTGAAGACCGGTTGTATCCGCTGGACGAGGTCGAGTTGCTGAAGCGTGTCGAGCAGAACGCTAAAGCTCAGACCGAACCGTCTGCGGAAGAGCTGGCTCGCTTCTTGGGTATCTCTCTGGAGGCCTTGGAGCGGACGCGCCAAGCTGCCTCCGACTACATTGGAACGCCTGAGTACTGGCAAGATTGGTACGGTGATATGCTGGAGAAGTCGGAGGAAGCCAAGCGTGCGAACCGAGACTTCCGGACTCCGGTGGCGAATGTCGTCTATGGTGAACAAGCCGCGCCAAGTGGAACGGTGAGGAAGGCCTTGGAGCGGTCAGGCGTCGGTAATGATACCCGCAGCTCTGATGTCTCCTCCGAACGGTCGGATTCTGAAAATGAAACGGTCACAAGCGTGGTTAACACGGTCGTCGAGTCTTTCGTGTGCGAGAATGGCTTGCGCCCTGCCGATGATCCGGGATGAACGGTCTCGGTGGAAGAAGGGATTTCTGTCCTAAGTGGAGTACAACGCGTCGATCCGAAGATCAAGAGAGCGATCGCGCGCCAGGCAGTGTTCCGCACGTCGAAAGAGACGAGGGACTATGAAGGCCGAAACAACGGTACTGATGAAGTGCTGAAGGGTGAAGGAGGAACGGTGGAGGTTCCTCCGTTGCGTGACAAGGTGCCTGATCCCGATTGGGAACGGCTACGTGAGCACGTCAACCGTGCTGTGGAGCAGTATGGTCCGAAGGGAGATTGCTGGGAACGGTTGAAACCGTGTATCAAGTCGTATTTCGAGGAGAACGCGGGTCAAGTGTGGACGAATCTGTGGGGCCGTACGGGGCGGTCGAGGATGCCAAGTGCTAGGCGCCGCCGTCGCCGTCAGCCTGAGAAGAAGGGTTGCTTTGTCTTTTCGTCGTTGAACAAACCGTATGCCGAAGTACTGGGAAACGTGGAGTTCTACCCTGAGCGTGAAGAGGACATTTCTCATTACGTTGAGGGGGTACGATGCGAGCGTCCTGCTCGGACACCGTTACCAAGGACCGGTCTCGTGGAAGTTGTCACAGTCAACTTGCCTAACGGATTTGGACTCTGTGATGAAGATGGAGATGAGTGTGTCGTGTATCGCGCCGTTGAGGACGGACGCCGGGTAGTGTGTGCTGTTAGCAACTTTGAGGGGTTATATTGACTGCTTACCGTCTCAAATGCTAGCGGATACAGGCGCTACTCTAAGTCTCGAGGATCGACGCGTGCTGAAGCGTTTAGGACGGTCGTCCGAGCCGCTGGAACCATACGAAGGCCTAGTGAGGAGCTTTTCAAGGCACAAGTTGCGGATCCGTGGTTGGATTACCCTCTCTCTCCGGCTGGGAACGGTCGAAGTGTCTATGAGCTTGTTGGTCGCAGACCGTCTCCACGTCGATGCGATCCTGGGTGTTGATGCCCTAGGAGCGTTCTGCGCTGTGATAGACGTTTCGGAACGGACGTTGACTCTGAAGAGTACGGGCGAAGTGTTGAAGCTGGATTTCACCATGGTGCAGGAGTCGTACATGACGACGATGGCGACGTCGGAGCGGTTGCCGCCGCGTGGCCAAGCTCTCGTGATGACTCGGGTCGTTAGTGCTGTCGTCGACAAGGCGACCGTTCTGGTCGAAGGGTCGTTAGATCTGCCTCCGACGCTGTGTGTGGCACGGTCGCTGTGCACGGTCGAGGAAGCCAGGTCATCGTCGAAGTTTGCAATGCGTCTACGGATGAGTACTGGATCCGGAAATGAACGGTCATTGCGTGCACTTCCGTGATCCCGGAGTCGGCTTTCGAGCCGCCAACGGTCGATCCGCAGGGTGCGGAGCGTCAAACGGTTGGTCCGAAGGGAGCGGTGCCCGCCGAAGGTGATGAGCTCAAGGAGGAGCGTGTAGCGTCTGTGTCTGAGGCGCGCGAAGTGGGCGTCGGTGAGAAGGTGAACGCTACGAAGCCGGACATCCCGCCCGACAAAGCGGAAGCTATGAAGGCCGATTTATCGGAGTCTAAACTGTCGGCGGACCAGAAGGAACTGTTCCAAGAAGAACTGAACGGTTTCCGCAGCATGTTTGTGGACTCTTCTAAGAAGCCCGGACGGACGGATCTGTTGCAATTCGAGACCGACACCGGTGACAGTGCTCCGATCAAGCAGCAGCCGTACCGTGTCTCGTTGGCTGAAAGTGAAGTCATGGAAGCGGAGATCCAGCAGTACTTGGAGCTGAACCTAATTCGACTCTCAAACAGTCCGTGGGCGAGCCCGGTCCTGATGATTCGGAAACCGGGCGGTGGAATACGGTTCTGCATCGACTACCGTAAGTTGAACGCGGTAACGGTGAAGGACTGTTACCCCATGCCGTTGATTGATGATATTCTGGACGTGTTGGGCGACGCTCAACTGTTTTCGACGATTGATATCGCTTCTGGCTACTGGAACGTGCCGATGCACCCGGACAGCGTGTCTAAGACCGCTTTCACGTGCAAATACGGTCTGTACGAATGGTTAGTGATGCCGTTTTGCCTTTGCAACGCTGTCCCAGCGTTTGAACGGTTGATGGAGACCGTTTTGGTGAACCTCAAGTGGCGAATCTGTTTGGTTTATCTCGATGACTGTTGCATTTTCAGCAAGGACTTCCCTTCCCATCTGGTCCGTGTGCGCCAAGTGCTGACTCGGTTCCAGCAGGCTGGATTCAAGCTCAAGATGAAGAAGTGTCACTGGGGGCGCAGTCAAGTAGCGTTCCTGGGGCACATCGTGACTCCTACTGGGATCCTGCCTAATCCCGAGAAGGTGAAGGGCGTGATGAACGTGAAGCGTCCAGTGGATGTGCATGGGATCCACTCTTTCCTGGGTCTGACAAGTTACTTCCGTCGCTACATCCCGGGGTATGCGTCTATCTCTGCGCCCCTGGAACGGCTGAAGGTGAAGGACGCACCGTTCGTGTGGAACGAGGACTGTGAAGCTGCGTTTAGACAGTTGAAGCGTGCACTCTTGAAGCCGCCGATACTAGTCTATCCTAATGGCAAGAAACGGTTTAAGTTGTACGTGGACTCGTCACGGTACGCTGTTGGCGCTTGCTTGATGCAAGAAGTGAACGGTCGCGACCGTGTAGTGGCCTACGCTAGTAAGCTGTTGGCTGGGTCGCAGAAGAACTGGATCAACAACCAAGATGACATCTCGGAGATTGAATGTTGGGGAGTTGTTTGGGCAACGAGGAAGTTCCGCTGCTACCTGGACAAACGTGAGTTCGATTTGTACAAGGACCACCAGGCGCTGACGTGGGTGTTCAGCCCCGGTAACCGTACGACGAACGCTAAGCTTGCACGGTGGGCGATAGAGCTCTCGAGCCTCCAGTTCAAAGTTCATCACAAGCCTGGTACTTCTTTGGGTCATGTTGACGGTCTGTCACGATTGACGATGGACACGGCGGCGGCTCTGACGATGAGCGACCTCCTGAATCCTGAGAGCACGGTCGATGACGTGCATCCGGCTTCAGTCGGGGAGCAGCCTGGTACAAACGGTGAACTCGCGAACGGTGAGGATGTTGCTGGCGAGCGTGCAGATGGACATGTGGATGATGACGAACCTGACCGTCCGAATGAGGACGTTGGCAGCGGTCCGGTAACGGATGTGCCGATATCCCCTGTGGACCGGTTCGGACTCGACTCTGAACAGTTCGTAGAAGCGCAGCAAGAGGTGCCGTGGATCAAGACTCTGGTGGCTTTCCTGCTGGACGGTGCCTTGCCTCTCGACCCCTTCCTGCGAGCGACTGGTGTCAAGATGGGACGTCGATATGAAGTACGGAACGGTTTATTGATGCGGCGTGTGAATCTTCCAGCTCGAGTCGGACCTGCACGGTCCTCGACCGTTCCGGTGGTTCCGTTACCGTATATGGAGACCGTGTTGCACTGCTATCACTCTGACGTTCTGTCATCTCACTTGGAATGACGAAGACTCTGGAAAAGGTGAGGAGGCATGCGTTCTGGCCGGGATGGCGGAAGGATGTCACGGAGTACGTCCGGGAGTGCTACCGTTGTGGTAGTGGGAAGGGCTCGAGACCGTGGCAAGCGGGGCAGATGCAACGGATGCCCGTAGCCAATCTCACGGGACCGTTCTCACTACTAGTGGTCGATGCCGTCGGACCGTTACCGGAGACTGAACGAGGCAACAAGTACATTCTTGTATTCGTGGACTACTTCACGAGATGGGCCGAAGCCTTCGCAGTTCTCCGATTGGACTCCGTCACGTTCGTTGACGTCATGGTGAACGGTGTTGTGTCCCGGCACGGTGTGCCTTCACGGTTGTTGAGTGACAACGGTCGAAATTTCACGTCCGAAATCGCTAAGTCTTTCTATCAAACGCTCGGGATCAAGAAGCTGTTCGGTTCTGCCTATCACCCGCAGACTCAAGGTCTCGTGGAACGGTTCAACGGAACGCTCATGGGAACGCTCAAGATGCACGTGAGTGAAGCGCAAACGGACTGGGACCTGTATTTGCCTCGTGTGTTGTTTGCCTACCGCACGTCTTATCATGAGGCGTTAGGCGATACACCGTTCTTTTCTCTCTACGGACGTGATGCTACGCTACCGCTGGACGTCGCGTTCCTGAACCTGGGGAAGAAATTGAAGAGCAACGAAGTGGCTCTGTATCGAGGTCGGTGAAACCTTTTACGCCTAGGCGTATAGCGGTAGCCCAGAAAGGGTTGACGAGCAAACCTCTTTGGGAAGGTAAACCCTGAACGCAGATTTCCTTGAACGCCGGTTCTGGGAATAAATGCGGCCAGGGTGGCGTGGCACCTTGTGAATCCCTATCGGTGTCGTTTATCTTCGGGGAGCCTGGATCGATCACCAGGTGAGTTGTCTGTGGGGTTGAAAGCCTTGAGTTCGTTGAGCGTACGTTCACTTGTCTGAACGCACTTCTCCGAAATGGCTGAAGCTTGAAACGTGAGTGAAGGATCAGGGTTACTACCACGAGTTAGAACCCCAGAAATACACACCACTTTCAGATATCCAATACAAATACAGAGTTATACACAAACACACAGCCGCCACTTATTCTTAGACCCTTGGGCGGTGGGTCGTACACCAGTCAACTAATCTGCGATCAAGGTACTGGTCAACCTTGAACGCACTTTCACACGCGCACCACCCTCAGATGAGGGAAATATACAGACCAAATACAATCCGATCCTAAACGCAGTCAATCAGACTATTCTCGGGGGCGACTGCTACCAAACCACCCGAGATATCAATCGTTAACATGAAATGGGACACCACCCTTACCTCAACGCAATGGGCCCAACTGGGAAATGGAATACGTGGATCACTTCAGCAGCCGGAGCAGACTGATCCCCACGTAATTGGACTTGAATGTGTGTGGGGAGCTCCGCACTGCTTGTCCTTAAAGACAGCGGACCCGATTCCTCGACGACTTGCGCAGTAGGGGGTAAAACGAACTCTCCGATTGTTATCTGCTAGACTATCGCTAGGCTTTGTGTAAAGGTATCTCTCTCGTAACGTTCTTCTGCGTTCTTCTGTGTTCTTCGCCACGCGTCTGGCGAATATCTTGACTTGAATATACTGGAACTGTTGACGTAGACACTTCCCACTGGATTCTTGCCCAGATTCAATGTGCCTGTGTCTTTGTGCATGACTGGCTCTTGAGAAACCTTGGCCGCATGCGGCCAAGGTTCCCTTAAACCCGCATTCCTTGAAACCGGGTTTCAGAGTCAGCAGGCTTGAACGCAGTGCGTCCAAGGTCTGCAGCCAAAGGCGATTTGCGCCCAAAGCTGAAACCATACTCAAGGCCTTGCGGCCAAGGGTAGGTTGACTCTTCACTGGGTCGTGAGGTACTTGGCGGGACTTCTTCCGGGTGGCCAGCGGTCTGGACACTATGTACGCGACTTCACTGGGGTGGCTGAGCTCCGGGTACACGAATTCGATGTGCGTTCAGGGCCTAGGCGAGGCGGGACACCATATACGATACGTTCGTACAGGCGTTTTCGACGGCCTCAATGTGTCAACCCGCTTAAGGACGGGGGCGGCCTGGACGGATCGAGTGCGTTCAGGGTTTCTCATCTGAACGCAGTCTTCCAGGCCTGAAGGCCCATCCTAGGCTTGAGCGCACTTCGCTCCGCGGAACACAGCCGAATTCCAGCTCAGAGCTTGTCGCACGGTGTACAGCCGGGTCCGGGTTCAGTCTCGGCCAATCAGAATGGCGGGTTCAGGCGGGTCAGTAGACAGGTGATGACCGGTTGAGGTAAAACCCCGTTCAGTCTCGTCACACGGGAATTGTACCGTTCGCTGCGTGATTCTCGTCATCTAGTCGAGCGTCAACTGGTGAAGGCTCAAGATCGTCATGAAAAACGGTTAGGTGACCGTGTAGCCCTGGAGTACGAGGTTGGAGACCCGGTGTGCGTGTATCAACTGTTCCGGAAGAAGCGAGGGGAGGCGCGGACGAAGAAACTAGCGTTCGCGTGGCACGGCCCTTACCGAGTTGTTGCGAAGTGGGCAATAATGCGTACCGGACTGACATCCCGTCGCATCCTGACAAGGTGGTCACGGTCAATGTGAACCGTTTGAAGAAGTTTCGTGGCAAGTGGACACGGCCGTACATGGATGACGTGCCGGACGGTGCCGAAAACGGTGAAGGAGAGGCTGAAGAAGGACCGCTGGAGGAGGCCGACCTCCTCGCGTCGAGTTTCACGGAACGACTGACCGTTGGCAAGGGGGACACGGTCCTCACGGGTGTCGACTCGCCGTTGTTAGCAGTGTGAGAAACGAACGGTGGACCGTTCTGTGGAGTACCTGGTGTTGGTTGCGAATTATGAAACGTTTTGGGTGCCTCGGGCCGAGTTGATGCCTGAGTATGAGGCCCTAGTGGCGGCTTTTGAACAAGCCAGGAGGAAAAGTTGCGGCTGCCCCAGTTGCGTCGAAGCTCGAGGCTGGCCGATGCCAATGAAGATGTGAAGGACGATGACCTGCTAATGGCGTAGCACGGTCAACGGTGGGAGCGTTTGTGTTTTGGAGGAACGGTCGTGAAGTGATGTTATGAACGGTCGAACTACAAGACTCAAGAACGGAACGAGTGGAAAACGGTTTGCATGTTGTTATTGAGATTAATTGGAGGGACGCACGGGGTAATACGGAAAGAATGAACGGTCAGGAGCGTCCCTTATTCACGGAGAACTACTTGAAGCTCGAAGAGTTTTGGAGCTCTTCTTCTTGGAGTTGCCCTTGGCCGACGAGTCGCCCTTGTCGTCGCCAGAGCTGTTCTCCTTGTCGTCATCAGGAGCGTCGTGGGTGTCCGAACTGCGGCCGCCTTCATCGTCTTCGACTTAGTTATCTTGATCGGCGTCGTCTTGCTCTTGGTCGTCGGGCTCGTCTTCCTGCGTGGAGCTCGGCGTGGACGGCTTCTCCTCGGACTCATCGTCTTCGACGTCTTCGAGCTCCTCGTCGACGGGCGGAGACGGCGGCTGCACGGTGAACGTGTCGTCGTCGTCGGCGTAGTCCGAGTCGTTGTCGCCCTGCTCCTTGCGCTGGAACGGCTTCAAGTCCATGACGACCCTGTACGTGCCCTCCTTGAGCTGCTTGGCGATCTTGACCTGGAGCGCGCGGATCCGGTTGTTCGTCAGCAGCGTCTTCCAGATGCCGCTGCTCTTGTTGCCGATCCAGGCCGGGTTGGGAGGCTTGCGGCCCGCGTCGCGCGCGATGCGAGCCAGAGCTTCGTCGCTGAGTCGAAGGTGCGGGGGACGAGTCGGGTCCAAAGCCTCCGTCTGCTCCAGCAGCTCACGGATGCTCTGGTAACCGTCTTCGTCAATGCGGCACGGATCCAGGATGCGAGCCATCAGGCTGTCGTAGCGGGAACGGTCGTGGCGCCACAGCGTGACGAGGTCCGTCGCCGAACTGGCCTTGCCCTTGGCCGACACGGAACGCTTGGCGGCCTTGCCTCCGAGCCACATGAGATTGTCGTGAACGGTGTTCTCGAAGCGGTCGAGGAAGCCGTACCAGCCGAAGCGGCAGACGTTCGCACTCACCAGCACGAGGCGGCCTTGGTTCGCGTTGAGCTTGTCGCGGCGGCGAGCGTCCGAGTTGTCCGTTGGCGCGTACAGCGCACAGTTGAAGAACGTGTCACGGTGGCGCATGTAGTTGCGCCAGTGCATCAGGTAGAGCTCCGGAAACTCTTCCGGGTCGTACCAGGCGTGCTGCCCGGCCCAGGGGTACGCTGCTCGTGGCGGGGTCTTGCCCTGGTTGGCGGCGGCCTTGACCAGCTTCTCGACGTATCGCTGAACGTCGCGGGGGCAGGTATCCGGCAAGTCGAACATGCACTGCGGGGTGCGCGAGCTCTTGCGCTGCTTCTTGGCGGCGGGGGCCTTCTGGTCATCAGAGCTCGAAGCGGCCGGACGCTTGGTCGCGGGCGCAGGAACAGCTTGAGCAGCGAAGAGGTCGTGCGCGGGCGCGGGCTCCGTGTCCATCGTGGTGGGCGCTGGCAACAGCACCACCGTGCGCGCGAGCTCCGCGGGCAACAGCGTGTCGTCGGCCAGCACGGCCACGGCCACATCGTCGAAGGCCGTGACGCCAAGCGAGTCGCCGTTGACGAAGATGGAGCTGCGCAGCCGGGCGTAGAAGTCGACTTGCGCGCGCAGTCGCGCGTCGGCCTCGGCGCTGGCGCCGAGCGTCTTGCGGTCCAAGCGCGAGCGCAGTCGTCGGATGATGGCGGTCTTATTCTCGTCACGAGGCTTGGCCATGGTGGTGGGGTTCTTGGGCGTCTTGCTCTTGTCTCAGCGAAAGCTGAAATGAGGACAAGAAGCCAATGAGCGTGAGCTACTGATGGACAACGACTCGACCGTTGGAAGTTGAAGGTCTGTGATTTCCTTTCGGGGAAGGGAGAGACGCGGTTGACGAGCGACACGGTCGTGTCAAACACGGTGAATTGACGAAATGTAACGGTGGGTTGCTGGATCTACCAAAGTGCTGAGTGCGACGGCTGCAGACATCGCAAGTAAGCAGGGACGGTGGACTCATGCAGCTCTAAGGACTGCATTTTATCTTTCGCACGGTGGCGAGATGGAGACGACTATTGAAGTGATCGAGTGGTGCTTTTGGAGTTCGTTGGTGCTGTGGCGCGTCGCGCTCACGGTGCTGTGCAAATATTGGTGGGTGACCGTTTTGTTGGTCGTGGGCGCGATTGGCGGAGTGGTGACGAGGCCGCTGTGGAGTATCGCGGGTCGACTGCTCGGCGCAGTCTTCGCCTTCGTCTACAAGTGGTCTACGCTGGCGCGGGTGTGCCTGAGGCGCTACCGTCGCTTTGTGAACGGCCCGGCCGTGCGAGGTCGACCGGCTGCGGAACGGAGATGGAAAGCGTTCGAAGCAATTTGGGCAACGCCCATGATCGTGTTGGAGGCTCGTGGAGAACACACCGAAGGCCTCGGCAGGCTGCTACACAAGTGGTTGGAAGCGTATCACGCGTTGTGGTGCGTCTTCTTGCCTGACGTAATGGAGCTCAGCTGCAAGTCGACGGCCAAGTACTGGAAAGGGTCCAAGGCCGAGTGCAGGCGGACGGTCGACCGTGCGAGCTGTGTGTGTCGTGGGTTCTGGGCGTTCCTGTCACTGCTGGCTTACGCCCTCTTCTACACGGTCGTGTTCGTGTACGACTTCGTGGAGCGAGTGTGCCAAGGAACGGTGGGCGTCGCAGTGCTCCTGCTGACGCTGAACTACATGTTGGCTGATGGAGGTCTAGTCGTCGGCGACGGGCTCGTGCCCGACGAGACGGTAGTGCGGTGGAGATGTTATGTGATGGCGACCTGCGTGGCCAGCCACTTGCTGAAATGGTATGAGGCGACTTCGGGCGGGAGTTCGCCATTGAAGATGGCCGAGGACCGCTACTCGAAATGGCAGCAAGACTTGGAAGAGCTGGAGCAAGCTGAGCGCTTGAGCGAAGCGTTCTGGCGTGCGGACGGCTGCGTAGGCGATAGGAAACCTGTGAGGACGCTCAGCGGGTTGCGCGCCGAACAGCGAGAGCTGCGTGCCAAGATGCGAGCTGACAAGCTGGAAGCTGTTCGACGAGGACGTCGAGTTTCAGTCGGGGAGGATGTCCCGAGTAGGAACGGTGGTGACCGTTCCTACTACACGGACGACCGTTCGACCAGCGATCGAATTCTGGAGGATCAGCTGTTGGACGATGCGGTGAGCGGGCAGTCATCCATTTCGGAGGGGCGCTGACTGGCGACGCGTCGGTTAGGTGGCGCGCTCGGCTGCGATGGAAGCAGTGACGCGAGCGATGGGTGAGCAGTGACGCGAAGGGCAGGACGGAGGTCACGAGCGCCGCGTGGCTCAGGGCGTGAGCTGTGAGGTGAGCCAAGGACGAAGGGGTGAGACGAGAGCCAGGTGAGCCGGTGACGTGTTGAAGTCGGCACATGAGCCGACAGAGAGCCGAAAGAAGAAGGAAGCACGAGCTGTCAGGCTCCGTGCGCGGTAAGGAAGTAGGGTCAGTCGTGAATCTGCACTGGAGAGAACAAGTTGATTTAGCTCTGTTTCTCGCTCTTTGTGCCACTGCCTAACCGTTCTAGCTTCCATACAACGCTTGAACGTCCATCCAGGGCACTCGCGACACGGTCAACTCGCCGCATGAGCGCCTATTTTTGCATGCGGCCGCATGCGACCACCTACCCCACTAACCAATCACAAGTCCATATTTCGGCTCATGCGGCCGCATGCGACGAAAAATTCCGGTTGAGAATGGGCCTTAGTAGTCATTAGCCGATAGCTAAGTGACAATAATGATCCTCAATTCGAAAACAGAACAAAAACATTTGCTGGTGCTGTATAGGCATTATCGAGCATCTCCAACGTTCCTAGAATAAAAAAAAGCCGACTAGAACGAGTCCTGCATACAAATACTTCGGTGAAGTAGCCATCCGAGTCAGCGAAGCTCCTTGCGAGGAAACTGTCACAATCGACAGCGTGTCGACTTTCTCCGCTGTAGAGTTCGTAGGCATTGGCGATGTCGAATCCACCAGGTAGTACTTGACGTATCCGTTCTTGTCGTTGACGCAGACCCCTGAGTTCAAGTTCGTCGTAGAAAGCGGGAAAATGCCATAGTAGAAGCGTAAGTTGTAGCACCCGTCGTACGACATGTAGACTCCAATGGACTTGGCCTGTGCATTGGTCACGACAGCCAGATATGGCCCCGTAGCTCCGCTCATTCCACCTTGAGCACGACACTCACCGTCCGCTAGAAATGCCCTGGACATCCAGAACTTCTGACAGGACGAGTCTGCGTAGTAGTCGGCCAGCAAGTAGGGAGATGCGCCGAATTCATCCTGGAAGTACTGGACTCGGTCCTCCACGCAGACGCGAATGTCATCGGACGTGTCGTTTGAGGAGCACGTTGTCTGAGTGGTGCACAACTTATACTGTGGACTCACCATGTCTGCAGATACCAACGTGTCACAGCCACCTGCAGCGTAAAATGCCCTCGTATCCAGTGGGTAGTCAATGCTGTCGTTTGCGGCGGCAAACTGAGAAACTAGCAGGTAGAAGATAGTAGGAAGAAGCACGAAACCAGGCCCGATCCGCATTGTTGCGTGCTGCTGGGCTGGTGGAGGTGAAACTCGAGAGTGAAAGAGCGAGGTATGCGTCGACATCGGAATACTGGGTGGGGTAAGATCGGTGGAGGAATTGCCGTGCTCGCTGCGATCTCACGTGTAATAAAAGCCCCGAGGCCAGAAACAGAATTGGCGATGAAGCTCATCCGGGTACCAGTACTGTTGGCACAACCAGCAACGGCGCGAAATCAATGTTCTCATCTCACCTAGAATTGATTCCCTACGCTGGACTGCCAGACGAAGACGACCAAGCTTATCATATAACGTTTACTTCTCTACTGCACTGTAGACGGTAGTCCGAGCTAGCAATTGGATTTTTGTGTTTCACTGCACCAGTGCGAGGTATTTGGTGTTCAGCTGCATGGCGTCAACGTTTAAAGTTTTAGAAGCTTCCAATATCGATATCCATGACTCGAGAGCTGTGCTCCGGGTGTGGATTACTTTCAATGCCAAAAAGGTGGAAGTTCAATGCATCTAAAAACAAGGTGGAGGTTCAAGGCATTTAGAAATGATGGCGTGGTGTATGCAACGTGCATATGCTAGAGTGACCCCTAGTCGGTGAGGGCTTCAATCTAGAAGATCTTGCCTGTGATGTTAAGACCCAGTGCGGCAGACGAACTCAGCAGCTCTGCGAGTTGATCGAGTTCGAACTGCAGTTCACGACCATCTTGAAAGCGAACCGTCCAGCGGAAACCCTGTGGGGCCCGAGCAATCCAGCCAGTCTATGATTTGGCCGGGCATATAGCGATTCGTCACCTGGCCATCAGTGCCTGTGACGGGCAACTGCTTCATCACGTTCCAGTTCATTGGCATTGCAGGCCGCTTCTCAAGATCGACCATGAATTTGTCCTTGGCGAAATTGCATGAATGGGAAGGTTTTGGGAGGTTGCTCAGCTCCGGGACGTTTCTCAGCCTCGGGATGCTGCCTCGGGACGTTGCCCATGTACAGGCTGTCGCCCATGTCTGGCACGTTGTTGATCTTCATGGCATGTGCCACCGGGGCAGCTTTGGAAACACCAAATGGCCGTTTCTAAAACGGAACACATACATGCATTGAACCTCCACCCTTTTTTTAGAAACATTGAAACTCCACCTTTTTTGCATTGAAAGTAATCTCATCCCCTGTGCACCAAGTGGCACAAGTCCGATGAGCCACCGCGAAATGTTTCAACTTCAATGGCACAATCGAGCGCTTCACTCGCTTACAACACTGCGTCAAGAACTCGACATGCAGGCGTCATCGCTAGACAACCAGGTCCGTGTCTGGTACATCCAGCCTTGCATGAATGTAATAGCACCCGCCTGCATTATCTGGCCGATGCTGATGCCATTCTTACCACATGTTCAGGTACTCTCAAAAGTAATCATGGCTGGCTCAGCCAATCTACTCTTCCGAATTAGTCAGGGATAGCAACTAGATCCAGTAATACTGTATGACGTTCAACACTGATTCACGTCATAGCTTGTCGTCCTTCGACAGACTTCGCGATTCAACCAAGTTATTATAAATCGATTACTCTGCGCTAGGTAGAAGCCACTGCCGTTCTGGCATAATCGTCCTTTAACATCTCAAACCGGGCAGGAAAGAGTCGACAAGCTACAGACTCATTCTCGATTTTCCTCGCACCAGGCCAAGAAGACTCGCTCGACGATCAAAAGGATGGAGAAGAAACTCGGCTACGACTCCGGAGCGGCGTTGATGGCTGAAGGGGCCGAAGTGCTGCACCAACACCTCGCGTCCAAGGTCGAAACATCTTTGGGCTCCGCGATTCCTCAGATGGACGTGCGGTTCAGCAATTTGTCCGTCACTGCCGACATCGTCGTGGTCGATGACTCCGGGTCCAAGTACGAGCTGCCGACCATCCCCAACACGCTCAAGAAGGCCTTCGTCGGGCCCAAGAAGCGCGTGGTACGGAAGGAAGTCCTCAAGGACATCAGCGGCGCCTTCAGGCCGAGTAGAATCGCCCTACTTCTGGGCCAACCGGGGTCTGGCAAGTCGTCTCTCTTGAAAATGCTGAGTGGGAGATTCTCCGTCGAGAAGAACATCACGGTGGAGGGTGACATCACCTTCAACAATGTGAAGCGCGAGCAGGTTATCCAGCGCCTGCCTCAGTTCGTGTCGTATGTGAACCAGCGCGACAAGCACTACCCCATGCTGACGGTCAAGGAGACGCTGGAGTTCGCCGACAAGTTTTGCGGAAGTTCTCTGTCCAAGCACAACGAGCAGATGCTGACTCAGGGCAGTGACAAGGAGAACGCGGACGCACTGAGCATTGTCAAGGCTGTCTTCGCGCACTACCCGGACGTTGTGTTGCAGCAGCTTGGCCTGAAGAACTGTCAGGATACGATCGTGGGTGACGCTATGACGCGAGGAATCTCTGGGGGTGAGCGCAAGCGCGTCACCACCGGCGAGATGGAGTTCGGCACCAAGTTCGTGTCGCTCATGGACGAGATCAGCACGGGGCTGGACAGCGCGGCAACGTACGACATCATCAACACGCAGCGCAGCATCGCCCATACATTGCACAAGAACGTCGTGATCGCTCTGCTGCAGCCGTCGCCCGAAGTTTTCTCGCTTTTCGACGACGTGATGATCCTAAACGAGGGGCAGCTCATGTACCATGGCCCGTGCTCTGAAGTCGAGAGATACTTCGAAGATCTGGGCTTCTCGTGCCCCCCTGGACGCGACATCGCCGACTATTTGCTGGATCTGGGCACGTCCGAGCAGTATCGCTGCCAGGTCGAGCACCCGACGAAGCAACCGCGCAGTGCCAGTGAGTTCGCGGAGGCCTTCCGCCATTCGTCGATCCATTAGGAGATGCTCCGAACTCTGGAGGCTCCACCCGACCCTGAACTGCTGCGTTGTGCGACGCAAAGCATGGATCCGACGCCAACCTTCAACCAGTCGTTCATCGAGAGCACCTTGACTCTGCTCAGACGCCAGCTCCTGGTCACGTACCGGAACAAGCCCTTCATCCTCGGAGGACTTTTGATGATCACGGTCATGGGGCTGCTCTACTGCACCGTGTTCTACGACTTTGACCCGACCGAAGTGTCAGTGGTGCTCGGGGTCGTCTTCTCCTCAGTCATGTTCGTGTCCATGGGGCAGTCGTCCCAGATCGCCACCTACATGGCGGAGAGGGAGATTTTCTACAAGCAACGAGGCGCCAATTTCTTCCGAACGGGGTCGTACGTGCTGGCCACGTCGGCCAGCAACTACCGCTGGCGCTGGTCGAGACGATCATCTTCGGGTCTCTCGTCTACTGGCTGTGTGGGTTCGAGTCGGACATCTCGCTGTACCTCATCTTCGAGCTTGTGCTGTTTCTCACGAATTTGGCCATGGGGATGTGGTTCTTCTTCTTGTGTTCAATCGGCCCCAACGCGAACATTGTGACCCCATTAAGCGTGTGCAGCGTCCTCGTTTTCGTCGTTTTCGTCGTTTTCGCTGGCTTCATTGTGACCACGGAGTTTTTTGTGTTTTTGCACGGAACCCCGTGTGTTTTTGCAGTGGGCATACTGAGCGCCTGCGCATGGTCCCGTGCAGGGCGCGTGGATACTGGAACCAAGTCCGAACGGCAACTTGTGTTTTTCGAAAGAAATCCGAGTGCTTTCGAAGAGCACTCGGAAATTCCCGGACTATTTGATTTTCGCCCATTGGTTGAGTCCAATGAGCTGGAGTGTCAAGGCGCTGTCGATCAACCAATACCGGTCAGACGCAATGGACGTGTGCGTCTACGACGGTATCGACTACTGCACCAGCTACAACGAGATGACGATGGGTGAATACTACTTGACTTGTTCGGACTTGACACCGAGAAGTACTGGGTCGCGTACGGTATCGTCTACTCGGCTGCCATCTACGTCGTCTTCATGTTCCTGTCGTGTCTTGGACTCGAGTATCTCCGCTACGAAACCCCAGAAAACGTCGACGTCTCGGAGAAACCCGTTGATGATGAGTCATACGCGTTGATGAATACGCCGAAGAACACGAACTCTGGGGGTAGCTACGCCATGGAGGTAGAATCTCAAGAGAAGAGCTTTGTTCCGGTGACTATGGCTTTCCAAGATCTGCACTACTTCGTGCCTGACCCACACAATCCGAAGGACTCTCTCGAGCTGCTCAAGGGCATCAACGGCTTTGCAGTTCCTGCATCTATCACCGCGTTAATGGGCTCTTCGGGCGCTGGAAAGACGACGCTCATGGACGTGATCGCTGGGCGTAAGACCGGAGGGAAGATCACGGGGAAGATTCTACTCAACGGCTACGAAGCCAACGATCTCGCCATCCGCCGGTGCACGGGGTACTGCGAGCAGATGGACGTGCACTCGGAGGCTGCTACGATTCGTGAGGCGCTGACGTTTAGTTCATTTCTCCGTCAAGACGCTTCCATTCCGGACGCCAAGAAGTACGAGTCGGTGGACGAATGTATTGAGCTGCTTGGACTAGAAGACATCGCCGACCAGATCATCCGCGGCAGTTCTGTGGAGCAGATGAAGCGCCTGACAATTGGCGTCGAACTCGCTGCCCAACCGAGCGTGATCTTCCTAGACGAGCCCACAAGCGGCCTGGACGCACGTTCTGCCAAGCTCGTCATGGATGGTGTCCGCAAGGTCGCTGACTCGGGGAGAACCATCATCTGCACCATCCACCAGCCGTCCGCTGAGGTGTTCTACTTGTTCGACAGCTTGCTGCTGCTCAAGCGCGGTGGCGAGATCGTGTTCTTCGGTGAATTGGGTGAGAACTGCTGCAACTTGATCAACTACTTCCTATCGATCCCCGGTGTGGCTCCGCTTCCGCTGGGCTACAACCCTGCGACGTGGATGCTGGAGTGTATCGGTGCTGGTGTGAGCAATTCCGCGGCTGGCAGCATGGATTTCGTGAACTTCTTCAACAGCAGCGCTCTCAGTCGGGCACTGAAGAATAATATGGCGAAGGAAGGCATTACAACGCCGTCGCCAGACCTCCCGGAGATGGTTTTTGCTGAGAAGCGCGCCGCTAACTCCATCACGCAGATGAAGTTCGTGGTTACTCGCTTCATTTCGATGTACTGGCGCACTCCCAGCTACACCCTCACGCGCATGATCCTCTCGCTGTCTTCTTTGCGTTGCTGTTCGGCGTTGTATCCATCGACGCCGACTACGCGTCCTACTCGGGCCTCAACTCGGGCGTCGGTATGGTGTACATGGCTGCTCTCTTCCAAGCTATCATGACCTTCCAGAGCGTTCTACCCCTCGCGTGCTCTGAACGCGCCTCATACTACCGTGAACGTGCAAATCAAAGTTTCAATGCGCTCTGGTACTTCGTGGGCTCTACCATCGTCGAGATCCCCTACTGCTTATGCAGCGGGTTCTTGTTCACGGTTGTGTTCTACCCCATGGTGTGATTCACGGATTTCTGGACCGGCGTGGTCTTCTGGCTGGCCATCTCACTCATGGTATTGATGCAAGTCTACCTGGGGATGATGTTCGCGTACGCCATGCCCTCGGAGGAGGTCGCGTCGATCTTCGGGTTGCTGTTTAAGACTGTCTTCATGATGTTCATGGGGTACAGTCCGCCGGCCTCTCGATCCCGTCCGGGTACGATTGGATGTACAAGATCTCGCCACTTTGGTTCCCTCTCTCCATCATGGAAGCGCTGGTGTTTGCCGACTGTGACGAGCTCCCGACGTGGAACGAGAGCACGCAGGCGTATGAGAACGTGGGGTCGAAATTCGGGTGCCAACCGATGGAGAACTCCCCCGTGACTGTGGGTCACATCACCATCAAGGAGTACACGGAGCAGTACTTCGGCTTCAAGCACGAGTCGATCACCCACTTCTTCTTCTTCATCATCGGCTGCATCGTGCTCTTCCGCGTCGTCGGCCTCATCGCTCTGCGCTTCCTCAACCACCAGAAGCGCTAACTTTGGAATACATTTTCGCAGTAGAGGATACATTTTCGCAGTAGTGGATACACTTTCACAATAGTGGATACATTATCGCAATAGCAAACACATTTTCACTTATTTCTGTACTCGGAGCTTCTCAAGCATGGCGCGCAAGAAGCGGCGAGTTGCGCGTGCGGAGGACGAGGAAGCGGCTCGGCAGAAGTTCCTCGAGGCTCTGGAGGCCCAGCGCGCCAACGCGCGCAAGCAGAGCGCCGAAAAACCCACTGAACCTCAGGCGGCGGCGGCGGCGGCTCTACCGGGTTTTTACTACGACGAGAGCAAGAAGCGCTACTTCCGCTCTTCTCCGGCCTCGGAGCGCCGTCAACGCGAACAATTGGAGCTGAAACAGCAGCAAGAACAAGCTGCCGAGCAAAAACCGCAAGTTAAAGTGAAATTTCGGCGAGGATATGGGGTCAATAGTCACAATTGGGTGGACTACCTGACCCAACGACAAAGTGACTTCAGCTGGAGTGCACGAGGCCGAGACCATCGAGAGTTGATGCCACAATTGCTGTCGGGATTTTTGGTAAGAAAAGTTATTCGAGGCCTCGTGAGATGTAGGGGGCAAATGGTAATGTTATTGTGATTTTTGTGCCAAGTCGTCGCAGGTGGTGGAGCCTCAGGGCGTGTGCACTGCAGGCAGACTCACGGCGTTGGCTCTGCATCCTCGAGCTAGCAATCTCGGAGCACTGGGAGGTAAAGTTTACGATAACTGGAGCTGTTTTTTTGTTAAATAATTGATGAGGCTCTCTTTAACTGTGTTGCAGCTAGTAGTGGGCAACTGGATATCCTAGGGCTGAGAAGGATGCCGCCTGAGCCTGGGACTGCGTCTCCGTCGCAAAGAGTCCTGCCCATCGCGAGTTTCGATATTGACGGAGTTATCACAGCGCTACAGTGGCGTCCGGTCCGAGAACTGGATTTGCTCGTGTGCAGTCTCGGGTCAGGCCAGCGAAACAGGCAGCGCCCATCCGGTTGTGTGTCTTTCATGCGTGTGGGCGACCAGAGCTCTGGCGGGGGAACAGTGATGTCGAACTCACGCGGAAAGGTGCGAATTTGTGTCGAAGCTCTCATTTGTGCTACCTGGAATTATTTGCTTATGGTTTGGTGCTCTTTGATTCTCAGAGCTGGCAATTCGTCGATCCTTGGACAGCTAAATGGTTTGTTTCGAGCACTTGCATCACGTGAGACTTCCCCAGCGATAATGTTGTTTTGCTCTGGTTACTTTGTATCAGGAGCCCAGCAACAAACGGGAGTAACTTCAGCGTCGGCTGTGGCGGGTAAGTCCGTGTCTGCTAGTGATTGTCTTAGGTTGCAGTGGTATTGACCTGCCGCCCTCTCCAGATCATCGACTGCAGCGTATGTGGACGCGGTGGGGCAGGTTGGAACCATTCAGCTTGCGCCAACAGGAACCATCACCAGCGATGTCCACGCCCAGGGCTTCTACAGCACGGTTAGTCATGAACGTTTCTCCAGCTTAAGACTGATGTGGTTCTTACCCAAAATATGCAGGGTCATGTCGTGCTAAATGGTACGAAGGACGGTGGGCTGTGGGGCTGGGACCTGCGCTCCCCTAGTCGAGCTTATGAGTGGGAGGCGGAGGTGGCGGCGGGCCAGCCTGCAGGTTCTGTCCTAGACGTCCACGTTTTGGAGGACTGTTGCAAGGCTGTGGTGCAGCGATCGAATGGCGAGCTTCGACTGCTGGACCTCCGCAACTGCAAGCCAGTGGTGGAATTCGTGGCGGGACTGCCCAAGCGCTACCTGCCAAACCTTCGTTGTGCAGTGGACACCCACGAGACTGTGGTGGTCGCTGGAGGAGATACGCAACGCCCACAAGCAGTGAACAGCTATGAGCTGCAACATGGACGTTGCGTGGCCTCGGTGGAGGTGAAGACCGCAAGGAGTTCGAGATCGAGTGCGAGTGAGAAGCGCTCGACACTGGTGCAGCAGATTCAGCTCAAGTCCGGCCTCTATGACACTCGCTACGCAGACACCCCCGAGATCTGGGCACTGTCCCGCAATGAGCTCTACATCTGCAGCGGCCGAACCAACGATCCGATTGAATGAAGAATTAATGAGCTAGGCAAAGCAAATAAACTGACCTCGTAGCTGACAGCTTGGTTATTCTTCTTCTGCTGGTGGCGACGGGTCTTCCAGCAAGTCAGGCTGCTCCACAGGAACTTCACAGCGCAAGGTCGGCTTGCCCTCTTCATCCGGATTGTCTTCACTCAAGCCCACGCCACTGCCAGCCTGCAGGCGCTGAGGAGGTGGCAGCTGGAATGGCTCCGAGATGAACTTGACGCCGGTACCCACGTACACGTTCAGGAACTTCTTGCCGACAGCGATGCTGACAGCCCCCGGCCACACGAGACTGCGGACGATCGCCACTTCCCCCACTGCAGGCATTATAGTCGCTGGTAAACGATCCACACGCCATGACAAGGGTTTGTCCTCGCTCAGAGCACGGAGAGGTGGTGCGAACTCTTCTCCCTCACGCGGCTCCTCCTCTCCGTCCGCGTTAGTGAGAGGAGGCATAGGCGTCATGCGACCGTAGCGAGCGTTTATCTCCTTAGTAAAGTGCGTCCAGCTCCCCAAGTCCACCAAGTCAGCGGCAGCCTTGATCTCCGGCTCCTCGGCTGGAGCTATATCGCCTTCTTCGGACACCTGGAAGTATCCAGCTGGACACAGCACCGTGCCTGCAGAGATGCGAGCAATCTGCGCGCGCAGGTAGTTCTTCTCCAGCCCGGGGAACGGCGGGTGCCCAAGCACAGGGGCATCCAGGTCGCCATGCACATAACGACGCAGTTGTCGTGCTGCTAAAATCTGCTCGCGACGCACAGGAGGTAGTTGGACCCACTGGTATGCCCCGTTGTCCTTCATCACCCAGTACGTGAGCTTGTTCGCTCCCGTGGCCCCTTCCTCCGCTTCTTGGTCCTCCGGCTCATATGGGGTAGGCAACTCGCCCTCGGCGACGTAGTAATCAGCCCCGCGCCCCAGTAGCTTCCCCCAGAAGCGCATGTTCACAGTGCCATTTGTCTGAGCAAGGCGCTGCAAAGCCAACGACAGTCGGAACGTCTCCCCCTTGGAAAACCCCAGCCCAGCCCACTCGAACATGTTCGCTTCGTCCAATAGATCAGCCACGCCAGTAGCAGGTTCTGGTGGGGCTTCCTCCTCCGACTTGAGCTTCAGCAGCTCCAGAGCTACATTGCACCAGTTTTCTTGATGTGCTAGCTGCAAAAATTAAGACAATTGTCGCTTAGATCCACTTGAACTGTGCTCCTATGAGAGAACGAGACTCAACGTACCGCTTGCTTCTTAAAGCTCGACAACTGAGTGTTAGCATCCACGGTCGGCGGTTGTTGGGGCGCGAGATAGCGCTGCTGCTTCACCAACGCGGAGATATTTTCAAAGGTCTCATGCAGATTCTCGGGGCGCTCAACGATGATCTTGAGCAGCACGTCTCCCAGGTGGTCGTACAGGTTCGTCCCGTCGGCCGACTCCTTCTTCAAGAAGGCCTTGGCTTCCTCCAGCGTCGTCATGGCAGGCTTACCTCCGTTTGTAGATCCGCGCAATAACCACTCAAGAGACGCAAGTCGCTGCCGTCTTTGAACCGTCGCTCGACTCTTGAAAGGATCCTGGCCTTCGACAAAATAGCAGATGGCAAAGCAATGCAGACTTGTGCTTGGATGTGTACGTGGCTGGGTCAAGACACGACGAAGCGTTAAATAGCAGATTAGATATTGAGTTAGTGGTAGCCCGCGGATCCGACGCCTTCCCACGCCATGGTGCTGAAGCCTTCGCCCAAATCCAAGCCCGAGTTGTCGTAGTGGTTAATGCCTGGCGAAGACGTCGTTGCTGAACTGGCCCGCCGCCCTGTTGCCGCAGTTTTTCTTGCTCGCTTGCCTCTCGGCGCTTTTGATGCCTTTGTACCAGCTGACGAAGCTGCAAAGGACGTTAGTTTGGGGGGCTAATGAATTCGCCGCCTCTGAGATGAATACTCTTACCTCGTCGTGTGGCACCTGCTGCCTTCCGCTTCTTGCTGCCCCGAGCCGCTTTGCCGCCACGAGACGGGGGTGTAACCGGTTCACCTGCCGCCTTGCGAGCTGCATTTCGTTTGCGCTTTCGTGACTCGGATGTCCTGGTGGCGAGGCGATCAGCGTAAGACTTTCGAGACCTAACGACGTTGGCATGGATACACAAGACCATCAATTAGGGTGATATGTTGTACTTTCAATGTAGAAAGAGATTCCCAGCGTACCGTTGCCCAGCAAACATTTTACTGTAGTTGATGCGGCATCCGTAGTCGCCGCGGAGATCTTCCATGCACACGAAGTGGTTGAACTCTTTCAACTCCGCTCGCACAGTGGCTGGGCGTGTGTTGTTCGAAGACAGCATGGCCTGAAAGAAGCAATAAAGTGGGAGTGTTAACTTCGGGTCGAAAGGTGTAAGCAACTCGATGTATAGTTTACCTCGTTGTCGGAGATGTCCTCTACGAAGTCAGGATCTGGATCGGCAACTTTGTCTTGCGCATCGTAAGTGTCGTATTGCGACAAATCTGCGTACGGATTGTTGAGATCACTGCACAGCAGCACAAGCAAGAAGTTAATACGTGCATGAATCCCGCAACAATACTATAACAAACTCTAGGGCGACATACCCGTCATCAAATGAGTAGCTGTGGCTGCGAGCTGGCGGGCTGGAAGACAAGTCGACGAAATGGTCGTCTGGAGTACCGCCTATCGGTAGTGGCATCAATAGCAGCATCAGTAAAGTACAACATGGCGAGTATACCCGAGGCAACAGCTTACCTGACTGCAGCGACGTCTCACAAATCATACACTCCTTGCTCCCGGGCGGGTTCAAATTCGTGCACACAGGACACTCGACATCCTTCCCCGCTGGTTTCTTACGCTCATCTTCACGTGACCGATCACAAACTTCACATTGAGTTGTGCCAGGAGCGTTGAATGTCGTGCAAACCTTACATCTCCACCTCTCGTCCGACGCCCCATTCAAAGTTGGGACATTCTTCCTCCTGTCGGTAAAACAGGCATCGCATTCCGTACGCTCCGGGGAATTGAGGTTCGTGCAGATATGACAGGCCCATTTCAAGTCTGATCCAGTCGTCGTTGTCGTCTCCGGTGTACGCGGAACATCCCTGTATCTCTTGCAGCTGCAGCTTGTACACTCCATCGCGCTCTGAGTATTGAGATTAGTGCATATCTGGCACACCCATTTATCCTCCCACGAATCGTCGTCCTCTCCACTCTTGTTTCTCCTCAGCTTCTTGGGCTCTTCCTCTTCATCATCTGAATCACTCAGATCCAGCCCTGCACTCGCCAGCTTTTCCTCAATTAATGGTTCTTCAATGAGCACTTTACTTGCGGGCATGAAGCCAGGATACTTTGGAGGAGATGCAACAGGCACCACATCGTCATCATCGCATATTTCCTCGCAATCCTCCCGCCTCTTTGACTCGTCGGCTGCACTCGGATCCTCCACCACGTCTTCCACCACTGGAACGGCGAATACTGAGGCCCCAGACCCCAGTAGATTGAAGCACGGCTCCATAGCCGTGTCCTCCTCCTCCTCTTCTTCCTCCTCCTGCTTCTCCCCCTGTTCCTCCACGGTCACCATTGGCTCCATAGCATTAGCATTCCTGTGCACTTCATTTGCAACCTTCGGTTCCTGTTCTGCGTCTCTCTCCGTAGCGTCAAAACCTGCAGCCTGCTCTGCAGTCCCTGGCTCACTCCGTTGGCTCTCCTGCTTGCTCTCTCGCTCCACAGCTCCCATTCGTCGCCAACTTCCGCGTCGTCTGTTCACCACGAGTCTAGTTTCTTGCCTCCACGTAGCAGCGGAGCTGGAATCGCCCTGGGAGCGCGCTGAGGAGCTGAAAAAGACGCCTGATGCTGGACGATACACATGCTGCACTTCGAAGCCTGTAGCGACAGCTGCAGGAGGTTCTAGGGGCTGAGAATTCTTGAGCAGGTGCGCCGGTGGACGCTCATTGTCGCAAGCTTGGCAGCGGTCGTCGTCCGCGCTGTTGAGCAGCGTGCACAGCGGGCAACTCCAGTCCTCGCAGACCTCCTGCTGCCTGGTCCGCGCCATTTTCAAAACTGGTGCAATTGTTACCCGCGGAAAATACACACCTGTGATTGGTTGAAAGAGGACAAACAACGATTTGGATTGGATGAAAAAAGGTACCTTTGAAACTTATTGAACCTACTCACTCAGAATACTTATAATAATGCTGCATCACAGGATGTAGCCATCTCTCATGCACCTTGAAGCCATTCGTGCTTCAAGAGCTCCGTTGCAGTGGCTCGCGACTCCGGCGAGATGTCCAACATGCTCTGCACGAAGCTCTTGGCCGCTGGAGAGACCTTGCTCCATTGCGGCTGGTCGTACCACAGGGCACCAAGGCTGATGAGCTTGAACAGCTCCGTGTCGTTCTTGGCCTCGTCGAACGGCACCACGCCGCTGAGCATCATGTAGGTCATGATGCCCGTGCTCCAGATGTCGGCCGGCGTGCCGTGCAGACGGCCGGACACGAGCTCCGGGCTCAGATACTGCGGGGTGCCGCACATGGTCTGCAGACGGCGGTTGGCCAGCTGCAGCTCCTCGGAGAGACCAAAGTCCGCGAGCTTCGCCGTCAAGTTCCCGTCCTCGCTCTCGGTGAGCATAACATTCTCCGCCTTGATGTCACGGTGCACCTGCCCCATGGCGTGGCAGTACTCGAGAGCAGACAGGGTCTGCTTGAGGATCCGCTTGGCGATCTGCTCCGGGACGACCTTGTGCTCGTCCAGCATCTTGCGCACGCTGCCGCGGTTGCAGTACTCGAGCACGAGCAGGTACTTGCCGTCCTCGTTGTAGAAGCCGTGGTGCGAGATGATGTTCGGGTGCTTGAGGCGGTTGAGCGCGCCCACCTCGGCGATAAGCATCTCGCCTCCTTCCTCGGTCAGGGCGTCGTCGTCTTTGATGGATTTGACCGCGACGATCTCGCCAGTGTCTCGGTGGGTGGCCTTGAAGACCGTGGAGAACTTGCCCGTGCCGAGCTCCGGGCCGAGCTTGTAAGTGTCTTTAAAGTCCGCCTCGACGTCCTCCGCGTCAGCCTCAGTTTCCTGCTGCTGCTCCAGCTCGTGCACTGCTCTGGAGGCGGCGACGGCGTGGTCGCTCATGGAGTTGACGAACCGGTGGATGAGGCCCTGGCCCTCTTCGCGCGGGAAGGACCAGGACGTCAAGTTCTCGTCCACCTCGACGCAGTTGTCGATTCCGGCGATGCGCAGCACCTTCTCCATGTCCTGGTCGCTCACTTGGGAGCCGCGCACCGTGGCCCACGAGCGCGGCGGCAGCACGCCCTTGGGCAGGCCGGCCTTCTCCAGGTAGCTCTGCGGCATCATGCGGATGACTTTGGCGCCAGGGCACAGCAGCTCCTCGACCTGCTGGGCCGGCAGGTCGCCCATGAGGCTCACGTAGAGCGTGTGCGCGTTGGTGGCCTGCGTGGCCAGCGCCTGGCGCACGTCGGTGCCCAGGAACACGAGGTCGCAGTCGGCCAGCACGTCCTGGTTGGCTGCGGTGGTGGTGAAGCCCAGGCCGTGGAACACGCGGCGCCGCTCCTCGGACGGGTCCGCGGCCAGCAGCGTGGACACGAGGCGCTGCTTCTTGTAGCTGAACTTGCGCTGCGGCGCCACGTTCTTGACCAGCTCGCGGGCCACGCGCTCGGCCAAGCGGCCGGAGCCGATGAAGCCCACGCTGACGACGGGCATGAGAGTCACAATAACGGAACGCGGCTTGGGCTCTTCGACGCCGAATAGAAAGTGGAGCAGCAGCGCAGCGGACGCGCAGGGTGTCTATCGGTTGTTGCAGTGCGCCGCTCTTATGCTTGGGGTGTGCATGGACGAGCCTTTGGCTGCACTTTTGATGGCCACTATCAGTCACTGGGGGCTTGGGACCCGTTCTTGTGGTTTCCCGAAGCGGTCGTGTCTATAGTTGGTGTGATTCTTGAGAGTGATAATGTTGGGTTTTTTCGGACCACTTGGGTTTCGTAAGCACGTCTGTCTACCCGGATAAGGAGATTCCGAGTGAGCCAGCCAGCCATCCTCCGCATGCGAAGGTGATCGATCCATCCCCTCTAGCTGGCCGTTGCCAACGCTGCAGGCGCCGTTGCTGCCGGTTGCTAATGACAGCGAGGGCGAGATTCGACCAGCCGCCACAGGCAAATCGCAGGCGGTTGGTCCACGTTAATTTCGATGATTTTCAGTGAAAAGTTTTCACGCAGCAAACCAGGCCGCTTGGAGCGCTCGACGTGGCCTGCGTCTAACTAAACTCGCAGCTGGCTGCCGCCAAAGTCACGTCAGGCTGGTGCAAAGTTGGCCACGGCCGGCGTGCAATTGCATCGCACCGGTACGGGGTCCGATTGGAAGCGGACGGGGATTACACTGTAGACTCAACTTCCAGTTGCGAGCGTACGGAGCCCCGTTTGGCCGCGATTTGTGCCCGCGATTGGCGCCCACGCGTGCTTACTCGCCGCGCGTCATGGACCATTCCAAAGTTTAGTATCCTAGACTCTAGGAGGCTACTAGTAGAGAGACTAGTAGGCTACTAGTAGAGACCAGATACTTTTCGGGCGAGCATGACGAGCGGGCGGGCAATGCGTGGTCGAGATCGCACCTTGTCACATGCGCCCGCGCGAGTGGCAGCGCGCGTCTGTGCGGCCGCCGTGCAAGCGTTTGGCCCGCGCTTCGTCTATGGTCTGCGGCCGGGATCCCGGCGGGCCGCGGCATCGCCGGCCAAAATGGGGGGTCTCCACTAACATGTACCGCACCTGCATTCCTGCTTCTACTGTATTGCTTTACGGCGCGTCCGACATGGGACGCTAACGAATCTCCGACTTCTTCTGCTTGGAGCGCGGCCCCCGGATTGTTAAACAACTGTTCGCAAGTTGAAGGCGCGGCAAGTTCAACGAGCGGGTGAGCTGCCGGCCTGCATGGCTACTCTGAGCTCAGGGCTCGGTAGCAGGAGCGTCGTCCTTGGGCTTCATGGCCGGGAACATGATGACCTCCTGCGGCAATACAGACGCCACGAGTAAGTGCAAAGAATGAAGCAAAAGAGCTCAAGACGGCCAACGTACCCGGATGTGGGGCTTGCCCGAGAGCAGCATGACCAGGCGGTCGATGCCGATGCCGAAACCGCCCGTGGGCGGCAGGCCGTACTCGAGCGCCGTGCAGAACTCGTCGTCCTTGCCGTGCGCCTCGCTGTCGCCGCGCTGCTGGTCCGCCTGCTGGGCCGCGAACCGCCGGCGCTGGTCGAACGGGTCGTTGAGCTCCGTGTACGCGTTGCACAGCTCCTTGCCCGCCACGAAGAGCTCGAAGCGCTCGGTCACGCTCTGCTGCTCGCGGTGCGCCTTGGCCAGCGGACTCATGCACGTCGGGTGGTTGAACAGGAACGTCGGGTTCACGCACTTGGGCTCGACGAAGTGGCCGATGAGCTTGTCCACCAGACGCGTGCACGTGTGCGGCTTGGCGCAGTCCACGTTGTGGCGCTCGCACAGCTCCAGCAGTGCCGGGATCGAGTCTGCAGCATGAGATACAGCCCTAGTGAGCACACACAATACACAGCAATAAGCTACGTACACGCAGTCGCACCAGGGGAGTTGACGTCGGGCAGTTTCTCTCCGAGGCACTCCTCGAGCGTCTCGAGGATCGGGAGCCGCTTGAAGGGCGGCGTGAAGTCGATCTCCACCATAGCGGGCTCGTCTTCAGCGGCATCTCCCTCTTCATCGGCCGCCGCCTCCTCCATCGGATACTGGATCTTGTACGATCCGGTCACATCCTTGGCGATGCCCGAGATCATCTCCTCCGCCGTGTCCATGAGCGTGTTGTAGTCCGCGTACGCCTGGTAGAACTCGCAGATGGTGAACTCCGGGTTGTGCGTCGCGTCGATGCCTTCGTTGCGGAAGACCTTGCCGATCTCGAACACGCGGTCGAAGCCGCCGATGACCAATTGCTTCAGGAACAGCTCGGGCGCAATGCGCAGGTACAGATCCTTCCCCAGCGCCCGTGAGTTGGTCACGAACGGCTGCGCAGCCGCACCACCCGCCGCCGAGAACAGCATCGGCGTCTCCACCTCCATAAAGTTACGGTCCTCCAGGTATCTCCTAATTCCTCGCACCACCTTTGCGCGGGTCTCGAATATCGGACGCACTCCCGGGTTCGTGAGCAGGTCCAGGTACTTCTTGCGGAAGCGGATCTCCTGTCAACATCAAAATTCAAAACCGACCTTCGGGTCAACACCCAATGCTAATAAACCGTTCTAAGCTAACGCCACTCACCGGCTCCTTGATGCCGTATTTACTGTTCGGGAAGGGCTGGATGCAAGGCGCCAGCACTTCCAACTGCCTCGGGATGATACTCAGCTCGCCCTTGCCGGACTTGCCCGGGAACCCCTTCACTCCGATAATATCGCCGCGACGCAGACTCTCGTGCAGCGCCCTAAACTCCTTCTTCACTGCCTCGCTGTCTCCCGTAGCAGCTGCATCTCCTCGACCTTCAAAGTGCTTGACTTCGGACAAAACTTGCACCGTGTGGCCGTCGCTCTGCAGATCCAGGAACACGAGGTTCTTGCTGGCGTGACGGATCGCCACAATACGTCCTGCCACCCACACAAACACGTAAATTTACACTGCTTTATTGCATTTTGATGTAAATATTGACGTACCTGCCAATGCGACGCTCTCGTCCGTGCAACGAGCTTTGGGTTCAAGAGCGTCGAACTTGCTCTGGTACTCCTGCAATGACATGGTCACGGGGAAGAAGTGCGGGTACTGCTGGAACTTGGGCACGCTCTGGAAGCGCTCCATAGCCTCGGTCACCGACGCCGACGGTGCCGCCGTCGACAGCAGCCGCCGGGCAGAGCCGCCATGGCGCAGCCACACATTGCGCAGCATCATTGCAATTGATTCGCACGACAATGGGATAGTTGGTATGGGTCTGGATGGTGTGATGCGTTTTAACAGTTGATCGGCGTGGACCACGTACGTCTGGCCTTAAACTGCCCGGATACGGTAAAAGGCAACTTCAACTTCCGCTATTACCAAGTCCGTAATTCGAAGGTTGTTGGTCGCGAGCATTTTGCACTGACTGATTATAGGCATCGTAATCGGCAGCAGAGCTACAGTACTGTCGGTATCCGTCCACACACCGCTCTCCATCATTCCGCGTTTTACTCCGCAGCACTCCAGAAAGTTAGCCCGCAGTATGCGCCCCAGTTTCATCTTCGCGGTGGTGTTTGTGGCCACTCTCCATGCGTGTGGTGCATCCGTCCCGTCGGCCGAGAATACCAACGCTTTGGTCAAGAACGGTGAGTCGCCTGGAACCACCGCCTTAACCGGCGCGGATGGCGGACGAATACTTCGTCGTGTCGACGATATTGACGAAGAGAGAGGGCTGAAAGAGTTTTTGGAGAAACTCAAGCTCGTGATCCCGCCAAGGCTGCGAGGAAGGCCCCAAAAGCCGAAAAAATAAAGCAATGGAAGGAGTCTGAAGTCAAGTTACAGCAGTGGCTTGATTTACAGGCGTTGAAGGCTGCCCATGGCGCCAAGTAGATGCTTGATAGCAGCACACGTGGGTATGGCCGCTGCCTCGAGCAATAGTCGTAACTTACGACTCGTAAGTCACGAGACCAAAATAAAATCGAGCATGAAGTGAACATATCGAACTTTATTTTTTCTTTCGCTGATTCTCGTTCAAGATTCTCCTAAATATTTTGGCCCGGGGCGATAGCATGAAAGCTATCGTTTAAGTCGAAACCAGATTTTAAAACGCCTTTACCGTATCAAAAACATAGATGCCAATCCGATCAGCCTCAAAGGACCTACTTCGTGTACGTTTTTGTTTTTGTTTTGTTTTGTAGTCACTTAGCGCTCTAACGACTTCTAATACAAAGTTCCTGCTTCCGCTCGTTTACGTCGTCTGCAAGCTTGCACCCTTTTTGAGTACCGTCCGTTATGGAGTGGACGATAGCGCTGAAAGTGCTGAGACATCGGCATGTGCTGCTCCTGTCATCCAGTGTTGGAGATCACCACTAATGAATTCCAAAGCGGGTGCCCAGACTCCATTCGGTTCTACCCCGAATTCAAATGTGAGAACTGTCTGCTGCAGGTCGTGTCCATTGCCAGATTGGCAACAGCATCAGCCGTTTTGTTGAAAGCTCGGAGGTGGTGAGACCATGATCGAACGCCACATCTATCAGCTCCCACTCGGCATCTACTTCGTGTATGTTGTAGAGCAAAGTCTTGCCTTTCCATCAGATAAAACAAATAGTGCTCAAACTGATGTTACCAACTAGATGTACGTCTTCGTGTCAACGTACCACGCGACAGAAGGACCTGAACGTTCATACAGCATCTAATCTATGTATGAGTCCACATGCAGCAACCCACCAACACCTCAGGCACTGTAATTTGGCTCAGGCGCTTGTGGTCGTGTCGAGAGAAACGAACACGACTCAAACGAATGCAGAGGATTGCCTTTGAAAGCGATAGTGGCCGAACTTGATACTGCGAAATTACAGGAGGCGATGAAGGAGGTGGACGAACACCTGTACTTTTAGGTACGGGCTTAAAAGTAGGAGTCTAGGTGCTCGTCAACGTCGCGTGAGGGCATCGGGACCACTTTTCCTCCCGTTCAATACTTAGAAATGGACAATAGATTTCTCTATTGAAACCTAGTAGACCCAGTGCACTATACACGACTTCGAAAATACGTGCCCTACCTAGCAACACCGTATAAAAAATAAATAAACCAGAAAACTGGGGCTCCGTCATCTCCAGTGTTAAGAGAAGCCGGTAGCGGTCACCACCGTCACTAAGATTGGCGATAACTTGGCGGCGCTTGGCATACTGTAGCGCCAAGTGTTTTAAATTATCGTAGCGAGGATGTGAATCAACGTGACCTAAAATTGATGGCAGGTTTCATGCGATTGCGCTGCGTTCGTGGTCTATGAATATAACTTTTTCCTACACTTTGTCGACCCGACACCAGTTAGCAGATCGCCTTGTAGCGGCCGAGTCAGCCACAAAAAAGTTCGTCGTGTTCTAAGAGCAACCGGGGATAACGCGCCAGGATGCCACCCATTCGATCGATGCGATCCGCCCGAAGCGTCAGTAGGTTCATTACAGCTCCGATGCGAAGGATATCCAGCGTCTACTACGTCAACGGCAAGTACGTCGACAAACGCAAAGCACTACGCGAGGAGACGACCCCCTTCACAGCGAAGCGCTTCCTGCTCTGTGTATGGGTGTGTGTTGGACTCGTGCCGCTACTGCTTCAGGTCAGAAGCTACATCAAGTTCATGACGCCACACAAAATCACCGAGGACTTGGTCGTCCCTGCAGATTCAGTGGCCGAGACGGCGAACCTCGAGAACTTTTGCCCAGTTGAAGGACTCGCCATCGCGGGGGCCTGGTGGAACGTCGTGGACACTCATTACTACACTGTTCCGGATGGGAGGGTCTGCCACTTTGTCGTGCCGCAATACAATATTCACGGAGCCTATCTTCTCGGACCCGATAAAGTCCCTCCATCCCGTACAACACCAGCAAGCTGCGCCAACGAGAGCTACCCGTTCCACCACTACTTTTACCACGGCAGTATCGGCTTTTACGCGTTCTACGAGGAAGCGTCGGGCACGTATTGCGCCAATGACAAAGTGTCGTACGTGGAGGTGGATGGTCTCGGGACTTACGACAGCAATGGTGCAGATTTGGCGAACGATACGGGTGACGCACTGTACAGGAGCTCGTACTGGTATGGCTTGTTCGGAGCAGTCTGGATTGCATATCGATCGATGCTGATGAGGAGGAGCTATATTTCTTGCAAACGCTTTGGACGACGAAGCGATATTATGCACCAGAAGATGCTGTTCAAGGAGGCGGTGGTGTACGTGCAGGAGAGTTTGCGACTGTCAGCGCACGGGGCGAGGAACTATCATCGTGCAGCGATACTGTATCTTCTGGTCGAGGGGCTCATGAGCGACTTGTTCATGCTCATCGCACAGGACGGATTGATTGCCAAGGTCCAGTACATTTCGTTGGGCTATAATTTGTCTGGAGTGCTGTCGATGCTGTTTGAAATGGTGGAGAGCATGAACTGGTTCAGCGAGAAGTGGCGTTGTTTGCTCAAGCGCCTATTCTTCAATTATGAGGCTGCTATGGTGGGCGAGTTCTTCTGTGCGATAGTGATGCACTACTATCTCACATCGTTAAATCGGTCGAGCCTTAGAGATTCCAAGCCAGCAGCTGAGGTTGTATCGTATTACGTGTGGAGCTTGGTAGGCCACGGCATCATCGTGCTGGGGATTGTCGGTGCCATCATAACAATCCGAGCGTTGGGGGCCATGATTGCGGTTAGATACACCTATGGGTCTTTCGATCCGTTAACGGCACAATGCGGTGTGGATACTGCGCTAGGAGTTCGATCGAAGATGATTCTCCTGAGTGGCTATGTATGGGAGGACGGTGAGCTTCGCTACAGCGTTGACACTCTGAAATGCTTCGGGATGATGAGTATGGACGACGATGATGGAGCGCAGTTCCTCGTTCTGCACAAATTACGCTGGCTCGCGATTCCTCGACAAGATATGATCGTCATTGGTGAAGTGCACGGCCACCGAGTGGAATTATGTCCAGAGCGGCCGTGCAATGGCATCGTAAGCGTCTTCAGTAAAACACTGGGAGGTCCGCCGGGTCGAGCGCAAGGACCAACGCTAATGGTGAAGCACACATTTGCACTCCAAGTTGCCCCAGTCACTCAAACTGAATAGCGTGTCTTTGGCATTGCGACTACTTCGGGACACTTCGCGGATAGCCCCTCTGTGTTGTAGCTTGGGCCAGAAACACCTAGACCTTGCATTGCCTACGAAGGACCCAGCAGTAGCATTGACTTTCTGGCGCGGGTACTGTTTCAACACAAAGGGTGAAGCTCAACATTAATGACCTCGAAGTCGCGCCGGGCTATTCACAACGCCAGCGATGATGCTTACTCACTCTTCACCGTTGCATCACTTTGTCCCTTGTCTCGGGCGAACGGAGAAGATCTCTAATATGAAACCCTGTTCAGTGCGAATGACCCCAGAGCTTTCGAACGATTCGCTCTCACTTTTCCCAGATTTTCAGCAGCAACTGAGCGTGTTGAACCGGCTCGGGTACATCTCTGTGTATGGTGTCGAGACGTGCGGGATCATGAGCACGCATGTCACCGTAGGGTGTGCTATACGAATGAACTCATGGTGTGCCGTTCAACACCTACCAGCTCACGGGCGCCCACAAGGCTCGATTGAGCGCTGCACCACGCGTGATCTGGACGAAGTCTTCCTCGTGGTGCGCACTGTCGCTTGGGCAATTGTAATTGGCAATGCATACGTACGCTATACTATGCGAGCGGTGACAACCGTGATCAAGTTTGCTGCAAACAACTGTAGATCGCACTGAAGCAGCAGCCATATACAGCCTCGTCAGTTTTATCTGAACACAGCCATCCTGCATTCTCATGTTGCACGATAGCCGTTTAAATACGTGGTACTACGACTTTTTCATTAGGCGAAGAAGCACAATTGACTCTCGAATTTGACGCGCCAGAAATAATCAGAGAAATCACTGCTTTACTTTTAACCCCTTGAACGCGGAGGGGTGACAAGGACGTGATAACATGTAAGAAAACGCCTTATGCTGTTCTGAACAGCATAAGAAATACTAACGGAAATTACCGAATAATACCCCGGGCACTATTTATTAGTACCCTCCCATTTTCAAAACAAATATGCTAAATTATGAATATTACACAGTATAAACATGATTTCGACAATAAATTCCTAAATATATACTTGATCTTTGTATGGAAGTAACATTGTAACCCTGGGATACACATTGGGTTACATTTTAGAGGGTACTATACGGGTAAGGGGTATTATTCGGGAATTTACGTTATGTGATAAAGTATGCCATAATGTATCTGAGAAAATATTTGTACCTTTGCGCTCGGCTTGTAGCTAAGCTCCCCGGTAATAATCCCCGCAAAGATGAGGCGCACTGGGACACAAGCCGTTAAACCAATCAGAATCCGCTCCCGTTTTCCCGATTTTTATGAATTCCTGCGGCAAGAAGATCAGGTACCATGCATCACAGGTATGTCACGGATCACGTCTGAAACCTCGACTGACAGCTTTCCTGACGATGCTCGAAGGCGCGTTAGAGCAGGAAGAGGCGCGACTTCAAGAGGAGCAAGGGCAGGACGGGCAAGCGTATCAAGTGTGAGTGGTTATCCCACTCTTCAAGGCAAAGATGACACGAGATGGCGGGCTGGGCGCGGAACGTTCGGTCGCCAGCCGCCAAGGACGGGTGTCATGGACGCCAGGAAGCTCGTGCACGGGAGGTGCGGCGTCCCCAAGTGGTTGCGGTAGGAAAGGAAGCGGGCCGGCGGGGTAGCCGTCGGCCGCGCATGATGTGGTGAAGGATTCAGTCGTGAATTCTCCTCGTTGAAAGCAAGAAACCCTTTGCATTTTTACGAGATTGCCTTCCTATCTTCTAGCGTCTTACCAGCAAGCTACGCGTCTACTCTTTGTTGGCCGAAGTACTCGACCCTAACGGAGGAGGATCGCGACAAGTTGGTGGAGAAGCAGGGTATTTCTCACTGATAAGCGAGGCGCCTGGATCAAGGCGTGCTGATGGAAGAAGGCGGTGGGGAACTGGCAGGGTGGTGGCGTGACCGACGGGAGCGAGTCAAACTTCGACTTCGAGGGCGCCACGGACGTGTTCGGCAGCAGCGAGAGCGAGGTCAGCGCTGAGGAAGTGGCGGCTGGCAACGTGCTGGGTCCGATCGCGGAGGAGCAAGCTATCGGGCAAGACGACGAGGCTCCAGGTGCAGAGGTCTCGGCGGTGCCCGTGGGCGAGGCGCCCGAGCGGCGGGGCCTGAGGATGGGCGCCGAGGCCCAGGGGCGTGCGAGCCTACTGGAGACGTCGCGTGGGCGGCGTGCGCTGGACGCCTCCCTGCGAAGCTAGTGCAAGGAGCTCCTGCGGCAGTTGGCGGTGAGGCCCGGGACGTGCCTGCGACGACTGCGCCGACGACAGGCGTGGTGGCGACGGTAGTGGCGACGTCCTCGGGGCCAAGGCCGAGCGAGAGTGTGCCGGGCAAGGCGACGCCCGTGCCTGGATATGTGAGCGCGGTGCCGACTTCCGCGTTTGCAACTCCGCCGGCCGCGTCAATGGCGGGAGCGAGCGGAGCCCCTGCTCCGGCCCCTACCCCTACAAGAACGAGGACGACGAGGGCCCTGACGTAGCGGCGATATGGGACCGCCTCCGCCGACAGCGGCGAGCACGGGGCCGCCTCCAACCACGGTGTCCGCGACTACAGTGGCTTCGGCGGCTCCCTCGACAATGAGTTCCGCGAGTACCACTTCGACGGCAGGTACCGGACCGGTACCGTCGGGTGGGACTCATGGGTCGAGCGGGAATCCGAACGTGGAATTGCTGGCGCGGGTATTTACGCGGGCTTTGAGCACGCCTCCACCGGCATCCCAGGGTCCTACGGTTCAACAGGGAGGAGGAACGAGTCTACCTCCGCCGACGGCAAGAGGTACGAGACAAGCTCCTCCGCCTGCGGGAGGCACGGGACAGGTGCCGCATACGTCAAGTGCGGCTGCCCAAGCGTATCAAGCTACGAGCATGGCGTGGCCAGTGAGCCAGCCGGTGGTATCTGCGCAGCCGACGGTGGCGGCCCGCTCCGGGGAACGTGAACCCCTCGGCGGGGGCGTACCTCGACTCGGTGGTGCGGCAGCCACTGCAGCAATATCTTGGGGGAGCGGCTGGAACGGTGGCGGCCACGGGAATGCCGACGCCGAACGCGGCTCCGAAGCAGAGCGTGCCTGTGCAGACTACGGCGGTCATGTCTCGACCGGTGCCGTCCGCGCCGACGCCGACGCACATGATAGTTCCGGCGCCGACTCCGAGCGCTTTGTCGATGGCGACGATCCCCTCGTACGGAGGGCTGACGATCGCGCAGACGCCGATGGGCGGAGGCGGGGCGACGCCCGCGAGCGCGTTCTACCCCTCGTTTCAGCCGGTGAGCGCGATGACGCCGGTGGCGAGTATGCCGATGAGCCAGTCCGCAGGGGCTGCGCCTGGTGCCTATAGTGAGCAGATGGCTGTGAGCGCGGCTGCAACGCCGATAGGGGCGGCCGCGTCGACTCCGTTGAGCATGGGCATGGGATCGTACGGGCAGCAGCCGAGCTACCAGCAGTACATGCACCCGGTGACGTCGGAGACGCCCGGGTACGGTCAAGGGTACGCCGGCTACACTGTCCCTCTTTCGGCTGGTCTCGCTCCCGCGTTTGGAGCTGGCCAAGGTGGAGGAGTAGGTGCGACCAACGAGGCAAGGAGTGTTGCGTATGGAGGCTCCCACGTGGGTGGCATCCCCACGGAGCTTCGCAATGCGGTGAAGGTGATCGTGCCGTTCTACTCGGAGGTTGCATCGAGCGAACGTGCTGCTGCGTTCTGGCGGTCGTTCGAGAAGTGCACCGAGAGCATGGATGACGCTCTGCGGTTGACAGCATTCGAGCAGTGCATGAAGGGCAAGGTTGGTCAAAAGTGGTGGTACAACTCCAGGATCGAGAACTTCATGACGCTCAAGATCCGCTTCCACAACCGGTTCTTCAGCCGTACCCCGGCTCAAATGTGGAGCCAGCTACGCACGGCGAGGCGGAACTACGGCGAGTCGGTCGAGGAGTGGGGCGACCGCGTCAACAGGATGTGCGAGGCGCTCCGCTACAACGAGCCGCGCATGCGGTACGAGTTCTTCGTAGAGGGCCTTCGCAACAAGCAGTTGCGTGCCATGCTGAACGCGAGCGTGGTCTCGACGATCGAGGAGGCCGGTGCGCTACTCTTGTTCAAGGGACTGCATCGACCAGTGGAGGAAGAGGACGAGTTCGCCGAGGGCGGGAAGACGTCCGGCGGTGGCAAGACGGAGCAGTCCAAGCTGGCGGATCAGGTGCACGAGATGCACGGGATGATGAAGCAGCAGCAGAGGGCGCTCGCGTCTGCGCCTCAGGCTCCGCGTTCTCCTCGCCGACCCTCGATCAATGCCGCGGCGCCGGCACAGACGGCGGCTGCGAAGTCGAGTGAAACGGGTGGTGGTGGTTCGGAGCGTCAACTCCATATTCGCATGGCGCCTGGCACGCGCACCCAGGAAGGCGAGACGGTCTGCGGTCGCTGCGAGCGACGGAACCGCAGTCGCTTGACGTGCTCCCGAGGTAAGGGGACGTGCAACCGCTGTGACGAGTTCGGTCACTTCTCCGTGGAATGCTACTTGCCCAGAACGCCGACGAATGACGGTTCTCGGGGCAACGCAGGGGGTGGTGCTCAAGGCCAAAGGACGAGGCAGTGCGGCCTGTGTGACGGCACGGACCACTTCATGGCGAAGTGCCCGTACAAGGCGCAGTTGAAGAATTTGCTCAAGAGCTTGGCCGGGAAGGACCCCGCAGTGCCAGCGGAGGCCCTGAACCGAGCGTGAAGAGGGCAGGAGGAGGGGGAAGGAAGTGTCGCACCTTCCTCTTGCCTGACGGGCGACACAGCGGAGCACGTCGTGGCGGCGATGGCGGAAATCGGCGAACGGTTGGGTGCTCTGCAGGACGAAGGCAGCGCGTCGCGTGACGAAGACGGTGGCGTGCTGGCCGGGGAATCGACGGAAAAAGTTAGTGGTGAAACAGAAGAGATGGTAGGTACTGCCCCGCGTGGCACACTTGCCGATGAAGGACTGGACGACGACACGAGCGAGAACGGCGAAGCCAAACTCGTCGTGCTGAAGGTGACCGCGGACGGGCGCGGGAAGAGCTCCGTCACGGTGAAAGTGAACAAGGAGGCGGTGCGTGCGGGCTCCGTCTTGGCTGGAATGCGCGTCCCCGGAGCATCGAAGAGCTCGGGCGCGGACTGCGACAAGGACCCCGACGGCGCGATGAAGAACGCCGTCGTGGGCAACATGAACGACAAGGGCGGTGCGAAGGAGGGCACTGGCCCGAATGATATGGCAAACGCGGGTGGTGCGACGGAAAGCACTGTCCCGATCAAACGGAATAAGCAGCGCCGGGTCTGGACGCTGGAGGGTTACCCCGCGAGGTTACCTCTGGCATGGACACGCTGGAAGATTGCATTGAAGATGCTGAGGTTGCGCGGCTGGAGCGGTTCTCCACCGTGACCAAGGCAAACGACACGGCCGAGTCGGATATTCAGGGCCGTGCCGAGGAGGGCGGAACACCTTCGACTGAGAGTACCAAGGGTAGAGCATCTCAGGCTCGCTATGGACGCATGTTCACCGACCGAGAGCTGGAGCTGCTCGAACAGGGTGAGTATGGGCTGGCGAGCGACGAACCTGAAGAGTACGACAAGGAGTTGGAGGAACGGCTGTTCCCCCGTGACGAAGTGGAAATGAAACGGCGGATGCAGGAGAACGCCGCGAGGCAGAAGGCGATGAGCATCGAGGAGATAAGCAAGTTGCTCGGAATTCCAGTCGAGAAGCTGGAGCGGACGAAGGAGGTAGCGCGGCGTGCCGGCTCCACACCCGAGTACTGGCTGGAATGGTACGATAAGACGCTGGCGGTGTCCAGCGAGGCAAAGCGAGCCAATCGTGACTTCAAGGGGCACGGGCCCTACGAGAAACCAGAAGCAAAGTCGACTGGCCCGTTGGCGGCCGTCGCTGACAGTCCCAACCCGCGCGAAGGAGTCGTCGAGGCCACGAGTGCCGCGGCTGGGGTGAGCGGTGGAATGGAAAGGGGATTATCGAGTCAGCGAGGGACCACGGGAAAGACGAGGCTGCGGTAGAGCAGGAAGTCGTGAGGAATGCGTGCTCGAGTCTCGCTACGAACGAGGCAGCGTCGGAGATCGAGACCATGGACGAGATGGACCGTGAAGACAAGACGGTCCCATTTACCAGTCGGTCGGTGATACGGAAGGTCGTTCACCGACGGCTGAAGGGGTTGGTGAGGGACGGTGAGGATGGCGCCGACGGCAAGGTGCCCCCGTTCCGTGATAAGAACCCGGCCGGCCTGACCTAGGACGAGAAGGAGTGGCTACGTGGGCAACTCCGAGTCTCGTTCAAGGGGGTCGACGAATGGCGGCTGCGGGTATTGACAGATTGGTTCGAACGATATTACGCCGGGGAGGCGGCGGCCATCTGCGAGAAGCTTAAGCTGCGCGCGAAACGAGGAGTGGCTGAGGCTCGCGTGGGCAAGGATAGTGCCCCGGGCAAGGCCGAGAAGCACGTGCCGTTCCAGGTGGGCGGCACGGTGTGCGTGGTGAAGGGGCCTCCTGAGCGAGACAAGGCTCTGGAAGAGGATAGCCCTCACTGCGTTCGCGTGATCGGCGCCGTGGCCCGAGTCATTACTGCAAACACTTTGGCCGCCACAGACAACGGAGCGCACTCAGGTCCAGGAATACCCAGAGTTTCGACACACTGGGAATCACTCCCCTGAATTCCAACGTTCAATAACACCTTCGGCTTTACCAACTTCTCGTGGATCTTGGACACTAACTGCAGATGTGTCCGTTCATCAGCATCCTCCCCCTTCCAGGATTCGCCAAGCGCGAGAGTCTTAGACGTCAGGTAGTCTGCCGCCTGGTTGAACTCTCGCTTGACATGTACCAGCCGCACAGACTTCATACTCGGCCAGCTTCCTCTGGAGATTTGGCTGATTGCAGTTGATGAGACCCTGGGCTTGCTGGATGGCAATCCTGGAGTCCCCAACCACAACGATATCCTGAATTCTACGCTCAATCGCCAGAGTGAGGTCCATCAGAAGTCCATGATACTCAACGTCATTCACAGTTACGTCCTCCAGGATGAATCCCTGGGCATCCAGGATTTCCCACCCGGGGACATGCCACAGAATGCAGCCGCAGCTTCCTTGTCGCGTGGAAGTCTTAGCGGCGCCATCAAAACTCAGAATACACCCCTCACAATTCGCTTCCAGCATTTCCATACTGATAGACACTGGAGGTTTGACGCGCCCCTTGGCTGGGGTCAGGTTTTCAGCGATCTCATCCAAGTGTTCTCTGGGGGGTAATACCCGCACCCGGAATTGCAGCCAAGCCGTCTTCATCGCGTTGAACTCTGCGTATCTCTAGGTTCCAGTGGGACAACTTCAGGCCCCACTTCACCGTCCGACCGTCTGCCGACTGCGAAGTCGGCAACCACTTCAACACAGAGTATCGCGTGTAGACAACGATCTTAGGGCTGCCTTCAACCAGAGTGCGAAACACCTCCAGGACTTTCAGGATAGCAATCACCTCCTTCTCCGCAATGTGATACCGCAGCTCAGCGTCATTCAGGACGCGACCTGTGAATCGAACAGGATGCACAATTCCGTCGTACTCCTGGCCCAACACAGCGGATGCTGCCCACGGGTTCACGTGGGGAATAATCACGAAGGGTCTTGAACGATCAGGATGTCTGAGTAACGGAGTCGAAACAATCTTGCGCTTCAGGATTTCAAAGGCTTCCTGGGCTCTCGACAGGTCTCTCCTGAATTTCACCTGTTCCTCAGTCAGCTCGTACAGGACGGCCGCGATCACGGGTAGATCTTCAATGAACGTGTTGTAGTAATTCAGACTCCCCATGAATCTCTGAACGCCTTTCAGTGTCGTCGGAAACGGCAAGTCTTGGACCCCCTTCGCGATTTTAGGGGTCGCCCGGATACCCTCAGCACTAATCTCGTAAGAGATGTACGGAATGGACAAATTCTCGAATTCTCTCTTGGGAAGACTCACAGAGATATTCCAGTAACGTAGTCGGAAGAACAGCGCGTTCAGATCCTGGCACAGCTGCTCCCAAGTAGGCGCACCGTGGGCAATGTCGTCGATATACGAGCTTCGACCCAGGACAGGGCCCATCTGGGAGGGAGGAGGGATGTTACGCTGAAAAACAGTCATCTCATCCGTCAACACTGAGAGTCGCGGTGCATTTTCACCTGAAACTCTGGGTTCCCCAGAGTCCAACCCCCAAAAGTCCAAGACATCCTGGTCGACGTCAGCTTCTTCCTCAGGGGAAAGCCGCAGAAATCCCCACAGACAGTTATTGAGAACTGATTGGTAGATGAGCGGCTCGTTCTTGAGGCCAAACGGTATCCTGACCCACTGGTAGTGCCCATAGGGACAGACGAACGCAGAGATCAACTTGGCTCTCTCGGTCATCTTGATAGCCCAGAAACCATTCGCCATGTCCAAGCTCATAAACCACATCGCCGACTCAAAGCCAATCAAAAGATCATCAATAAGCGGCAGCGGGTAGTGCGAGAGCTTGGTGAAGCCATTCACAACGCGATAGTCGATGCACATCCGGATGTCAACGCCATTCTTCTTGAAGACAATCACGATTGGAGATGCCCAGGGGGACGTAGAAGTCTTGATCAGCCCGTTCTCCAGAAGCTTCTTCAGATGTTCGTACACCTTGGTCCACAGGTGTGGTGCAATGGACCTTGGACGCTGGGCAACAGGTTTAGCGTCGCCTACATCCAGGTCACAAACCACTCCACGGGCAGGTGGGGGGGGGGGGGGCTGCTTTGCCGTCTCCCAAGAAGATCTTCCGATGATATTCCAGAATTCGCCTCACTTGGTCTTCCATCTCAGGCGTCGTTTTCCCAGGGACTCCAACATCTGCCTCCTCGATCTTGCACTCAGGGGTCAAGCCACGCATCTCAGGAAGCATAACCAACTGGTCGCGCAACTGAGAGAACTACTCACTTCCTTCGCGAATGTAAACCGCAGGCTCGTAGTCGAGGTCCTCTGTCGAGAGTCACATACAGCGCTCATACTCCTGCTTCAGCTTCTCCAACGGAGTTCCTGGCAACCCTGAGATCGGGATGTCCCATTAATCTTCAACAGCACCCTGAGAATCGTCGTCATCCACGTCGACTTCCAGAGAATCACCTGACCCTGAGAATCACTGCCAACTTCAACCTGTAAACTCAGGGTTTCAGCGGTCGTATCATCTTCAGGACGCATGTCCTCTGGGGTTCCGATAGCCTGCGAGGCAACATCGGTCACCGCCTCCTTCAGAACGTCACCCAAGTTACTCGTATGAACAGCAACGTCTCGGAGTTCAGGAGGGTCTTCAGGGGGCACCTCTTCAGTCTGAGTTGGAGCGTCTTCAGCGAAGCGCAGACTCTTATTCGGGAGAGTGTTCAGTGGCGTGAGGGCAGACTTTGTGCAGAACGTCTGGCTGCGCTGGAGCCATCATGTGTTGAGACCCCTGAGTATCAGTGGCCTACGAAGATTCTGCCGCGACCTGCAAAATGCCCCGACATGGCACTACTTGCCTCGATTCTCAGGAAACCGAAGACTCGTCGCGTTCCCAGCGTCGCACTTCACGTCGGACGTACAGCACCATGCTCTCAGTGTCCAACGCCGCTGCTCCCGATTCCGGAGCAGGCGCAGCAGCTTCCCGGATGTCGCTTTCAGGCGTCCTCCTGGGTGCCGCTTGCGAGCTTAGCGCTGAAACGCTGGGTTCAGGTGGTGCGAACCCAGAATTCACCTTGGAACTCTGAGTCTTCGCCTCCTCCTTCGCTCGCACGGGCTCCGGCTTCAATTCCACAACAGCCTCGTCCGAAGATGAGACCAAGTCAATCACCTCCGGGGGCTCAACCGCATTGGCGCCTCCCTCAGACGCCTGAGCACCACCCTCGCGGGTGTGCTCCTCTGGGACTTCAGGAATCCGCAACCCAGAATTCACCTCCGTCGAACCTTAGAACTCAGGGGAAACTTCTTCCTCCTGAGTTTGCGATCCAGCAGCAGGCTGATCTTGAGCTGCAGACGCCTCGACGTCCCCACCTTGCACTGCCTCGCTCTCGCCAGCAGCCTTCTTCGCTTTCCGAGCGTCGCGGACGACTGTTTCCAGATCCTTGTGCTCCTCAGGCTCCATACCTTGAACACGACGCGACTGACGTGACGCCTCACCGCGTCCTCCGTCACCGCGTCCTCCGTAACCGCGTCCTCCGTCACCGCGTCCTCCGTAACCGCGTCCTCCGTCACCGCGTCCACTCTTCTTCGCTCCTCGTCCTCCAGGCATCTTGGTAGCTTGAGGTTGACGGGCACTCAGCACTTCTTCAACACTTGGTTCCGGCGAAATCCTCGACAACCGAATCCGGGCACGCGCACCAGCTGAGGCGAGGCCGATGAAACCTTTGTCGCCCAGGGGGGTTCGTATAGCGCAGCCCAAGACTGTTCCCCAGGGTGTAGACCCAGTGGATCGACTTGAGAGTCAACAGCAAGAAGATAGACCCAGAGATTCGCAGCCGCAAAGCTTTAAACCCTGAAAATCACACTCCTTGGTTGGCGTGGGTACCTTGTGTAATCCCTGTCGGCTCGTTTGTCTTCGACGGAACGGCACTCCACCGATTGTAAATGTAGCCTCGAAGAAGTGCGGGAGCGCACGTCTACTTCAGAACGCACCTCCACACCAAAGGTAAACCCAGAGAATCAGATCCCCTGAAACCCAGAATATCACGAATTCAGGGTCCAGGATTTCAGTCGACTCCGGGACTTGGAACTCAGAAGACACCTTACCCAAATGCCCTCCTAGCTCGATAAAACCAACAAATACAGAGTATACAAACACTACAACTAGCCGCCACTTATTCTTTTGGACCCTTGGACGGTGGGTCACACACACACTAGGCTCACTCGAGTCTGAAATTCAGGGACCTAGCTCCCCTGAGACTCACACAAACGCGCACCACCTCCAATAAAGGAGGAAAATACAATCACTATCAGTTACCTTCCCTTCACACAAGCAGTCAATACAAAATCCTGGAGGCGACTACCTAGCACCCCAGAATACCCTCTGGAATAATATGAAATGGGCTACCACAAGCACATCACGTGACCCAACTAGGATATGGAATAGATGGATCACTCCAGGAGGCTCAAGGCCGACGCCGGTCCCCACTTAACTGGACTTGAGTTGATGGAGGCCACACAGACGGCTGTCCTTCGCCGTTGATGTTCCCTTAGCGTCCCGCTGTCGTAGTCTCGGGTCCTCCGGATTTCCGTCGGCAGGCTTGGCCGAAGTCACTTGCGCAGTACAGGGAAAATTGAACTATGTTTGTCTTTTATCAGCTACTTCTCTCTCTCTCTTACTTCTTTCTCTTCTGCATTCTTCTTCGGGCAAATATCTTCTGTTTACTATGCTTGAGGTCAAATGTCTTGTCTTGAGTATACCTTGGGTTCAGCGGTCCAAACTTGCGATCGGCTTGCGATTCCATTGTCACACGGCGTCGAAAGTACCAATTGTGGGTCCTTAGACTTGGTTTAGTATGGTGCAGGACTCCCTCTCGACGCCTCGAAAGTATCCAGTCTGCGCATCCACAATGGTTCTTCAAGGTCACGCATCACTTGCAGACTGACTTCGAACTGACTCGAATCCCTGAGAATCAGGTGACACTCAGGGTCATCTTCCGAAATCCTGGGAATTCTGAGGAATCTTGAGGAACTGTAGGGATTCTTGGGTGTTGGCTTGGGAAACACTTAAGTTCAGTATAGAGAGTCTGGATTTATGGTCCAAACCGAGAGAATCATCTTTGGAACTCTGGGCCACCTGCACTCAGGGAGGTGAACTCTGGGTCATCGTGTGGCACTCTGGGTCATCGTGCGGCACTCTGGGTAACAAGTCTGCTGCATTACAGGCTCGCCTGTATCTCCATAATGCCACACTTCTAGCGGATTTAGCGGCCTCCTGCGCATGATCATGGTGGTAGTGGGTTGATTCTCAGGGTAATTTGATCCTCTGGGGCACTCTGAGCCACAGCAAGATGAGGTGTACTCTGGGATACATTCGCCAGAGACACTTTCCGCCAGACTTTAGGCACTCATCGTAAGGGAAAGTCCGCGGCCGGACTGAGTGTTCTCTGGCATCCTGGGCGTGCACTCCCAGGATTCACACTTCCAGCCAGTTGGGCCCATCTGCGGTCAGGCGCTGGATTCATCCCAAGAAATCACTTCTCTCCCACAGTCGCCATCCATGTCACACGGGTACAGCTGCGCCGTATCCAAGTCATCCACCAATCAGCATCCGATACAAAATCCAAGTCACAGAGGTGACGGCACATCGTCGGCAATTTTCTGGGGACCGCCTCGTGTCAGGATCATGGTGGAGGACGAGGTGGATCTGCAGGATCTGGTCACGTTGAACCGACTGGATGAGATCCTGGTTGTGAAGAGTAAGGAAGATGCTCCCGTCGCTCGTGTATCACCTGTGATACCCGACCACATGCCAGATCCAGATCCAGCCCTACTGTCTTACAGGAGGAAGTAGTGCGGGATCTCAGGATCGCCAGGATCCGTCAAGCGCAGGACGAGGAGGCGTGGATCTCCGGCCTAAAGAAGTACCTGGTGGGCAATATCCAGGAACTAGCACAAGAGGAGGCTAGCTCCTATAGCGCTATTGCGATGGATTATGAAGTGGATCTCAACGACTTGCTGTTCTACTGCCCTCCGACGAAGAAGAAGGAGGGTTGATGAGGCTGGTGCTCCCGGAGACCTTGCAACAAGACGTGCTCCATCATTACCACGTCAGCCTGGAAGGGGGTCACCAAGGAATCGGCCGCACCTACCAGCGAATCCGGGATCGCTTTCACTGGAGAGGTTTGTATCGGAGTGTTCAAAGATATGTCGGAGAGTGTGTGGATTGCGAAACGGGCAAAGGACGACCCACGATCCAAGGAGAGTCGCCTGGGAACAGCCAAGCCACATACCCGTTCCAGATTATAGCGATGGATCATATACCGTCGCTGCCTAGATCCAACAAAGGTAATACCGAGTTGTTGATCTGGGTGGATCTGTTTACGGGATACGTGATCGCGAAGGCCAGTGACTCCATAACTGCGCAGACAATCGCGGAGTCCTACGAAGAGTGTGTGTTTCAGACGATTCGGTGCTAGCGAAGTGATCCGGCACGACCGTGAGCCGGGGTTCATGGCGGACTTCTTCCGATCCTTCAACCGGATCCTGGGTCAACGACAACGTGCGACGATGTCATACAGGCCGCAAGCGAATGGAACCGCCGAACGCATGGTGCAAACAGCAACTCGCGCTCTGAAGATGTATGTGCAGCATCTGGATCAGCGCGATTGGGATGATTACGCGGAGCGTCTCACCTTCGCGCTTAATACTGCCCAAGATCGGATCCGAGGAGAAACACCATTTTACTTGGTACATGGCTGGGATCCGAGATCCACACTTGAAGCCACAATCTCGGTAGGCAATACTCGCCGCCAGGATCGGGATCCACGGCGGTGGCAATACAAGATCCAACGCTATTACCAACAGGCGCGGGCAGAAGTCAATATGCGGCTGCAGGAGGCGATCTCGGATCGGGCGTATCGGCATAATGAAGAGATCCATCCGCACCAGATCGAAGTTGGATCTAGAGTCTGGCTGTACCTGGATCGCGTTAAGGAAGGGTACACTCGCAAGCTGGCGCATATGTGGGATGGGCCATTTCGCGTGGCCGAGAAGATAGGTGAGTATGCTGTGCGGATCGAGTCCCCGGGTACGGAGTATCGGTTGTTTCCTGTGGTTCACGTCTCCAAGCTTAAGCTGGTGAAAAGGTTTCCAGACCGGCCCCGGATCCAGCTAACCGAAGGTACCACAGATCGATACGATTTTAATGAAGCGCTATTGCCGGAGGATAGCTGGATCCAGGATCTAGAAGAGGACGAGTACGAAGTGGAGAAATCACGGACATGAGGACTGGAAAGCGCACTCGTTATGGTCGGATTCACCGTGAATTCGTGGTACACTGGCGTGGATATGAAGATCCATCCTGGGTGGATGAAGCGGATCTCAACTGTGGCGCTATACTACATGAGTTTCTGCGGAGCCGCACTAACCGGAACCGGTTCGGTGTGATGCAGTCCCACGAGGAGTAGCGGGGGCTGCGGTCTCCTGGAATGAGTTGGTCACTTTGGGTAGAAAGTGTGGTGATGGATCTGCAAGGTGGTTGGATTGGGAATTTTGTATTTGTGTATGGAATAACAAGGGGCTCGTTGCACTCGAGTGAGGTGGAAGAAAGAAAAATCTGGTGATGACAAGGGCGCCTCAGCTGAATCTAGAGTGGTGTGTAGTTATGGATCTGGATCGCAAAGAGGCGTGGCATGGATCTGGATCTACAGACTCGAGCTGTATCGGAGTGTAATATTGGGTCTGGATCGCAAAGAGGTGTGGTATGGATCCGGATCTACGGGCTCGAGCTGTATTGGAGCGCGAAGGTGGATCGGGGTAGCGAGAAGCGGACTGGGTTGTCGTGACATGAGGAGCGATGTCGGATCGGACACGAAAGAGAAGGCACGAACAGAAGCGAAACGAGCGTATGATCGCCGACTACAACATGCAGAAGTACATCCAGTTCCTGCGTAATTAGCTCAACTGCAAGGATCTGTGGATCTGGATCTACTTGAGATCTGGCACCGTGGATCCAGCCCTTACTGGTCGCCAACTGCACGGAGATTGAAGAACTTGGCCGGGAGGCGCGCAACGTTACGCGCAGGATGATATTGAGGAGTGTCTCGGTAGTGGTTGCGCCATGGATCTTCATCGTTACACTCGTCCAGTGCTTCCAGGAGATCCGTCGGTTCCGGCCGGTTCAAGTTGGGGTCAGTTAAGTTAGCTTGTCGTGATGCTAGCCCTGGATACCAGGTGACGGAGTCGGCACGCCTGGGGAAGTGGAGGCAAACTCGAGTCAGATCCGCGACGGTCGTCTCCTGGAGATCCCGTAGGCGAATGAGTTCAGGATCGGCATGCGCTTGGACTGCTTGATCCAGACCCGCCAGGGTAGCCATGTGAACGGCTCGAAGGCGGTTCAACTCCTCGCGAGCTTCGCGGTGCATGCGCTGATGGGCACTTAGATCCTCTTGAGCCTTCACGAAATTCGGTGTGACCTCGGCCAGAGACGTACGACTCCGATCCCGATCCAGAGTCTGAATTTCTTGGCGGTCCGCTGGGGGAGCTGGATCCCTGGCTTCGAGCTCCGCTTCAACTCGTTGGAGAGCCTCCTGCGCACGGCGTGAGCTTTGCTCGGCCAGGTTCCGCTCGTTGTTTGCATCTTGCAAGTCACGCTCTTGATCAGAACTCCGACGCTGAAGCTCTTGGATCTCGGCGCCGGCCAGGGCTACTTCGGTGGCCAGGTGATCGTTATTCTCCTGCAAACGATCTCGTTCGCGCTCAATCCGCTCAACGTGACGCCGCAGATTCTGGATCTCGCTTGCCTGGTGATCCACTTGACCTTGAAGCTGGAAGGCGCGAGCCAAACTGGCTGCTGAAGTGCCCCCCCGCCGCGGCAAGCGGCGACCTCCGTTCGCAAGCTGCCCAGCTCCACGTTTTGCTGTTGCATGTGCGCCCGGGCTTCATCCAGCTCCCGCGTCTGGTGTAACAGCAAGGCGGCGACCTCTTCTTGGTCACGAATGGCGGCGTCGCGCGCAGCGACGAGAGCGCGTAGTTCTTCCTCGCGCCCGTTACGAGGATCGGGATCGGGTGGATCCGGCGCAGACGGATCCGCGCGGCGGCTGCTGCGGGCCGACGACGCATGGGACGCACTACTCCTGGTATCCGACATGTCGGCAGCCCTGGGAAGATGGAGAAGTGGCTAACTGTACCCGGAGTGCGTTGGTCGGCGGCAACTACGGTCAGGAGGCGATTGTGGAGAAGCGCAATTCCCAGAAAAGCGTTATGGCAGTGGGTGAGACAAGTGACGAATCTGGACCTCGGCACAAATCCGGAAGAGTGACAGTAAAAGGACGCAGATCCAACGGGTGGATCTGGATCTACCCTACCCAGATCCAAGCCTCGGATGGATCTGGATCTAGACTCGGGTGGATCCAGGATCCAAGATCCAACGTGGATCTGGATCGCACTGAATCCAGACTGAGATGGATCTGGATCTGGACTCAGGTGGATCCAGGATGCAAGATCCAAGGTCCAACGTGGTTCTGGATCTGCACCCAGGCGAAATCAGGAAGTTGTGGACACCGGTTCGACGGCATCGGCCACTAGTAGCGAGAACGGTCCCGGGAGATCGGCTACGGGCATCTGTTGCATCTGCCCCGCTTGCCACGGTCTCGAGCCCTTCCCACTACCACAACGGTAGCACTCCCGGACGTACTCCGTGACATCCTTCCGCCATCCCGGCCAGAACGCATGCCTCCTCACCTTTTCCAGAGTCTTCGTCATTCCAAGTGAGATGACAGAACGTCAGAGTGACAGTAGTGCAACACGGTCTCCATATACGGTAACGGAACCACCGGAACGGTCAAGGACCGTGCAGGTCCGACTCGAGCTGGAAGATTCACACGCCGCATCAATAAACCGTTCCGTACTTCATATCGACTTCCCATCTTGACACCAGTCGCTCGCAGGAAGGGGTCGAGAGGCAAGGCACCGTCCAGCAGGAAAGCCACCAGAGCCTTGATCCACGGCACCTCTTGCTGTGCTTCCACGAACTGTTCATAGTCGAGGCCAAACCGGTCCACAGGAAATATCGGCGCGTCCGTTTCCGGACCGCTGTCAACGTCCTCGTTCGGAAGGTCAGGTTTGTCATCATCCATATGTCCGTCCGCACGTTCACCAGCAACATCATCTCCGTTCACAAGTTCACCGTTTGTACCAGGCTGCTCTCCGACTGAAGCCGGAAACGCGTCATCGACCGTACTTTCAGGATTCAGGAGGTCGCTCATCGTCAGAGTACCGTGTCCATCGGCAACCGTGACAGTCCGTCAACATGACCCAAAGAAGCACCATGCTTATGATGCACTTTGAACTGGAGGCTCGAGAGCTCCATCGCCCACCGTGCAAGCTTAGAGTTCGTCGTACGGTTACCGGGGCTGAACACCCACGTCAGCGCCTGGTGGTCCTTGTACAAATCGAACTCACGTTTGTCCAGGTAGCAGCGGAACTTCCTCGTTGCCCAAACAACTCCCCAACATTCAATTTCCGAGATGTCATCTTGGTTGTTGATCCAGTTCTTCTGCGACCCAGCCAACAGCTTACTAGCGTAGGCCACTACACGGTCGCGACCGTTCGCCTCTTGCATCAAGCAAGCGCCAACAGCGTACCGTGACGAGTCCACGTACAACTTAAACCGTTTCTTGCCGTCAGGACAGACTAGTATCGGCGGCTTCAAGAGCGCACGCTTCAACTGTCTAAACGCAGCTTCACAGTCCTCGTTCCACACGAACGGTGCGTCCTTCACCTTCAGCCGTTCCAGGGGCGCAGAGATAGACGCATACCCCGGGATGTAGCGACGGAAGTAACTCGTCAGACCCAGGAAAGAGTGGATCCCATGCACGTCCACTGGACGCTTCACGTTCATCACGCCCTTCACCTTCTCGGGATTAGGCAGGATCCCAGTAGGAGTCACGATGTGCCCCAGGAACGCTACTTGACCGCTCCCCCAGTGACACTTCTTCATCTTGAGCTTGAATCCAGCCTGCTGGAACCGAGTCAGCACTTGGCGCACACGGACC